TTTTATAAAACCCAGTTGAAGGCCTAGGACTGGGGCGACGGCACACGTGCCCACAGAGAGGGCTCTGAGTGCTGCCTCTGGCACCCGTGCCATAGGTTCGCCACCACTGTCCTAGACTAGGAAGGGACAACAGGCTGCATACACCCTATCAGCGTTCCAAAAACAGCACGGCTGAAATCTGATGGCCTGTCCTCAACCGCGTATAATCCTTTGATTTTGTTCCAAATAGAACAGTAGGATTGGCGCAAACCGAATTCATTTCTATTCTAAAAATTTATCAAAGCAGCCAGAGATTCGTAATGTGTATAAGCTGCTTGGCCCTGATGCTGCTAGTTCGGCGTTCCTTGTTAACAATGCTGAATCGTGGCCTTCCCAGAACCTGAAGCACAGTTAACTCCTAAAGGCGAGAGCAGAGGTTAATCGACATGGGGGTCCCTCAGATTCTCAAGAGGCTGAGCCTGCAGGCTGCAGCACCTAGAGCAGGGGTCTTCAAACTTGGCCTTTTTATGACATGTGGACTTCAATTCCCAGAATTCCTCAGCCAGGCACTCTTCCTCCTTGTTCCAGAAGCTCCTGTAAGGAGGCTAACTGCTTCATGACACCGTTGCTCCAGTACATTCTTCAAGGGAAGTGCATTTACAGACTGGCCCAGCATAGAATTTGATCCTTGCTGGAGGTGATAGACCACGGGTGTCAAACTCTCCACGTCACGTGGCGTGTCACAACATATCGTGACTTTTGTGCATTGCCAGAGCTGGGGTGGACGTAGCCTCCTCCGTGTGATGCAACTGGCCCGCGGGCTGGCAGTTTTGACACCCCTGCGATAGACTGTGCTATATAAGTGAATCCTGTGGAATGCTAATTTTGAAGGCTCATTTGCCTGTTAAAGACATGTCTAGGCATGTCTGTAACTCAGGAAAAGCTTCCTTCCCTGACAACCAACCTCTGAAGACCAATCTTAGACTTAAGAAAATGCCTCTCTCAGCTGCACTGTATCCCCTTGTGTTCAATTCATCTTGAGCTCGCAAAGTGTATTTGCTGTACTCAGCCTGCAATTACTGGTCTTTGCCTTCTCGGATGGTCCTCTGATTCGAAAATGGATACGAAAGAGACATGGAAATGAAAGAAGAATAAAATACAAACTGGGTTTTGGGAAGCAGGTTCTGCAGCTAAATGTCTTTTTTTTTTAACTTGCTGATGAAATGCCTGAATTAACAGGAAAGGTGGAAACTACATTTACTCCCAACTAACAAATGTGAGTGCAGATGTCTAAGGATGCTCAAATAACAACCTGCCTTTTTGTGCATAGCCAGCGTTACTGAGGCTGAATTTTATAACTGGGTAAGAAATGATGCTATCCTTAGAAATGGCGCACATTCTGGGCTCATATAACAATCACAAATTAGATACCTCTCTATATCAAAGTGTATTGGGCAAGTCTATTCCAAGTGTGTTCTTTTTAAGTCATTCGATGCAAAACCAGAAAATCAGGACAATTGACTAAACCAGGGGTGTCAAACTTACCATGTCACATGGCATGACTTTTTTTCCATTGCCAGCAATGGGGTGGGCGCAGTTTCAGCATGACATATCCAGCCCATGGGCTGGCAGTTTGATACCCCTGGACTAAACCATGGTCAGCTTTAGATACCCATGCTACATGAACACAACTACTATATTAACATTTGCTTGCTCCGAAAGGAAGAAAAACGACCTGTTATAAGATTAAAGCCAGTTCCAGGTGTGAACTAAGTTGTACTATCTGAATCTTGGCAGATTTAATTAATTACACAATAAATACTTGACTTTCCTGCTGTCATTGCATGTGACACACCTGGTTCCCCCTCTCCTTCCTGGTCTTAGTCCTTAATTGCCTCCAATTATGATGCCAATACTGAGTATTGCACTGATTCCATCACAACTGTCCCCATATAGGATGGTATATGGAGCTAGTTTGGTGTAGCGGATAAGGCATTAGGCTTATTTTCCAAAGCACCAGAAGGCAGGACAAGAAATAGTAGATGGAAACTAATCAAGGAGAGAAGCAACCTAGAACTAAGGAGAAACTTCCTGACAGAACAATTAACCAGTGGAACAACCTGCCTCCAGAAGCGGTGAATGCGTCAACACTGGGACAGCCATTTGTCCGAAATGGTGTAGGGTTTCCTGCCTGAGCAGGGGGTTGGACTAGATAACCTCCAAGGTCCCTTCCAACTTTACTATTATTATTATGGATCATCACACAGTCAGCCAGATGTTCAGACTGGATTTGGCATTTTGTCTACCTATCGAGTCCTTACCCAGGACCTGGGATAGGCAGATGTGGATGTTTGATGGTATTACAGTTATCGTCTCAGGATGGAAGCAGTTCCTAGTAAGGCCGCCTTTTGCAATTGTTGTTGTTATTATTATTATTATTACCATCACCAACTGGGACACTTGAGTTCTATTCTCACTTTAGGTAGGAAAACTGGCTAGGTACCCTCGGCCTAGTCATTCTTAGCCCAACTCAGAGCTGTTGTGGGAAAATAGGAAGGAGTATCAAGTATGTTTGCCACCTTGAGGTATTTCTACAAATAACAAAGGAATATAAATAAATAGTGCTGGTTACAGAAATGTCACAGATACATGTGTAATCAAGTTCAGTAAAATCCAATTAAAGCGATGTATCAATCCAGCCACCATTATCCACCCCACCCCAAATTAAGGGACTCCCAAGACATTTTCAAGCCCTAAGCCAAGTTCACCCATCCTGCTAAGCCCTTTGACCTATTTACTGTGGGATTTAAGACTCACACAATTCTCCCATCATCCCCAATCAAGCTGGCCCTTGCACGTGTTTTATAACCAAATTGTTAACCCCAGTATCTTTAGAGGCAATCAGTGGAACAAGAGCTCTGCGTGAACTAAGGGTTAGCTAAACTGGAAGTCCCAACTGGCTGCTAAGATTGTGTAAATGAACAATAGTGCTTCACAGTCTTGTACTGTTCCATGTGGAAACTGGTGCTCGTATTTGAAGCATTGTTTCTCCTAGACTAGGTGTAGGGAATCCTGTGGCCTTCCAGATGTTGTTAAAGTACAACTCAACATGTCTCATTAGTCGCCATCTCATTTGTGGTTGGGGCTGTTGGGATCTGTAGTTCAACAAAAAGTTAAAACTAATGGATAGTCCCTAGTTTAGTCATGCAGTGGAGCAAAAACAGGCTGGGAATATTCATGTGACATCAAACTTCTCTGCTTGGTTCATGACAATACATTTCCAGCTTTATTTTCTTTGGCTCTTTATCTGTGGTTTGTGTTTTACACAACACCTTACTCAGGATTTCAGTCATTTGTAGTTAACATGACAGAGATTGCGTCCACACAACATTCCAAATCAGCTCTTCTGAGCTTGCAAATGACGTTGATCTATAAAATAGCCAGATAAGCTAACTGCAAGAAATTAACCAAGCTAACTCTGACCATACTTAGTATTTGCAAGGTCATGGCTTGATCTGGTTAAGGAGACTTCAGTGAATAAAGATGTGACTAATCTTAGGTTTGAAATTTGGTTCCTGCTACAGAACGATAGCACCTCTTAGCTCGGATAACATGTTTGGCAACAGATATGTCAGTGAGCCAGGTCACTAACTGCCTAGAGGGGTTTAGTGGTTGTGCGAATATGCAAGAAGGAGCAAATTGGTAAATTTTTCATGGAATAGCAGCATTCCCAGGTCAGCTGAGGGATACAAAAAAGACACTGGGTCTTATAAAGCGTGCAGAGAAGAGGATAAGGGGCTTGGAGGCTAAACCACATGAACGGCTGAAGGAGCTAGATATGTTTGTGCTAAGGAAAGCTTCAGGGCGACAAAATAACAGTCTCCCAATACTTGAATGGCTGCGACAGGGAAGAGGGCGTTGATTTATTCTCCAAAGCACCTGAGGGCAGGGCCAGAAGCAATGGGTGGAAGCTCATCAGATCCAACCTGGAAATAAGGAGGAATTTCCTGACAGGGAGAACAATTAATGAGTGGAACAGTTTGCCTGTCGGAATTGTGGGTGCGCCATCACTGGAGGTTTTTAAGAAGAGATTGGACAACCCTGGACTGGATTCCTGACTTGGGCAGTGGGCTGATCTAGAAGATCTCCAAGGTCCCTTCCAGCTCTATGATTCTTTATTAATGGGCTAGAGCAGGGATCTGCAGTCTTGACAACTTTAAGACTTGTGGACTTCAGCTCCCAGCATAGCTGGCTGAGGAATTCTGGAAGCTGGAGTCCACAAAGTCGTCAAGGTTGCAGAACCCTGGGCTAGAGTACTCCAAACAAAACACAACGGAGCTTGCCTTTAACTAAGGGCTGAGGTGTCCAGGAAACTGACCATTCCTTGAAAAGAGCCTCTACCCCCCCCCCCCCAAGGCTTCCCAATTCTTTAAAAATAGGGGCTATTTTGGGGGGAGGATGGGAGAAGATTTCAGATTATAATAAGGAAAAGAGGTCCCTTGCAGAAGTGAAAGGCCTTAAGGTCTGATGAATCAGGTCTGGACATGTTTCAGTTTTCAGTTCCCCAAAGGAGTTATGAAAAGGTCTAGACTAGAGGTAAATCCGAGCATCAAAAAAAAAAAAAGTGTTATTATTGGGACGTGAACCACAACCCACAACAACCTGTGCAATGAGAACTCTCTTCAGCAAACGCAGTGCATCTGTCGCCTTTCCTGCGAAGCCCCCGATTCAGCAAGCCAAATTCCCACAGCTCAACCACCGCTCCGTTTACATCAGTGGTTCTCAACCTTTTTAATGCCGCAACCCCCAACCGGTCGTAAGTCGAGGACTACTCAACCGGTCGTAAGTCGAGGACTACTCAACTGGTGCAGCACCGTTTGCAGAATGGGACTTTTGGCGGGCTCAGCAGGGCAGAGACAGCCTGGACAATTCCTATTGGCTTTTGAAAGCCAATAGAATTAGACTCTATTCAAGAGAGTCTATTCTATTGTCTTTCAAAAGCCAATAGAATAAAAGGGAATAGCACAACTAAGGAAAAGGGGGAAAAAATGGCGGACTGCGTTGTTTGGCGACCCCCGTGAAATGGTCGTTCGACCCCCAATGAGGTCCCGACCCACAGGTTGAGAACCACTGGTCTAGACTAGAGGTAAATCCGAGCATCAAAAAAAAGTGTTATTATTGGGAAGTGAACCACAACCCACAACAACCTGTGCAATGAGAACTCTCTTCAACAAACCCTTTGCATCCGTCACCTTTCCTGCGAAGCCCCCGATTCAGCAAGCCAAATTCCCACAGCTCAACCACTGCTCCGTTTACATGCTCACAGAGGCCGAGGCCACCGAACTAGCTCGGGAGCTGCGGGTGTTCGCCTGAGGAAGGGCAATGGTACAGCAAGAGACCCCCACGGTGCCTTCCAAAAGCTCCCCTTCCTCCGTCCATTCGTTCAAATCGGGGTTGAAGGCGTGAATGGTCTTCTGGTATTTTTTCCCACTTTCGTTCCATCCCCCAACGAGGAGAATTTGCCCACCGAGAGTGGCCACCCCCGCCATGCTCAGGCCAGTGGTCAAGGGGGCCATGAAGCTCCACTGATTGGTGGAGGGGTCATAGCACTCCACTGGAATGACGTCGACCCTCTCCCCGCGGGGGCCCAGCTGGCTGCCCCCCAGAACGTAGGCCCGGTCAGCCAACGTGGCAGCACAGTGCCAACCTCGAGGGGTGCTCAGCCAGCTACAGTCCCGCCAAGAATCCAGGGCAGGGTCGTAGCTGCAGACGGTCCGGGAGTAAGCGTTGTTCACATAGCCGCCGGTCAGCAGGATCTTCCCGTCGATGACCACGCTGGCGTGGCAGCAGCGTGGCAGCTCCATGTTGGCTTTGGGCTGCCAGCTGTTGGCCGAAGGGATGTAGCATTCGATGGAGACCAAGGTGCCTTTGGCGTTGCGGCCTCCGACGGCGTAGAGGTGCCCATTGAAAGCACTGAGGCTGAAGTGAGTCCTCTTGTGGGTCATGTTAGACAAGTGTAGCCAAGTGCCGAACCGCGGATCATACCTGCAGAGAAAGAGAAGGATTGTTCTTGAGCAGTGGTTCTCAACCTGTGGGTCAGGACCCCATTTGGGGTCGAACGACCATTTCACGGGGGTCGCCAAACCACGCTGTCCACCATTTTTTTCCCTTTTCCCTAGCTGTCCTACTCCCTCTTATTGGTGGCCACACCCACTTGGGGGTCACCACAACATGGGGAACTGTATTATGGGGTCACGGCATTAGAAAGTTTGAGAACCACTGTTCTTGAGGATTTGGTGGTATCCTTTGGGGACTCTAGCCATAAGACTTGGCGCAGGAACGTGGCAGATAACAGGAGAGCACTGATGCCAAGATTTGGGAGGGACGCAGGGTCAAAAAAGTCAAGATTGCAAAATTGTATACTTAAAGCCAGCCTCTTTTGATGTGTGTTGTAATGCACGTGAAGAGGGGCTGAGCTTCAGTTGCATGATTGAAGGCTGCCATTTTGATTTCTCTGACCGCCTTCCCAGACACATCTCGATGCAAAATATAAATTCAACCCAATGCATTAGGAACCAGGAAAACAAGATATCCTTGTAGCATCAAGACCCGTGAGTCTCCATCTCAGAAGGTTGAAGATAGGTGGATTTCAACTACTATTGAAGCTATGCTGGCTGGGGAATTCTGGGAACTGAAGTCTACACAGCTTCAATGAGCTAAGACTGAGAAACACTGATCAAGACAGTGATTCTCAGCTGTGGCAACTTCCAAGCGGGAGGACTTCAACTCTCACAATTCTTGCCCATGGCCCTGCTGGTTGTGGAATTCTGGGATTTGAAGTCCCCACACCTAGTTGCCAATACTGGGAAACAGAGATCTAGAGCAGGGGTAGGCAACCTTGGCTCTTTTATGACTCGTGGACTTCAACTCCCAGAATTCCTGAGCCAGCATGGCTCAGCATGGAAACCTCTCCCTTTCCCCTCAGCATGGCTGGCTCAGGAATTCTGGGAATTGAAGTCCACGAGTCATAAAAGAGCCAAGATTGCTTACCCCTAGCCTAGGAGAAACTTTGTTTTAATCAATGTCTCACAAGAGGCCTTGAAAAGATTCCTTAATATATCTTGAAAATTCTCTGGGCTTTTAAAGTCAGACCAAAGTCTATTCAAATGGTTATATTCAAATATTGTTTAAACCATAATGTGGTCTCTTTGGATTTTGCTTAGTGCAGTGATGCTGGTAACAGGCAATGGTCAAAAAATGCAAGATGGTGGCTGTGTGATTGAAAACACTCCCTGAAGACTAGTCTCAGTGACTGTCTTATCTTTCTTTTGCCCTGCTCCTGCCAGATGATGCTGGTATTGCATGAACACAGCCTACTGTTTTCCATAACAAATCATGATTAAACAATGATTTGGTTTCACATGGGAAACATTCATTGGCCTGGCTCACTTAAGGTAATATGGTAAAGTGTAATGCGGTTTGTTTGTTTTTTCACCAGGATGTTACATAAATCAACTATAGGTAGTCCTCCATTTACAACCCTTCATTTAGTGGTCATTTAGAGTTACAACAGCACCGAAAAAAGGGACTTGTGACCATTTTTCACATTTAATGGCCATTGCAGCATCCCCAGGGTCAGCTGATCAAAATTCAGAGGCTTGACAACTGACTCATATTTATGACAGTTGTGGTGTCCCTGGGCACCTTTTGACAAGTCATTGGGGAAGCCAAATTCACCTAACAACTGTGTTACTGTCTTAACAACTGCAGTGATTCACATAACCGTGACAAGGAAGTTTGTCAAATGGGGCCAAACTCATACAGGTCTTAAAAGCAAGCATCAGAATATCTGGTCTCCTAACATGCAGCAGCAGTACCAGACCTTGCTTGGAGATTTGGAAGAGCCAAAGTAGACAGAATGACATCAGATGGAACAATAGTCTGGCCTAGCATTAAATCAACTCCCTATATTAAATCTCTTTGCTGTTCCAAAAGATCTTATTTTGGTATTTGTATTACCTGCATAAATTGCTAATTGCATGTTTTGCTTGGTTCCGGGCGTCGTTTTGATCTTCACCGCCTGCCACGTAAAGGAAGCTATCCATGACGGCGACACATTGGTTGAAACATTTGGTGGGCATCTCGGTCAGCTTAGTCCAGTTCCCTTCTTGATCCCTGTAGCTCACATCTTTGCTGAGGGCCTTCTCCGCAGAACATGGCCGCCCGCCCACCATAAGCAGCACCTTCTGCCCGCCTCGAATTTTTGTTCTTCTGGACTGAAGCTCATTTTGCTGATAAGGGAGCAAATGGTAATTCATCGCATCTACCAGAAGCTTGTGACATTCTGGGTTCTGCATCATACACGGAACAGGCTGGACATAATTGATCAAGTCATGAGCTGGGATCGTGGCGAACCGCACGTTCTTCAGGAGATCTGCCCCACACTTGATCCTCTTGGCATCAAACTCAAGCCATTTCATGGCAATCTGGAAGACCATCACCTCACTAGGGAACTCCAGATGATCGTCCATCAGCAATTCGTTCAAATGTTCAAAGGTGAGTTTCAAAAACTGCTCAGTTTCCGAGAACTCTAGGAAATGTTCCCGGATAAACCTCCTGGCCGCGTCTTTAACCCGACCGAGATTGTATGTGTTTGCCATGTTGGCAACGTACATCCAGTTTTCCACATTCATCTCCTGGATGAGGAAATCGGAGCACATGTTGAGCAGCGCAAACATCTGCAGGTGGCTGGCAGTGGAAATGGTGCTGCCAATGGTATACAAGGAAAGACTCAACTTTCCGGTGTACGCATATGAGATGACAGTGGCCAGGCCCAAGGAGGAGATGTCATTGAGGTCCACTTGCTGAAGGTTGGGGCCCTTTTTCAGCTGGTTTTTGAAATAGGCACTGCAGGAGGACATCACCAATTTGTGAACTCTGAACGACTTGGTTTTGGTAGCAATTGTGAGATCGCAAAGGAAGTGCTCTTGTTGCAGGGAACTCATCTCCATCAGCATGTTGGTTCCGTGGCTTGGGTTGGTGACTTCCGTGGCAGTGCAAAGGAAGCCATCGGAACCGTTTTCAAACAAGCTGTCCAGTTGATGATGGTGGTCAATGTCAAGAGAAGGATCTTCGACTAGGGTGACATTAACAGTCTCTCTCTTCGCCGGCTTACTCTTTTTGGAGCTTTTCTTCTTGGGGGCCATTGGGGCAAAAGGGCGGCCTGTAAGTTGATATCAAGAAGTTGCTTGGTCAAGGAAGACACATCCTACCCAGTCTATGCCAGCCGTCTCCAAACTGCGCCCTGCAAGGTTGGTTTAATTAAGGACAATATTATTGTGCGTTTTCCCTAACAAAAATCAAAGCAGTGCAAGGTAGTCCTCGACTTATCACCACAACTGAGCCCCAAATGTCTGTCGCTAAGGGAGCCATTTGTTCAGTCAGTTTTGCCCCATTTTACGGCCTTTCTTGCCACAGTTGTTAAGGGAATCGCTGTAGTTGTTAAGTTACTAACGGTGGCCGTTAAGCGAATTTGGCTTCCCCACTGACACTTTGCTTGTCGGAAGGTCGCAAAAGGTAACCGGGCAACACACACACACACACACACACACACACACACACACACACACACACGGGACACAGCAGCCGTCATAAATATGAGTCAGCTGCCAAGCATCTGAATTTTGATCACGTGACCGTGGGGATGCTGCAACAGTTGTATATGTGAAAAAAACAGTCATAAGTCACTTTTCGGTGGTGTTAGAACTTTGAACAGTCACTAAATGAACGGTTGTAAGTCGAGGACTACCTGTACACAGGATATCAGCAGAAATAAAGTTAGGTGGGCTTTTGCAGAAACAAGAGATTCCTTAGAGCAGGGGTCGTCAAACTTGCCTCTTTTATGACTTGTGGACTTCAGCTGCCTGGCTGAGGAATTCTGGGAGTTGAAGTCCACAAGTCATAAAAGAGCCAAGTTTGAAGACCCATGGCTTAGAGAGAATCTGGTCTTGAGCTGCTCAGGGTCTCATCAGTTAATTTCACAATCAGCACCTTGACAAAAACTTGGCAGATAATTGGCAGCTTCTAGATCAGTGGTTCTCAACTTTTTTAATGCCACGACCCCCAACCGGTCGTAAGTCGAGGATTACTCAACTGGTCGTAAGTCAAGGACTACTCAACTGGTGCAGCACCGTTTGCAGAATGGGACTTTTGGCGGGCTCAGCAGGGCAGAGACAGCCTGGACAATTCCTATTGGCTTTTGAAAGCCAATAGAATTAGACTCTATTCAAGAGAGTCTATTCTATTGGCTTTCAAAAGCCAATAGAATAAAAGGGAGTAGCACAGCTAAGGAAAAGGGAAAAAAAATGGCAGACTGCGTTGTTTGGCGACCCCCGTGAAATGGTCGTTCGACCCCAAATGGGATCCTGAGCCACAGGTTGAGAACCACTGATCTAGATACACCAATTAAAGCAAGGGTCTTCAGACTTGGCCCTTTTATGACTTGCGGACTTCAACTCCCAGAATTCCTCAGCCAGCATGCCTGGCTGAGGAATTCTGGGAGTTGAAGTCCGCAAGCCATAAAAGGGCCAAGTTTGAAGACCCCTGCACTAAAGTCCTCCTCTGACAACAGCACCCAGAATTCCCAGCCATCCTATTCAAACCTGGGAATTTTGAGACAGAAAGTAGTGTATCAAACATCTGGAGTGGGAAGTGGAAAAGGCTGATCTATATTACATTGTTGAATCTGGGAAAGAACATATCATGATATTGTCACAACATATCATTATATTTGTCCCTGGCCCTAATGAGACTCCACCATTTTTGCTTGCCTTGGTTCAGTTCAGAAGAGGTGCTTCATAACATACAGGACCATGAATGCAGCACCTGTCCATCTCATTAAAGCAACTGCGTCTACTTCCAGTGTTCTTTTCAAATGCATTGATAATACAATAGGCCAGGGGTCTTCAAACTTGGCCCTTTTATGGCTTGTGGACTTCAACTCCCAGAATTCCTCAGCCAGGCTAAGGAATTCTGGGAGTTGAAGTCCACAAGTCATAAAAGGGCCAAGTCTGAAGACCCCTGCAGTAGGCAATATTTGCATATTGCACATACTCTGATTGTGGGTTAACTGAACCACGAATCAATTAAGCATGAAATCCTGGGAATGTTTATGTAATACACTAGCTATCTGATGTGGTTTGCAACTACGGATGCAAACCAGCTGTGCTGGTAGGAGGTAAAACCTTGAAAGAAGGGAGAAGATATGCTAGCAAGGGAACCATCAGATAAGAAACAGCATCTGGATAATGAGTGGGACAAGAGACCCTCCTTCCCCCCCCCCCATAGTAAAGGACACAGCGGCAGAATTGTGTTTTCAGACTTGCAAGATTTTACAACAAAGTAGAATGCGCTCATCCGGGTCATGTTTCCTGTCTGGTCTACCTGGTTAGGATGACACTGGCTGGGTTTATCTCAGTCTGCTACATCTGGACTGGGGGAACTGCATTCGGTCCCAAACTAAGTTATGTAGGGAATCCTGTCCTCTGCAGAGGAACATTGGCCTGATGGAGTCCCCAGCTGTTCCTCAGCTGTTTCTCTCCTCCTCCCCTTTTCAGATTGCTGAGCTACTGGGTAACAGACCTGTTTGTAGCAGGACAGAAATAGCCAAGTCGCATTCTCCCCTCCGAGCTGGGCATAAAGATCAGGTTTCTGGACGGTTAAGCAATCTATCATTCTTAGAATAGGAGGGGTGGATGAAAGGAACAAGAAGTAAATCACTCTTGCCTTTCCAGGCTAGGGTTGCCAATGTTTGCTGCTTGTCTTTGCAACTATGCCTTTAAGGGAAAGGTGAGGCACCGGCATCAGGCGGTGTTAATATTGATTATCCCTCCAGATATGCAGAATGGGGCTTCCCTCTGCTGCTGGAAGGACAGACTGCACCGGTGGACAGGATATTGCCTCTGATTTGCCAAAGGCAAAAACACACTTCTTTGATGAAACCCAGATTGGGCTACTGCAGGATGAGTCAGTTGGGGCTGCCCTTGAAGACTGTTGGAAGGCTACACCTGGGTTTCACCTCTAATTGCCCGAAGCCTTTTTTGGTCAGACCAGGTGACTGCAGTAGTATTTAGCCGGCATTTTGACCCGAAGGGCTCAGTTGAAATTTGGGAGTGGTAGAAGGTTGCTAGTTCCTATGAAGGTTTGGTAAGAGCTGCTTGGTATCTCACCACCTTTCTGTTGGGTTCCCCCCCCCTTTTTTTCCCCATGTGGGAGCCTGTTCTGGTTTCTCTCCTGCCTAAAACACTTTTTAAAAAATTGGATAATGCTGCTTTTTCTTTTTGAAATGAGTTAATAGTTGGTTTTGTAAAACTTACGTTTTATAGCGTTTGGTAGTTTTATTGAACTTGATAACTGCTCTTTCCTCTCTTTCTGGGGTTAGACTGAACCATAAGCAAGCCAAGTTAGTTTATAACAGTGGTTCTCAACCTTTTTAATGCTGTGACCCCCAACCGGACATAAGTCAAGGACTACTCAACCGGTCGTAAGTCGAGGACTAGTCAACTGGTGCAGCACCATTGGCAGAATGGGACTTTTGGTGGGCTCAGCAGGGCAGAGACAGCCTGGACAATTCCTATTGGCTTTTCAAAGCCAATAGAATTAGACTTTATTCAAGAGAGTCAATTGGCTTTCAAAAGCCAGTAGAATAAAAGGGAGTAGCACAGCTAAAGAAAAGGGGAAAAAAATGGCGGACTGCGTTGTTTGGCGACCCTGTGAAATGGTTGTTCGACCCCAAATGGAGTCCCAACCCACAGGTTGAGAACCACTGGTTTATAATCATGGTGTACAAATACAGGTTTGAGTAAGCCATGGTTTAGCTAACTCTGGGTAAGTCTATGGTATAAATGCAGTTTCTGTTTAAATATGGCTGCTGTAAGACATTTTAGTATTACTTTTCCCTGAGTGCCTACAACGAATTACTTTACAGTAGCCTTTTCCATTTCTACCTAATAGTATGACCTGAAAAATGCACTGTAAAATGGAACCATAATTCATAGTTAACAAACCTTGATGGCTCAATTTGCATAATGCTGAAGGAAACATGGTACAATGTAACGGACCAGAATGGTTATGCAACATACTAAGATACAATGGATGCATTTGTATTCTGTGGTAAAGTTGGTTAGTTTTAATGTTGGTTAAAGGTGTTGGAGGTTTAGGTGAACCTATTAAGTGTGAATAGTTCAATGTTATGCAAATATAGAAAATTGGATAACTTAAAATTGGATAATGATGGATAAGCATGTCAACTGAAAACTTGTTGGGTTGGGTTTAAATGGGCTTATCTATGATGCTGTCTAAATTTTATTTTGTGTGAACACAAAAAATGAAGTCAAAAGTGTTTGCTCAGAGATAAAATGGCTAAATTGCATTTTTTAAACAGGATAAATATTAAGTTTGTAAAAATAATTGTAGCACAATGAATTACATTAGATTTAGTTGTTGCTTTGGTTTTGCAAGCAAGCTGGAATCAAACCTCCATTAGGTTCTCAAGAGCTCATGAATGTATATGGCAGATTTATTCTAGATTTATTTCCAGATTAATGAATATATTCTGTTATCTGCAAGATGAATACCATTAGTATATCTTAGTAGTAGACTGAACAAACCCTTGTAACATTAAGTCTCCAGAACATAGAAAATATAATAAAGAGCCTGTGTATGCATAACTGCCTTTCTTAGGAAAACGTGAACTACCTATATTTTTAAACTACGAATTTCTGTAAGGGATAATTTGTAATTTATGGCATCAAGTAACCCACTCTTCACTAAATGTGTAGGCTACATAGTAAGGTGGGAGATATACTAGCTTAAAAAAATGTTCTTATAGAGCACCCTTTTCCAAGGTGGAGCCTCCAGGCTGCAACTCCTATTGCCTACTCTATATCTGGGGAGAGGCAGTTCCAGCCACCCCACCCCCCAAAAGGTTATCTAGTTGGTGAAGTTGTTATCAGCCAAGGTTCTGAGCATCTATCTTAGGTCTTCCTTACCTAGCAAAATGGCACATTTGGAAAAGGAGATCTAACTTGTTTAACAAAATAGACTTTGTCTTTAATTCCAGCCTAATTATCTTTGAAAATGAGTAATGAGTAAGTCTCATTAAAACCAGGTGTCCTCTATGCAATCTATTCAGGTTACTATTTTATATGTAGCTAAGAGGAAGGCCCTCTAAATTCCATGGGGCTTATTTTGAAAAAAAAAATAGGGGTAGGATTATGCTCTTCGTTTGCACCTGACTTTCAACTATTCTAGCTGCACGATCCCTATCAGTAGCAAACAATTAATGAAGATTAATTACACTACAGATCATTACAAATATTCATATACTGTATATATTTGTGTGTATTTAGTACAAATTATGCATTCAATATTATGCATAGGCTCTGTTGTGGTAGATTATACTCCATAACTTTCAAAAAAGATTCTTCCTTCTTGATTCAAGGTATGTGATAGAAACACATTCTGGGGGATGAAATGAACTGTACACCAGTACTAGGGATCCTCACATTTATTCTGCGCATGCTCCAGAACTATCAAGCAGTATTTTAAGAATTCTACATTACATATACTTGCTGCTTTCTATGATCCACTGTAGGTACATATCTTGGCAAATTCTTCGCTCTTAGGGGTCTCTTTTTGTTCTTCACACTATTTTAGCTAACAAAATTTAACATCCCAAATTAGATTAGTTAACCAGTTTTATGCGGATCTTTTTTAAAGGGGAGAATCCCTTTGGTCAAATCCACAAGCTAAACTTTTAAAGTGCAGACTCAAGATCACCCACCCACATGGCAGAGTGATCTGCGTCAACAGATACCAAGAACTGCTAGGTGATACTTTAGCTTCACAAGGGATGAAGTTAGATCAGGCCAAGATCTGCATACTGTAATCCAGGATACTTTGGAAGCAGCCTGGCCATTTGCAAGTCTGGGGTGATTGGCCAGAAATTAACCCCTGATGAGTCTATTTCTAGATTGTTTCTCACCTGTGCCCACCTGTGGAATAAGCCACACTCTCATCCCCGCTATTCACCACACACACACACACACACACACACACATTCATGTATATATAGATAAAGATGTAGATATAGATATACATACATACCCTCCAGAGAAAAAGTCTGAGGTTTAACCACCACCTCTAAGCTTTGACATGTACTTTTCTCTTTTTAAACCTTCGCAACTGATATCTTTTTCACAGAATGACTTCTGTTACCTGCTCAGTAACAGCTCAAGAGACTTGGAAGCCACCTCCCAACTCCTAGCAAAAAAAGAATATGGAAAAAGAGCATCTGGGCTCATTCACCATCTGGGCTCAGAAGCGCCACTGCCTTTCAACTTACCTGGAAATGGAGGATGACCCAGGAGAAGGAAAGGATCTGATGCCCGTCTGCTCCACGCGTTGGATGATCCTGCTGGTTCCAGCAGAAGCCTTGAAATGTGGCAGTGCCCCTCCTCCCTTTTTCCCAATGCAGCCTGGCCAGCTGACCATCCTTCTCATATCGCCTGTTCCCCTGGCTGGATGTTTGTGACGCAGAGAGATGCCTGATAGGGCTGGAAAGAGAGAAGGCCAAGCGTCCACTTCAGCTTCCAGAATCCAGATGGCTTTGATCTGCTCTGGGCTGGACTGACGGATGGAAGGGAAGGAGGATAAACTTTGCAGAAGGAACTGCTTCCTTTCTCATTTCCACCACCTGCTCTCCGGGAGCCTGAGGCCAGCTAATTTTCTAGTGTTTACCCCAACCTTTTTTATTTGCTATGAAAGCCACTTCAGCTGTTTCTCTCGACTTCAGCAATGTGAAGATGGGTGGACTTCAACTCCCAGAAGTTCCCAGCCAGCTATGCTGACTGGTGAATTCTGGGAGTTGAAATCCATCCATCTTGAAGTTGTTGAGGTTGAGAAACAGCACCCTACATAAATGCAGGGATGTATATGTTCCTGCACAAAAGTTTTTGTTCTTTCAACTGATCGCTCTTTTGGGAGTTTCCATAGACTTCATTCAACTGTGACTTTCTCAGTTTTTGACTTCGTCTGCAAGAGTATGCGTAATATTAACAATGACCTACTTTACAGAGATATTGTAAGACATTCTGAGTTTGTATCAGTATAGTACATGTACCTCTGAGAGTGTTCTGGGGAGAGGGATAGGCAATACCTCAGTGGCTTATAGAATAGACTCTCAATTAGAGATGCTCCATGACAATGTCTTGCTGAAAATACTGTAGTATCTGAGCGTGCATGGAGCAAAACACACAAGTTCCCCTTGTGTTCTATTGAACAAGGGCTAATTGTCCAGAACTAACTAGCAAGAAACACTGCATGTGGCACAGATACAGCAAAAGCTGTTTTACACCTTCTTTGTATTGCTAAATATCTTATGTAAAAACATTGGATCCAAGCTGTCAGGGGCAACAGAAGTTAATGTCTGTGGGCTCCTCTATATCTACATATTGTATCAAATGGCTTTAATTTCTTGGTGTTTTGCATAATACTGTTGACCTAGAAAACGGGTAGCACGATGGATGCACATGTATGCTTGTTGTAAAGATTTAGTGCCCTTGTCTGCGACAAAGCAAAGTGGCAGAGTCTAAAAGCTGCTTTGTACTGTCAGTTTCAGGCTGTGTAGGGGAGTGATATTTTTGAATGCAGTCTTCTTTCTAGATTCCTTATGCAGAGGGGGAAAAAATGCATCAGGTTCCACGGAATAAGCCAGGCAGAGCAGAGTTATTAACTCTCATAACTTCTTCACAAGTTCCTTCAGCGTACAGGTAGTCCTTGACTTACAACCACAACTGAGCTCAAAATATCTGCTGCTAAGCAAGACAATCAAGTGAACTTTGACCCCATTTTATGACCTTTCTTAACACAGTTAAGGGAACCCAGATGTTCAGTTAGTAACACGGTGTTTAAGTGAATCTGGCTTCCCCATTGACTTTGCTGATCAAATTATCACAAAAGGGGATCACATGACCCAGGGATACTGCAGCCGTCATGAGTCAGTTGTCAAGCGTCTAAATTTTAATTACATGACCATGGGGATGCTGCGATGGACATGTGAAAAACGGTCACAAGTCATTTTTTCAGTGCTGTTGTAACTTTGAACGGTCACTAAATGAACTCTAGTAAGTTGAGGACTACCTGTATTGGAAGTCATGACTCTATTGTTTTTTTTATGGAAGATTGTTATCTTTTCTCTTCACGCAGCCTGAAAAGAGACCATGGGAACATTCAACTACTAAAGGCAGGGGTAGTCAACCTTGGCTCTTTTATGACTCGTGGGCTTCAACTCCCAGAATTCCTGAGCCAAGGTTGACTACCTCTGTACTAGACGATCTCTCCTTGAGCAGAATTGGCATCCAAATCTCAAAGAGCTCTGTTGTTTTGGATCAAGGAGCACACATCACATCTTGCAGCAGTGAACACCCTAAACTAACTTTGCATCACACCAGTTTGAGGAGAATAGCTTGCCTGTGCTATTTTTCTTAAATTCCCAGCTTGTGTGTGTGTGTGTGTGTGTGTGTGTGTGTGTGTGTATGTGTGTGTATGTGGTGGGAGACTATTTTGCACAAATGTTTCTTTGAGTAGGGAGTTAAAATCCAAAGAAAAGAGGGTTTTGTGTGTGTGTGTGGTGTGCTTTGTGAGTACAAACATGGCATTTGACATTGGAGCCCAGTCATCATCTTTGCCATGTTCTCAATTTATTGGATTCCTGTCCCCCTCTTCCCATTCCACACACCTCCGGGTCTTTTCCATTTAGCCTCCTAGTTTTTTCTATAGGAAGTCATGCTATTTTGTGAATGGATATTCTTCCCCATCTCATGGCATGTATTTTAGGAGAGCCTCTACAAGGTGTTTTCAACTCTTCAGGTGTCCCTGTCAACCCTGAGTGATTTTAGGACTCCTCCAGAGATGCTCCTAAGGAGGGATATATAGAAAAATTACCAAATATGATTATAATCCAATAAATACAGAGACTATCCCCAGAAATGGATTCCATATTCTCAGCATCCATTTTCTGGGTTCTGTGAGACACATATTGGGCAACAGGACCTTGTGACACCCAGGCCTAGCTAATGTAATGCATGCAAACTACCAATTGTGGCTTTTTTTGCTAAAACATAATAAAATAACCCACAGCTAATCTGGGTGCAATGCATGAATTTAGTCTGAGCCTGCAGTGCATTGCCTGTTGATTGGGAGACAAAGTAGACAAATCATAATTGCTGGTCTGTAGCATAGACTGTGTAAACTCTGCTATTCTGGGTTGTTATTGTGCTATGTAAATTGAGCCAGGAGTACTTTATTCACCAGGGGTGGTGCGGTGCAGGGGTAGGCAACCTTGGCTCTTTTATGACTTGTGGACTTCAACTCCCAGAATTCCTGAGCCAGCCATGCTGAGGGGAAAGGGAGAGGTTTCCAAGCTGAGCCATGCTGGCTCAGGAATTCTGGGAGTTGAAGTCCACGAGTCATAAAAGAGCCAAGGTTGCCTACCCCTGGCTTGGTGTGTTGCATGAAAGTCTGTGTGGACATTTTATAAGCCGCTCTTTTAAGATGAGTCTCAATCTTGACAACTTTTTAAGATATAATATGGGCTTCAACTCCCAGAATTCCCCAGCCAGCATAGTTGGCTGGGGAATTTTGGGAGTTGTAGTTCATATAAAAGTTGCTGAGACTGGAAAAACACTGCTTCAAATTCTATAATTTGCAAATGTGCTTTCAGCAGTGGTAATGGGTTTTTAAACTCTGTAAACTGGATTCCTGCCTCTGGGAAGGAGTATATATGTGATTCAAAGCATTTTGTGTGACTGTCAGTTAATCTGTGGTCATGCTTAAGTCTTTATCCAGCTTTAGCCAACATGATGAGCCAGCCCAGGTGGACGACAGCCTCCGTAAAGGCAAAAAAAAAAAAAAAGCCTCATACTGGTAATAAGACCTTATTTGAACCCTACCGGCAATAATACTGGAAAATCGGTGAAAAAGCAGAAGCGCTTTCTGGACAGGAACTAGCAAACCGTGGCAGACCACGCTCTTGCCAATATTTAAAATGGCCGCTAGGCCACAGAAGGACGGTTCTTGCCCTTAGTAAAGATGGGGACGTTCTCAGCTGTCCGTTTAACAGCTGTTTCTTACCGTTTGCCCTGACCCGAGATGGCGATCTTCCTTCTTCCCTGCCTTCTCGACTGAGAAGCCTTTGCCAGCTTACGAAATGGCGGCACCAGCGGGCAAAGGGAACGGCCGATTGGCCTCTTCTTCAGCCCCGCCCCCTTTCCCCGCCCCTTCCTTTTCTGCCCGGAATAAACATGGTGCCACGAAACGCGATTCGAGAACCCCCTAGGCGTTCGGAAGGAGGGAAGCCCGAGTTCTCCTGGGAAGCCGCTGAAGCAACGGCCACTTCCGCCGAGCAGAGACCTCGCCAGGAGTAAAAATGGCGGAGTCGGTACTAGAAGTTGTCCGAAAGCTGCAGTCTCGGCTCGCTTCGGAGCCCAAGAAGGTAAAAAAAGGGGCCCTGGAGGGAAAGGCAAATGGGGCGGAGAGTGGCTCTGGGGTGGCTGGATGGCGGCTGGGGGGATCCCGCCAGGGGGGACCAGCAGGGGTCCCTTTGGAAGGGCCACGGCGAGGGGTGGAAGAGACGAGGGGTGCCTGAGTGAAAGAGGGGGACTAGCCGGGGGGGGGCAAGGGTGAATTGGGCAGCGGGTGGGGGGGGGCAAGGCAAAAGGGGTTACGCTTTGGGGGCAAAAGGGGGCGACCGAAGTGGGGTACTCCCTCCCCTCCGACCGTTACTGGACAAGCGAAGCAGTGCGAGTTTTACAGGCTCACCAAAAGACTCCCCCCTCCTTCCCCCCCCCCTTGAGGATGCTATACTTGTGCTGGGTACGTGTACAAATCACATAGATATTGAACATCCATCCCCCGATTAATTTATATATGTGTGTGTACATATATGGATGGTCGATGGGAGAAGCAGAGGCCGGAGAGAACAGCAGTTTAACGGCTGAAGTTTGAACGCGGGAGAGATCCATGTCCATTGTCTGTTGGGGGGGGGCTGGTTTTAGGGGTTGTGGGTCCTGTTCCAGATGGACAAGGGAAAATTGGGGAGGGGGGGGGTGTCACGGATTCCAGAGGGGGTTGTCATGTCCCTTTGGGGGGGTGGGGTGAAGGCTTAGCCCAAAAAGGCTGTTGAGGCGTTTTTATTGCTCTGTGTGTTTTTAATAAAAAAAAATTTAAATCTAAAAGTAGTACTGTAAGCATCATTATTATCATCATCATCAAGTGGGCTGTACAGTAGTCACCAGAGGCTTGTAGAAATGTGTGAGTCTCAGAAGTGCCACAAGAACACTGTGGAAAGAAGAGGAACCTTGTGCAGATCTAGGGAGGGGGGTTGTGCATGTTGTCTATCTGTTCTTCCAAACATGCAGGGAAGAGCAGAAGAAGATGCTGGCAATACTATTTGAATCACCTCTGATGGTGGGTTATTTATTTATTAAACCACTACCAGTAATCTAGTGCAGGATCTCTGCTGTTTGCATCAACTTTGCAACTGCTGAAATGAACCTCTCTTGCAATCCTGCATATCTTTAATTATGCAACTAATCTGTAAAGAAAACAATCAGAAGTTAGAAATCTGGAAAGGAGCAACTGTGCTAAGCGATTTCCTTTGTGTCCTAAAGATGTGAGAAGCAGAAAATGAGGGAGGCTCTTTAATTAACAGTTGAAAGGATGAAGTTCCTTTTTTTCTTTTGGTTCAGTGGATTTTTCCTCTACCTTGCAGAGCAGCATCCACTGAATAGTTTATAGTTGTTTTTTTCATGGAAAGGACCTATTGTAAGGATAGAAGAGAGGTGTATGATACAGGGCAAAACTAGTGCTAGAGCATATTCTTACATCTTTAAATCATCAAGCAAAGAAATGTCACCTCTAAAAGCATTTCATGGAAATGAAGGCTTGAACATTTTGTGTTTGGTCAGGAGCAATCTGAGTTACTTTTTTACTTGGAAAAACCAGATTCAAATGGCCCATTCCTTCTGGTGTCTGGGAGTTAAGGACTATTGAGATGTGTACTTCAAAATACTCAGGACATGCTTTGAATTTGCATTTAAAGTGCAAATTGTAACTCTTTTCTTGATTCGTAAGTTTTCTAATGAAGGAACCTGCAGGCATAAAGCATATTAGGCTGCATGTGTGTACCAGACTATGTAATCATAGCAGGTCAGAAAGATTTAGTTCCTCTCTAATTCTACCCCCACCTCATCCACATCTTCATGCACCGACTGTGGAATTCAGTGGGTCAAGTCTATGAACAGTAGATGGTGCTCTTGTGCTCTCCAGAAATCCTCTTTTCTGTCTGATTTTTATGGTCACCCTGTGTTTTATATTTATTTAATTTTTATCCCACCCATATTATTTTTATTAATAAATCAAGGCAGCAAGCGTACCTAATATTCCTTCCTCCTGCTTTCTCCACGAAAACAACTTCGTTAGGTGGGCTGGGCTGAGAAAGAATGACTGAGTTCAACAGGCAGCTCACTAAAATCTTAGTCTCTTTTTTGCACCTCCCCCCCCCCCAGAGATAACTTCTCTGACCAAGTTTGATGCTAAATTACTATCTTTAGGTATCAGAGACTCCTTCCAAGTACTTTCTCTTTTATGGGTGAATGGTCAGAAGGAATGCTTAAAAAAATACTTCAGAATTGAAAAAAGCTGTTGGAATGGAAGAACGCACATTCAGTTTGGGGTTTGGGTTCCATGTTTTGCTTTTGCCCTGTATTAAATGCAGATTGTACATTCAATGATGATTAAATTTCTAGAAGAATGAAAGTACCGGAACACCGGAGTACTAATTTTAGAGATCAAAAATGTTTCTGTGTGGATGTCTTGTGGAAAACGAAAGGAACTTTTACGAATTCCAGAGGGTTTAGCAGAGAGATTTATTGCGCAAGGTTCAGAAGCAATAACAACAAGAAATTCTGAACTCTGAGGGCGGGTCCCCAGTTGTCATAAGTTGAGGACGATTCTCAGTCATCCAGGTCGTTGTATCAAAAGTGGTTTTTATTTTTGAAAAGGCAACCGGACTGATTTTTTGAGGAAAAAGAAGACGTTTCGCTTCCTAACCTGGAATCTTGGTCAGTTGTACTGGAAGGTCAACTGGCCTTCAACTGTCAATAACTGTCATTCCATCTCCAACACCATCCAGTACAATTGATCAAGCTTCCAGTTGCCTTTTCAAAAATAAAAGCCACTTGTGATACCCAGTTGTCATTGTCCAGAGATTTTTAGAACTGGGACTTGGTCATGTTGTTGAGGACTTTAGAAGTGGTCCTCTCAGCCAGCTGCATGGCTCCACGTTGGGAAAGGCTGCCTTTAAAAGAAAATATATTACAGTTTGGAAGGCTTAACATTTGATGGATGTTGCATTCTATTTGTTAAGCTATTGGTTGCTTTTATGAAATGGCCCGTCACGATGGAAGATGAGAGTGGGTTTCTCCCCCCCCCCCTTATTGAACATTTCTGTTGATCAGCAATGTTACACCAAGGCTTAGCTAGCATGGGGGGGAAAGTGGGTGAGGCAGATATATGGTGAGCCTTTTCCCAAATTCTTCAGACTATTGAAGGCATCCAGAAATATTCTCCTTGGGAAAGACCTGCCTCTGATCCAATTGGATTTTCTCTTACTTTTGGTTCATCGTGAGGGTGGGTTTCCGAACAGATTTGGGGGCTAGCCGCTCTGGATCCCTCTGACCAAGCCTACAATCCTTAGGTGGGTGAGAAGGCTGCAGCCATAAGATTTTTGCTCTGCTTCATTTGTCTGCAAAATGTTACGCCTGCTCTTTCTGTGGCATCTTAGCAGCTCTGTGGGTTTGTTTTTTGAACTTCTCGGCCACGGTAGAAGAAAAGGCTCTCCATTACAGAGCTGAGTTCTCAATCCTTTTCTGTTCCCCTCTACAGCTGATGAAGAATTTGAAGAGGCTTTCTGAACTGCCAATTACAATTGACATTCTTATGGTAAGTCTTATTTTGTAGCATCATTTCTTGCCCTTGGAAACTTAATTCCGTTGGCAATTCCAAATATTGCTGCCCAGGATGGTGGTTCTAGGGCAGTGTTTCCCAAACTTGACAATTTTAAGGCATGTGGACTTCAACTCCCAGAATTCCACAGCCAGCGTTGCTGGCTGTGGAATTCTGGGAGTTGAAGTCCACATGCCTTAAAATTGTCAAGTTTGGGAAACACTGTTCTAGGGCAGTGATGGCGAACCTTTTAGAGACCGAGTGCCCAAACTGCAACCCAAAACCCACTTATTTATCGCCGGTTGCCAGGTGGGCCTGGCCCACTGGGTGGACGTGGCTGTGGTGGTCATGGCAGACTGGGTGGGTGTGGTCACCTCAATGTTGCTGGTGGGGAGGGATGCCTGTGGGGGCTGGGCAGGGTTGGGGGAGACCCAAGGGGTCTCTGGCAGGTGGGGCGGTGGGCAGGAGGCTCGTCCTGCGAGGCGAGGCGAGGCAAGGCGAGGCAGGGCGGGGGTGCCATTGTCGCAGGGCAAAGTGAGGCAGAGGCCGGGGCAGCTGTTGCCTGATACCATTGGCCCCCTGCACACACAGGCCAGCAAGCACATGGGTGCTGGGATGCATCCGGCCACGTGGGACCTTGGCGACTTAGCGGACAGCTGGTTAGGGCATGGTGCGTGTGCCCACAGAGAGGGCTCTGAGTGCCGCCTCTGGCACGCGTGCCATAGGTTCGCCACCACTGTTCTAGGGAGTGAGAAGTTGCAAATCTGAATAACCTCTCTGAAGATTGATTATTTATAAGTTTTGATAGCATGGTATCTCACAGCAGCAGTAAAACCCAATAAACTACAGCTCTTGGTGACTCTTTCTACCACGGCACAGTGTCCTTTGAGTCGTCTAAGCCAGGATGGGGCTAAATCTGTCCTGTTGTGATGGCGCTGTCCTAATTACAAATGAGACGGCTCAGACAGAGCCTGCAAAATACGTACAGAAAAATGTTTTGTTGCTCCACGTATAGCCTGCTAAGCCATAACTGTGCTTTGAATAAGTCACAGCTGGGCTGGGTTAATATCTTGCATTCAGCCGTGATTGGTTTATTTGTTTTGGGTCTAGCTCAGTGGTTCTCAACCTGTGGGTCGGGACCCCATTTGGGGTCGAACGACCATTTCACGGGGGTCGCCAAACAACGCAGTCCGCCATGTTTTCCCCCCTTTTCCTTAGCTGTGCTACTCCCTTTTATTCTATTGGCTTTAAAAGGCAACAGAATAGACTCTCTTGAATAGAGTCTAATTCTATTGGCTTTCAAAAGCCAATAGGAATTGTCCAGGCTGTCTCTGCCCTGCTGAGCCCGCCAAAAGTCCCAGTCTGCAAATGGTGCTGCACCAGTTGAGTAGTCCTCGACTTACGACCGGTTGAGTAGCCCTCGACTTATGACCGGTTGGGGGTCGCGGCATTAAAAAGGTTGAGAACCACTGGTCTAGCTAGTCGTATGAACTCAGCCGTTAACTAGCTATCATTGTCAAAGCTGGTTTTTTTGCATCCTTTCCGCAGGAGACTGGTGTCGGAAAGACGGTGAACGGTTTACGAAAACACGAACATGTTGGGGACTTTGCCAGGAACTTGGTAGCGAGATGGAAGAAGCTGGTGCCAGTTTCACAGGAAACAGAGCGGTGAGTTGGGCCTTTATAATATCTCTGCTCTTGAATGTTTCTTCTCAGTAGACAATGTCCTTGTATAGTTCATCTGCCCTCAAGAACAATTTGAAAGTCTGTTTCCCGATACAGCTCCACTGCCTGTTGGAATGCGCTAAATGTCCCCTTAAAGCTTTAATAGCCGGAGAGAACATAAACAATGAAAGATGAAGATGTTTTGATAAAATAATGTGAAGGGGAAAAAGAAAAAAAAAGAAACGTGCAGGCTTTCTAGACCAGTGTTTCTCAACCTTGACCATTTTAAGGCATGTGGACTTCAACTCCCAGAATTCCACAGCCAGCGTTGCTGGCTGTGGAATTCTGGGAGTTGAAGTCCACATGCCTTAAAATGGTCAAGGTTGAGAAACACTGGTCTAGACAGTATATGAAGAACGGTTGTAGGATTTGGGTATGGCTAGTCTAGAGAAAAGAAGGACTAGGGATGATATGATAGCAGTATTTCAGTATTTGAGGGGCTGCCACAAAGAGGAGGGGGTCAACATGTTTTCCAAAGCACCAGAAGGCAAGAAACAATGGATGGAAAATAATCTAGAAGAGAACCTGGAATTAATTCAGAATTAATTCTGAACAATTAACCACTGCCTTCAGAAGTTGTGGGTGCTTCATCACTGGAGGTTTTTAAGAAAAGACTGGACAGTCAGTTGTCTGAAATGGTTTAGGGTCTCCTGCTTGAGCAGGGGGTTGGGCTAGAGGACCTCCGAGGTCCCTTCCAGCTCTATTCTATTCTAAATTCCAGTCTAGAAACTAGATAGAAGTTGGCTGCATTCTGTTTTGGAGTTAAGAAGAAGATGGGACTAGGCCAGTGGTGGCGAACCTATGGCACGGGTGCCAGAGGCGGCACTCAGAGCCCTCTCTGTGGGCACGCACGCCGTCGCCCCAGTCCTAGGCCTTCAGCTGGGTTTTATAAAACCTTTTCGCTTTAGGCAGTGTGCAAAAAAAAAAAAAAAGGTTCAATCAGTCAATTTCAACTTCTCGCTGGGAAAAAAAAAAGATCTTGCAAAGTTGGAACTGATTGATTGAACTTTTTAATCCCACCCAGTCTGCCATTACCATTGCAGCCACACCCACCCAATGAGCCACGCCCAGCCAATTGGCCACACCTATCCAGTCTGCCAGGTGGCCACACCCACCCGGCACCCATCCAGTCTGCTGTTACCACTGCAGCCATGCCCACCCCATTGGCCACACCCAGCCAATGGGCCATACCCACCCGGCACTCGACGATGCATAAATGGGTTTTGGGTTGCATTTTGGGCATTCGGTCTCTAAAAGGTTCGCTATCACTGGACTAGGCGATCATAGCCTTAGCTTAGGGTTTCAGTAATTTTCAGTTAGATTCAATAATGCAATTCTTTCTCCGTTTTTTTTCTTTTTTTAAGGCATACTCTTGAATCTACAGCACAGGGCTATGACCAAAACATCTCTAGGAAACGGCAGCGAGACCTTCATCCCAAAGAGGATGAAAAGGCCTACTCAGAGACATATCAGCCTTCTTGCAGCCAGTCATATGAGTTGGATTGTGGAACTAAAAAGACCAAGAGGTATTCAGACCCGGAAAAATCTGAGCATGATGAAAGCTACGGTATTGCAGAAGACAGGTCATGGAGGAGAGGCTCCTCTGACCTGGAATGTTCTGATTATGGACACACGGTCTCATCTGAGCTCAGTGAAAGTCCTCAGGAACTATATATGGACCTCCATCACGCTGCAGAAGAAGAGCGGGAGCAAAATCTTTTTCCCCCAAAGGGGTCTAAAAGCCACCAATTTCAGGACAGACAAGAAGCTACTCCTCATAGGAACTTCAGTGACTCTCAAGATAAGGCTAGTTCAAGTCGGAGCAAAGAGCCTAAATCTTCTCACAAGGAGAGGCAGCGGCTAGAAACCAAGGGGAAGGAGAAGACACCTGTATTTAGCCCAGAGAGGTTACCAAAGGCTTCTTCATCCCAGGACGCTTCCTTATCGAGCAGCAGCAAAGAGAAGGCGAAGGCCCTGGACAGCCTCAAACAAGACAAGAAGAAAGACGGCAGCGGCATCAAGAAGGAGAAGGCCCACTTTGACCTGGATGATAGCTTGAACGAACATAGGAAGAAGCAAAAAACTCACGACTCCGAAAGGGCCAAACCAATAAAGATGAAGCTTAGCGTGGAAACCGTCTGTGGAGATCGGGAGAAACCAAAAGCTGTGGGTGATTTGCCCAATAAGAACAGGGAGAAGAAGACTCCCAGCAGCCTTAAAACCTCTGAGGGCAAACCCAGAGGCACTGAATCAAACAAGAGATCTGCAGGCCTCTCACCTTCCAGAGAGGGAGAGGTGGAGGATGAGTTTGAACAGCCCACCATGTCCTTTGAGTCCTACTTGAGTTACGACCTGCCTCAGAAGAAGAAGAGAAAGCTGGCCAAGCCCACGACTCCAGTCCCAGAGAAAGTCAAAGGACCTGGCAAGCAGAACGGTTCCAAGTGCAGTGCCAAGAGCTCAGACCCTAGCCGGAAGGCTCCCAAGCCACCGAGCGAGAAGAAGCCGGAGGAGCCCCCTAAAGCAAAAAAAGTAAGGTTTTTTTTGGGGGGGGGGGGAATCATTGCTTCACTGTTACCTTTTCTTGGGCAAATTGATGTCAAAGGCAACTGAATGAATCTAGCGCAGTGTTTCTCAACCTTGACAATTTTAAGGCACGTGGACTTCAACTCCCAGAATTCCACAGCCAGCAATGCTGGCTGTGGAATTCTGGGAGTTGAAGTCCACGTGCCTTAAAATTGTCAAGGTTGAGAAACACTGATCTGGCGCTTCAGTAATCCGGCTCACATCGCCCTGTCACGACGTGGCTTATTTGGGGACGTCGCCATGTGCATCTAGCCATCCTAATTTATAAATCGTTGCAAATGAGGGTTCCTTCAGCAAACTGGTTAAGCCAGTCAGGGCTTGCATGCCCACGGGATTGTTTAGCCCACCGAAGGTCCAGACGAAGGTCCTGCAGGCTTCAAAGGCAGCCTGTGCTTTAACACAGACACATCAAACAGAAGGCCCCGGGGGCCGGATGCGGCCCACGAAGTGGTTTCATGTGGCCCGCAAAGCCATCCTGGAAACAGCGAGGAAACGGCCCCCTCTGCCTTGGCCCTGGCCCAGGCCGGCCGGGGGCCAATTTACAATTTTGTGGTGGCCATCTAGGCTGAAATGCATTCAGTCTTAGCTCCACAAGGTCGTCTAGAAACAGCGAGGGACCAGCCCCTGCCGCGTTGGCCCCATCCCCTGGGTGCATGCTGGGGAGGGTTCAGCCTTTGTGAGGAATGAAGAAATGCACCATGCCTTGATGCTTGCCCCGGTCCCACCCCCTTCTGCCAGAAACCCTCAGATCTATCCCACTCCTGCCCAGGCCCCCACAGGCACCCTTGACGCGAACTATGTAGAGCTGGCCATGTCCATCCAGTAGGCCACACCCACTCCATCCACACCCACCCAGTAGACCGCACCCACCCTGGCCACACCCACCCCCCCAGGGCAACTGCAATGCTGATGCGACCCTCAATGCAATTGAGTTTGACACCCCTGCTCTAACAGTTTGGGCTCATTAATAACTAGTTCTGCCCAGAGGCTTTTCAGATATGCTACAATGCAATACCCACCGTACCCATGCTGGTTGAGGATGATAGCCGTTGTAGTCCCGTCCTTCTGAAAGGGGCCAGATTAGAAAAGGCCGAATTTAGTAGGAAAGGAGTCCTGTTTAAACTTCCCAGATGGAGCACTGAAATCTGTTGAGGATGTTTTCATTCTCCTGCCTTTTCTCTTTGTGGAATGGGCTTCTCTGTTAACCTTACCCCAGGGATAAAAATGGAACTCGATCCTTTTCAAAAACTCCTGTTGAGTCAGCTAGCTTTGGGATAGGTGCCGTTTTCTCTCCAGGGGAAACGAAGAAAGTCCTTGGAGCCACTGAACTTGGTTGTTTGCAGATGTTTCATTACCCAATTAGGTCACACAACTGCAGCGAGTGGGATTTACCCCTCTGCCTTCTTCCAGTATACTATTACCTGCCAAAGAAATATTTAGCTACATCATTTCCATTGTTTGTAATGGAATATATAAATAATTAAAATAATGCTTTAAAGTTATTCCCTAGACCAGGGGTAGGCAACCTTGGCTCTTTTATGACTCGTGGACTTCAACTCCCAGAATTCCTGAGCCAGCATGGCTCAGCTTGGAAACCTCTCCCTTTCCCCTCAGCATGGCTGGCTCAGGAATTCTGGGAGTTGAAGTCCACGAGTCATAAAAGAGCCAAGGTTGCCTACCTCTGGCCTAGGCCGCTTTATGACTCATGGACTTCAACTCCCAGAATTCCTGAGCCAGCAGGGCTCAGCTTGGAAACCTCTCCCTTTCCCCTCAGCATGGCTGGCTCAGGAATTCTGGAAGTTGAAGTCCACCAGTCATTAAGTGGCCTAGGCCTAGGCCGGGGTAGGCAACCTTGGCTCTTTTATGACTCGTGGACTTCAACTCCCAGAATTCCTGAGGCAGCATGGCTCAGCTTGGAAACCTCTCCCTTTCCCCTCAGCATGGCTGGCTCAGGAATTCTGGGAGTTGAAGTCCATGAGTCATAGAAGAGCCACGGTTGCCTACCCCTGGACTAGACCAATTTTTCTATAGGTTGATAGGTAGACAGCACTCAGCGGTGAAAAAAGTAGAAGGTTAGAGGGCACAGTTCTTTGAACTCCCCATCATTTCTAATAACAGAATACTCGACATGTTTGAGTTTACCTCTGTTGAAGTACGGCCTGCTCAAAATGTTCAGTGAAACGTTTTGTTGTGAGTCTGTTTGGTTCCAAGGATGAATTTCTTGGAATACAGACTTTTGCGTAGCTATCCTAACCAAACGTGGGCTTTCTCCCCTCCAGTTACTTATTGATGTGGTGCCGATGCTTCCCGACATCCCGTTGCCTCCAATCCAGGCAAATTATCGTCCTCTTCCTTCAATGGAGATGATCCCGTTCACCCAACCAAAGAGAAAAGGTAAAGTCAAAGCGGGAAGCTTCTTGAGGCTTTTATTTACTATTTCTAAATGTCGTGGCGGAGTGATAACAGAAAAGAATCGCATAGACGTTTTGGATTGTTCTGCTACCTTTTATTCACTTGTATAGGTCTCCTTCCTCCTGCGAAAAAGGAGGAAAGACCGCTACATAAATACAATAAGAATAGATGCCAATTTGGATTCAGAGAAATAGTCGAAGAGCTCAGTTGGCAGTTGATACTTTCTCTGATGCTTTCCGAGAAGGAGAGGAATGCGATTGTGGCTTTGCTTCCAAGCATACTGCATCTCAGTTGTTTGATCATGAAGATCTTTCATGCAGCGAGGAATCCTCTGCATCACATTAAAAGCACGAGTAAATAGTTTTCGTTCACTGTCCCAAAGTTGAGCTTATTCCCTTGAGTCAGAAGTGGGGATTTTCCATGTAAGCCGCCTAGAGCAGTGGTGGTGAACCTATGGCACGCGTGCCACAGGCGGCACTCAGAGCCTTCTCTGTGGGCACACGCGCCATGCCCCGGAGATGGCAACCGTCCCTCTTCAACCAGCTGCCCGCTAACTCGCCGAGGTCCCACGTGGCTGGATGCATCCCAGCACCCATGCGCTCGCTGGCCTCTGTGTGCAGGGGCTGATGGTGTCAGGCCCCTACCTCACCTTGCCCTGTGACAAAGGCAGCCCGCCCTGCCTCGCCTTGCCTCTCCTCTCCCTGCAGGACGAGCCTCCTGCCCACCGCCCCACCTGCCAGAGACCCTCTGGATCTCCCCCAACCCTGCCTGGCCCCCACAGGCGTCCCTCCCCACCAGCAACATTGAGGAGATCACGTCCACCTTGGCCATACCCATCCAGTCTGCCATGACCACCACAGCCATGCCCATCCAGTGGGCCACGCCCACCTGGCACCCGGCGATAAATAAGTGGGTTTTGGGTTGCAGTTTGGGCACTCGGTCTCTAAAAGGTTCGCCATCACTGGCCTAGAGCAGGGCTAGGCAACCTTGGCTCTTTTATGACTCGTGGACTTCAACTCCCAGAATTCCTGAGCCAGCCATGCTGAGGGGAAAGGGAGAGGTTTCCAAGCTGAGCCATGCTGGCTCAGGAATTCTGGGAGTTGAAGTCCACGAGTCATGAAGGGGCCATAGTTCCCCCATGCTGGCTCAGGAATTCTGGGAGTTGAAGTCCACAAGTCATAAAAGAGCCAAGGTTGCCTACCCCTGGCCTAGAGTATAGCCCCACGGCGAGACAGGCAGCAGCTAAATTTGACAAATAAATAAATAATGGAAAGGCCTTCACAAACTCTGTTATAGATGGGCAGAGGTGTAAACTTGCTGTATCAAAGCCCTGTCTGGTAGCTGTAAACCAGGTATTCCGTGCAACTGCCGTGAACTTTCCTGCATTATATGGTGGGGTTGGAGTATATTTTTGGTCTTCCATGATTCCCTCCCCCCCCCCCAGGCTGGATGATACCCTGGTCTCTAATGAGTCTTTCCCCTGCTTTAATCTTCCGCTGGCTTTGCAGCACTCTCCTCCCCAACTCAAGAGGACGAGGCTGGTTTCACCGGACGTCGGTTGAATTCCAAGATGCAGGTGTACTCCGGTTCCAAGACAGCTTATCTTCCGAAGATGATGAGTCTTCATGAGCAATGCATCCGGGTTCTCAGCAACAATATTGATTGTGAGTCCCATCGGTTGGCCTGCGGACTGCGAAGGGGAGGGAGTTTGACAGGGAACTTAAAATCAGGATACGTGTTTATTCATTAGGTTTACACGGCTGCCCAACTCACGGTAACACCCAGGCAGCTTTTGATTCCTGGTACTGAACACAGGGACTCTTGACTTATGACCATTTGGTTAATGACCGTTTGAAATTGAAAAAAAGAAAAGTGACTTACAACTGTTCCTCACGCTTGCAACCGTCGACAGCGTCTCCGCAGCCATGTGATCAGGATTTGGGTTGCTTGGCAATTGTGGTCGTAAGTCGAGGAGTACTTGTGTATCTGTCAGGCAAACATTTGCATTAGAGGGCTGCTTAATTCATTACTCCTCCGTCCAGCTGACCAGTTCCCTTTCAGAGCTCCTTTTCTCTTACAACCATGTTAATTTCTGATTTGGGGTGGAGTCTGGGGAGGAGGCAGAAAAGGCACAATTAATAGAATAGAATAACAGAGTTGGAATGGATCTTGGAGGTCTTCTAGTCCAACCCCCTGCGCAGGCAGGAAACCCTATACTACTTCAGACAAATGGTTGTCCAATCTCTTCTTAAAAACCTCCAGTGTTGGAGCATCCACAACTTCTGGTGGCAAGCTGTTCCACTGGTTAATTGTCCTGTCAGGAAATTTCTCCTTAGCTCCAGGCTGCTTCTGTCCTTGATTAGTGTCCATCTGTTGCTTCTTGTCCTGCCTTCTGGTGCTGTGGAGAACAGGCTGACCCCCCCCCTTCTCTGCGGCAGCCCCTCAAATACTGGAAGATGCTATCATGCCCCCCCCCCAGCCCTTCTTTTCACTAGACATACCCAATTCCTGCAACTGTTCTTCATATGTTTTAGTCTCCAGCCCCCTGATCATCTTTATAGTAGCATACTACAATTGGGTCAGTCCCATACCTGAATAAGTGGGACGGGCTGATGGGATGGGGCAAAGCCGGTTCCATGGATATGCTGGCCCTATGCAATGTAAAGCTTTATAGAAGGGGTCCCCAAACCCCCCCCCCCAGTCTGTGAACCGGCACCGGGCCGTGGCATGCCAGAAACCAGGCTGTACAAACAAGCGAAGCCCCCCTCCACGGGATGCAGGCAGCCTGTGAAACCAGGCCCCCTCCGGTCCATGGAAAAACCTCTCTCTCCACGGAACCGGTCCCTGGTGCCCAAAGTTTGGGGGCCCCTGTTTTATAGGTAATAACCAACACCTTCCTAGTCATTGCGTGCCTGTCCCAAACACAATTAAGGCAAGAGCTTCTGTGAAAGGAGAAAGACTGATGAAGGTGTCTCCTACTACCAATATTTCTCTCTTGTGACCCTCTTTGCATTACCTTTGAAGGGCAGTGCTAGGCTTAGGAGCCAAATGCTGAACTCTTTGGCCTTCATTGGGATTTCATCCACACCTTTCATCCACAAAGCTAGGGTTTGTTTATAGTTTTTTTTAATGAAAACATTGGAAGAGAATAAATAAAGTACGTTCCCAGTGGTTCCACTGAAAGAGACAGTAGCATAAAGAGACCATTTGATCTCGCCGGGATTGGCATGAAATGACCCATGAAACCATAGTTCATGGTTTAACCAGAGGGGCTAAACTGACAGAGGTGTGCCTTACTACTGCCACTTAGATCTGTTTCGTCCTAAAGCAGTCTGCCCTTCTGTGGTTCCCTGCTTCTCTTTCTGGGGAAAAATTGATTTGGACAACATCTATCTATCTATCTATCTATCTATCTATCTATCTATCTGTCTGTCTGTCTGTCTGTCTGTCTGTCTGTCTGTCTGTCTGTCTGTCTGTCTGTCTGTCTATCTATTTATGAGACTTATATACCGCTTTAAGTGCAAGCACTCTCTAAGCGGTGTACACCAGTAAGCAATGTATATATATATATTTACATTGCCCCCAACAATCTGGGTCCTCATTTTACCTACCCCGGAAGGATGGAAGGCTGAGTCAACCTTGAGCCGCTGAGATTTGAACCGCTGACCTGCTGAACGCAGTCAGCTAAAGTGGCCTGCAGTACTGCACTCTAACTGCTGTGCCACCTCGGCTGTTAATCTATTAATGTTAATTAATCTATTAATGTCTCGGTTTTCTATTTTGCACCCATGACATGATGGGAAGACCATGGTTCCCTTGTGTGACCTAGAAAACATTCTGGTCCTTCTATCCATACATGGCTGATTTTATGCCTCCTGAATTTCAGAAGATGCGGCCATGGGCCGTGATGCGTATAAAACCAAGTATCTGTTTCCCACTTGGAAAATGTGCCCTGAAAATGAAGAAAAGTCTTGTCTTCTTTTTTTTTCCCCTAGCAATCTATGAAGTGGGTGGTGTCCCTTATTCTGTAATTGAGCCTGTTTTGGAACGCTGCACCCCAGAACAGTTGTATCGCATTGAGGAGTACAATCACGTGAGTGTTACTAGATAAGAGGCAATGGGATGTGTTGATCATTGATGAGTCTTCACCATTTGTAGCAAGACCAACAGATGGTTCAAATAAGGTGTGGTTTAATTTTCCAGGATTTTGCTTGTCTCTGCTCCAGGATTTAAAATTAAGACATTGCTCCCTTTTGTAGCACCTCTGTAAAGGACAGTGGCTAAATTTTATTTACTTGAAAGTGCTTTCTACCTTGGATGTAACTAAAAAAACAGCTGGTATAACATCAGTATAGGGAATGCTGTATTTAAGAAAAATACTCTTATTTTTTTATTCAGATGACATAAATGTGCAAGACAAAATATACTGGAGGAAGTTAATTGAAGGATAACAATTATGTATAATAAATATAAAATTCATTATGTAATAATACAACCTCCAACAGTGATATCTTATAAGAAGAGTCAGTAAAATAACAGCGCTATGATTAGATAATAGAGAAGAGCCTCAGAAAATGAAAACTTTGTGGAAAAGCAAAGATTTTGAGAAACGGTTCCTTTCTGCAGAGCAGTATTTCTCTCCTCAACCATCAAGAGGAACTGGACTTGGAAGTTCTAGGAGTTGAAGTCCACACATTGAAAGCTGTCAGGTGGAGAAATACTGCTGTACAGAGAAAGTAATTTTGACCTGCTCTGCAAGCTGAACGAAAGTCCTTTGCAGAAATTTTACACACTACATGATACCAGTACTGCCAAATGACAAATTGGCATTTGGGATTGTGGGTGAGTGGGTGGGTGAGGAAGATACTGAGGTTGCATTGTAAAGCCCCCCACCCAATGAATTTCGGGACTTGGCTATTAGCTAATGAAGCTAATGAATTGTACGGATTTCCTTCTGTGCCAGCCTAACCCGTAAAGGGTATAGTAATAGCTAGCTTAAAAACCTGCTCTTAATTACCCTATGTGCTTTCCAAGCGTATTTGGTAGAGGGAATTAAATTGGATCTTGGCAACGTTGCCACCTGTTTGTCACCAGCTGCTGTTCTCCTTAAACATTCCTCTAAGGAACAAATAATGATCAAGTGAGACAGAGTGGCTTTAGGGATGGGAAGCATCTACCCCTTAATTTTCTTAAACCCCACAAGGATGAACGGCAGCAAAATGACTAAGGGGCAGGTGATAAAAGAAGTCTCTTAAGAGGAGCCCAAGAGATTCTGAGCACCTGGAAGGCCATTCTGTAAGCCCTGGACGTTGCTTCCTTTATCACCAGCCCAAATAGCAAAGAGGATTGAATGTGCTATTTTTTTGAAAGTTGTCTTTGTTGACAAAAGCGATTCCATTCCTCTCCAGTGAATAACCCTAAAGGAAAAGATTTGTATAATTAGTTCTCAACTTAAGACTGCAGTTGGGAGCAGCATTTTGGTCGTAGGTTATGTGGCATTCGCGTGACTGGACCTGGTTTTACAACTTGGGGTTTTGTAGTATTTCCCTGTTGTTGTTGTTTTAAATCTGAAGAGTATATCTTCCAGTTGGCAGATTGCATCTCAAGACAACTAGATCTTGGTTCATAAAGGTTTGGAACTTGTATGCCCTCAGAATAATTCTCTATTTAGTCTTTCCGAGGGACTCCAACCCTAGGCTCAATCTTCATTTGCTCTTGGCCTCCAGGTTTTAACTGAAGACACAGATCAGTTGTGGCACAATCATTGCCAGCGTGATTTCAAGAAAGAGAAGCCAGATGAGTTTGAGAGCTGGAGAGAAATGTATCTACGGCTGCATGATGCTCGAGAGCAGCGACTTCTGATGCTAACGCAAAACATCCGTTCAGCTCATGCCAATAAGCCCAAAGGTAGAGTGCTGGGCGGAGCGATTGAGCGGGCATGGAGACACGGGGATATTGGATGTTGACTCCCATCATTACTTTGGCTGTGCTGGCTTGGAATGAAGGCACTTGAATTCCCATAGGTGTAGACCAGGGGTCTTCAAACTTGTCCCTTTTATGACTTGCGGACTTCAACTCCCAGAATTCCTCAGCCAGTGTGCCTGGCTGAGGGATTCTGGGAGTTGAAGCCCGCAAATCATAAAAGGGACAAGTTTGAAGACCCCTGGTCTAGAAGTTGCCGGGTCTTGGATGATGGGCTGTTAGAAATCAGCTCATAGTGAATAGCTGTGTGTCCTTTTCAACAACTGGCAACCCTAGCCAGCTTGCCAAGTTGACGTTGGCATGTTCCAAGTAGATAAGGGTTCCCTATTCCTTTAAGTCAGAGGATGATGGAGGTTCCAGTGAATATGGAGATTCTCAGTCATCCAGGTCATGATTGTCCCAAAGATGCTTTTCCAAAAGGCAAGTGGACTTGTGTTTTTTTTTTCCTTGAACTGAAGTTAGAACTGGAGAAGCTTCTTCGATGAGAAGCGAAACGATTTCAAGGGGGAAAAAAAACCCAAGAAAGTCCACTTGCCTTTGGGAGTTCCAATGACTAGGGATGCCCATTTATGAGATTGCAGATCTGACTTGATGTGCTCTTGGGCTGAAACTAGCCTATAAAAGCCTTCACGCTAAAAACAAGAATAATTGTGGGAATCATCGTGTCTTAGAAGTGGAGGGAAAGAAGAACATTTCCACCAAAGAGGAGACATGTTTCTTAGCCACCCTCTCCCCATCAGTTATCACAGGGATTTTCCTTCCACGCTTTCTGAGTTGACCTCTCTTTCTTGGCTTTGCTCCTCTTGTAGCCAGAGTAGCTAAGATGGCATTTGTCAACTCAACGGTCAAGCCACCCCGGGAGGTGAGGAGAAGACAAGAAAAATTTGGAACTGGAGGAGCAGCTGTCCCAGAGAAGATCAAGTATGTTTTATATGAAGGCTTTCGCTTTATCTTCTTTTTGAGGGGTGAGAGAGCTGGGACAAGCTGCAGGGAAAAAAATATATATATGAAAGGCTGCATCTATCCTGCCTATCGGAATTCATTTTGGGAGCAGACGCAACATTGTGCGAGATTATGTTATGGCTAGTTTTAGACACCTATGTACCTATCTTAGGCATCACCCATGCTCCCAGCAGTGCTGTCCCTCCTATGATTGCAATTAAATTGTTCTCTTCGAGAGAAATAATGGTTTATACCTTTTAAACAAAGGTGATGAGCGGGCCACTAAGAAAAGGCGACCTGGCCCTAAACAATGGGGACAAAAATAAAATGGATTTTTCCAGATCTAAATACCTGATCTGTTAAATTGTTAAATTTAATTACAGCTGCAAGGTTGTTAGTAGGGCAATGTTGGAAGAAGGAATCTTTGCCTACTTTGCAAGAGTGGTTTCTTAAAGTTTCTTATTTGGCGGAAATGGCAAAGATTTCGGCTTTCTTGAAGGATCAATCGCAAGAGAAGTATGTTGCGGTATGGAAAAAATGGATAGATTTTATACAACATAAGTTGGATATAAAAAAATATTTAGTTTTTTAACAATTTATATTTAAAATTGAATATTTTTTTTATATTTTTCTTCTTTTTTCCTTTTCTCTCTTTTTTTCTTTTCTAAACATTTATTTTTTTGTATTTATGTTTTTTTATATATACACTATTGTTAATTATTTCATAATTTCTCTAAGTAATGTATTTAGATTTATTTATGGTTTATATCTTTTCTAAGATTTTTTGATGAAATTTTAATTAAGCCTATATTCAGCTCCGGGAAGGTCGGGGGAGGGAATGGGAGGGTTGGGGAGGTTGGGGGGAAGATTGTTTTGTTTTTGTAAAATCTTAAAAATTTAATAAAAAAAAAAATACCTGATGCTTGAGTGAAGAGGGAGCAACTGATCTCCAGTAACTCTGGTTGTTCCTGGGTGACACATTTTCTGGGTCTATTACCAGTCCAGGCCCTGCCAGAGAAATTGCCTCGGTGGCCCTGGGCGAGCGCATTTGTTGAATCTGCAGTGGACAATTCCTGACCGCTCACCACCTTCTCTTTCCTCAGAATCAAACCTCTGTTCTTCACGCCAACAAAAAGCAGCAGCGTTCACGCTGAAGAGGAACCGGCTTACGACAGGCCCAGCACCAGCAGCGGCCTCTCAGGCTCATCCCTGGGCAGCACTTCATCGGTGACCTATGACCCGAGGAAGCCCCAGGTGAAGAGTAAGTGAGCTGATGCCTCCCCATCCTGTAAAAAGATTGAGGTTTTTCATGAAAAATATTCTATTGATCTCTAATGGGCTTAAATGATTTTTACGTGATTTAAAATGAATGTGTCCATTTTAACCTTTGATAACAGTAAAGATTGGAGGCTAAAGCATATAAGGAATGGCTGCTGGAATTGGGTATGTCTAGTCTAACAAAGAGAAGGACGAGGGGGGACATGATAGCCATGTTCTAGTATCTCAGGGGCTGCCCCAAAGAAGAGGGAGTCAAGCTATTCTCCAAAGCGCCTGAAGGCAGGATAAGAAGCAATGGATGGAAACTCATCAAGGAGAGAAGCAACCTAGAACTAAGGAGAAACTTCCTTACGGTTAGAACAGTTAACCAGTGAAACAACCTGCCTCCAGAAGCGGTGAATGCTCCAACATTGGAAGTTTTTAAGAAGAGACTGGACAGCCATTTGTCTGAAATGGTGTAGGGTTACCTGCCTGAGCAGGGGGTTGGACTAGATGACCTCCAAGGTCCCTTCCAACTTTATTATTATTATTATGGATCATCGCACAGTCAGCCAGATGTTCAGACTGGATTTGGCATTTTGTCTACCTATCGAGTCCTTACCCAGGACCTGGGATAGGCAGATGTGAATGTTTGATGGTATTACAGGTATCGTCGCAGGATGGAAGCAGTTCCTAGTAAGGCTGCCTTTTGCAATTGACTAATAGCGAATTTGTCAATGCCAATGGTGTTCAAGTGGTGCTCCAGTTGTTTTGGGGATTGCACCCAAGGAGCCTATGACTATTGGTACTACCCTTGCTTGCTTTTGCCACAGTCTTTCTATTTCTCTTTGTAGGTCTTTGTATTTTGTTATCTTCTCCAGTTCTTTCTCGTCTATTCTGCTGTCTCCAGGCCCTGCCACGTCCACTATCCAGACTTTTTTGTCTTTCTTATTGACAGTTGTTAAATCTGGGGTGTTATGTTGCAGGTGCTTGTCTGTTTGAATTCTGAAGTCCCAGAGCAGTTTAATTTTATCATTTTCTATGACTTTCTCTATTTTATGATCCCCCCAGTTTTTGCTTACAGGCAAATGATATTTTTTGCAGATCTTCCAATGCACCATTGTTGCTACTTTGTCATGCCGCTGCTTATAGTCAGTCTGTGCAATCTTCTTGCAGCAGCTTACCAGGTGGTCCACTGTTTCTTCAGCTTCTTTGCACTAGATGTCCTCCAAGGTCCCTTCCAACATTATTATTATTATTATTATTATTATTATTATTATTATTATTATTATTATTATTCATAACAAAATATCCAAACAAAAGCTCTTTTACAGGGGACAGGGTGTATTTGTGTCTCCATAATTTTTTAAATGGGAAGCAATTCAGAGGGCAAAAAGCTTAAGAAACACTGTTCTTGACCGTGCAGAATCCTATCAGACAGTCTTCCCCCTCTGCTATAAAGAGCTGATTCAGAAGCACAGTTCGATGGGCAAAATGTCTGGTTCTGCACAATTGCAGCACTCTAGCCCAAATGAGAATGATATGTAAATTAGTGTGATGTGTAAAATATATGTCCTTATGTCCATAGAGAAAGAAATCGGTAGCCATTAATGTGTGCCTTGCAAATATTTTTTTTCCTGCTAGTTAAATACAATTGGCTTGCTTCCTTAATGTTTCGAAACCTTTTCCTTCAAATGCAAGTCCAGATATGTATTCTGTATTTATATCTGTGCATCTTAACGCTGCAGCTCTCTTGCCTTTTTTTTGTTTTGCAGAAATTGCACCTATGATGGCAAAGACTATCAAGGCTTTCAAAAACCGATTTTCTCGAAGATAAAGACACTGTCAGGCTCCAGTGAATGCGAAGGAAAAATCTTATGGAAGCAATGCTTACAGGAAAATGGGAATTTGTTGGGGGGGGGTTCCTCAAATCCCCCAAAGCCCTATTTAAGACCAACTGCACAGTATTGTTCAAAACCCCCTTCCGGTTTTCTCCCTTTGTCCCCGTAATTTGGTTTTTATCTGCCAAGCGTTTTGCAAATGTGAAGTCTTGGCACCTGGCTGAGACATGAAGGTCCACAAGCTATAGCTCTTTCTTCAGTCTCTTTTTTCTGGACTCCAGAATGGAAAGAGACCCGCCTTCCACCATCTGCAGTGTTTTCTTTGTCACCCCTTGGCCAGTTGTAAGACTTCAGATCTGCTCTTCTAGTGTCCACTGTGAAAGACCATCTTTTTGCAGATACTGTTCACGATTAAGCAACCTCTGCTGAATGACCTCTTGAGACTTCTACAATCTTGGTCAATCTTCCAGCAAATGGATTTCCCCAGACATCATCATTTTCTCCTCCTTTCTGTTTTACAGTTGCAGCTCTTAAGTGTTCATCTCATGCCTAAAAACCCTTTGTGCCAGATACAAGTTGATTGGCCTTTCTAAATGGGGACATCTGGAGGTGCCACTGTCGTTCTGTTCACTTGGCAAAGGAAAAAAGTAATAATAAGAGATGGGTACATGTCATTTTAAACTCTTAGGGAAAAAAAAGCAGCACAACTCAGGAAGCGAAGAATAAGTCACTTTGCACACATCTGGATTTTAAGCATTCATCGGAGGTTTCTTATTTTAAAAATGTATAGTGACGATAATGGGGATAGGTTCTCCCCATTTCAAATGGAAAACAAGGACTTAACATTAGATTTTTCCTCTTCTATCCCTCTGGTTTTAACAACAGAACAGGCACTTTAATTCACTGTTACCCTTTAAAGAGCTCCATTGACAAAACCTCACTCATCTAGGAGTTTTGGATGTTGCAGAACAGAAAAAGATAGGCCAAGCCCAGGGGGCAGGTTTTGGTCTGGAGCTACAGCATCTGCTATGGAATAATCTACAAGAACATTTCATGCACAGAACAAGTCACGGGGGAAAAAGTTCTGAGAGTGGTCTATCTGTCTCGGTGCTTATTGGCTGCTGTTGTTTTACTCCTGGAGGGGACAGTGAGTTGATGATTTTATTTATGCTGATGTTGATAGTTATATGTTGTGGAGGGGAAAGACAGACCGGATTTTGGAAGGCTTGTTGGTGTGCTTCCTTAGTGCCACGGTTGAATGAACATTGATGTCCATGTGTTTTGTGAAGGAATCTGGCTTTTTCCTGATGATACGAATGGAGGAAAAAGAGGTTCTTCCCAGTGGCCTTCTACTGCCACCATTCTGAACTCTGGCCTTCAGGTTTTCTGCTGACACCCAATTACCCATGAGAGTAGTAGTCCAAAAGCCCCGTTAACTTTAAAAACCAGCAATTCCCCCATAAATGTAAAGCTGGAGGGGATATGTAGTATGTGCCATCTGGGATCAGAAAGCTCTCTTGGAGTTCTCTGTCCAGTCTAACCAACAATGTCCACTGAAATGCCAATAGTTGGAAGTTGCTGGGGATTTAAATTCAGCTCCAAAACTGCATGAAAAAGACAGCGCCTTTTTCAAAACCCACCATATAATTAAAAATTTATATGCATTTATATGCATTTTGTGTATGTATGTGTATATGTATGTACGCATGTATGTATATATATACATATATACACACATATATATATATATATGTAGGTGTGTATATATATATATATATATATATATATATATATATATATACATATATATACATATATACACACACACACACATATACGCAAAATATGTGTAGTGTGTGTTCAGCCATACACACACACACACATGAAAAGCATAGAATGCGTTTTGTGTATATATGTATGTGTGTGTATATATATGTATGTATATGTGTATATACATATGTATGTGTATATATACCCACACATACATACAAAATGCATATAAAATGCATGTAAAAATTTAATTATATGATAGTTTTTAAAAAAGGCACTGCCTTCCTCATGCAGTTTTGGAGTTGAATTTAAATCCCCAGCAACTTTGTGCAGCATTTTAAATTAAAGGCAGATTGGATTGAATGATGTTGGATTTTTAAAAAAATGCTCCTTTTGTGTTGCTGCACCTAATTTTGTGGGTTTTGACATGATATGTTCTTCTGCCAGTTGTTGTACCTGGTGTATTTTCTCCTTTTCGTTGTTGGATTTGGTGGTAGAAGGGACAGGCCAAGAAACTTCTCAACCATAGAAGGAAATTTACAAGAGTCTTGTTGGTCCAACTTGGCTGACACCCAATTAATTAATCATCAGAGGAGTAGTCACAAAAGCCCCAATAACTTTGAAAACCAGCAATTCCTCCATAAATGTAAAGCTGGAGGGGATATGTAGTATGTGCCATCTGGGATCAGAAAACTCTCTTGGAGTTCTCTGTCCAATCCAACAGACAATATCCCTTGAAGTTCCAGTAGTTGGAAATTGCTGGGGATTTAAATTCAGCTCGAAAATTGCATGAAAAAGACAGCGCCTTTTTCAAAAACCACCATATAATTAAAAATTTATATGCATTTATATGCATTTTGTGTATGTATGTGTATATATATATATACACACACACACATACATACACAAAATATGTGTAGTGTGTGTTCAGCCATACACACACACACATGAAAAGCATATAGAATGCGTTTTGTGTATGTATGTATATATATGTATGTATGTACATGTGTGTATATACATATGTATGTGTATATATATACACACACATACATACAAAATGCATATAAAATGCATATAAAAAATTAATTATATGATGGTTTTTTAAAAAGGCGCCGTCTTCCTTATGTAGTTTTGGAGCTGAATTTAAATCCTCAGCAACTTTGTGCAGCATTTGAAGTTAAAGGCGGACTGGATTGAATGAAGTTGGATTTTTTAAAAAATGCTCCTTTTGCATCGCTGCACCTAATTTTGTGAGTTTTGACTTATGATATGTTATTCTGCCAGTTGTTGTACCTGGTGTATTTTCTCCTTTTTGTTGTTGGATTTGGTGGTAGAAGGGAGAGGCCAAGAAACGTCTCAACCACAGACAGAAATTTACAAGAGTCTTGTTGGTCCAATTGTTAGCTATAAAAATTGGTGGATGATTTTCTCAACCTCTTTTTTTCCCATTCAAGTAAATATCCGGAGAACTTGAAATAATCAACTGGCTGGCTGGAGCCCCTTCCTTGCCACTGTGATATTTTTGTTTGCAATGGTTTTACTATAGGACAACACCATTCCCCACCTGAGATGGTACTTCCCAGTTGTGCAGGATTTGAATCCCCATTAACCCATGCTGACTACACGTTATGGGGTTTCCTGTCCAATGTATCTGGAGAAGGCATTTGGTGGGGAAGGTTGGCTAATGCCATCATGATGCCTTTTCATAGCACACACCTGTCACCAGGTGGACTGACAGCAGTAGTCACTGGTAGCTGCCAGAGTGACTTTTCAAAGCTTGTGTCAACCCCAGGTATTAGGGCTTCATTTTATCAGTGATGGGGAATCCCCTTTAAATGCAGTTTCTATGGCTCTAATGGTCAAGAAGAACACTTGTAGATTAACCACAGCACTGTTGGTACTGTTAATGGAGGAAACCATTGGCTATATTCAACTATATTTTGGACTAGTTGATTACCTTCTCTGATTAAAGTCAGAGTTCAAATTATATACTGCAAGCTTATCCAAACTGGCATATTCCAGATGTTTCAGTTCCCACGTTCTTTCCCAGTGCTCTCTGGGGGGGGGGGGGGATTATGGGAATTTCATTAAGTGACAGCACCTCACAGTCTGGTTAGAAACCATTTCCATGGAAAAGACTTCCAGGTCATTCATCCTTCTCTAATGTCGAAGTTTATTTTTATTTTGTTTTATTTAATGTTGTTTTAAATTTGGGCAAAAGTTACATGAATTGGGTTTTTAACTTCATTTTGGAACCTCCTTTTTAATGGTTGAGGATACACAAAAGACTCAGTTGCTGAATATGATAACTCGGCTTCCTTTTCTCATTGGGGACCCCACATATTTTAAAGTGGGTGCGATTTTCAGTTGCACACTACAAGCAAAAGAGCCATAGGAAATTGTGCCCCCCTGCTGCTGCTGCTGCTGCTGCTCCCCTCCTCCCTGTGTATACTACAAAAAAAAAAGGTAACACATCTGTCTGTTGATTCCCCCCTTGTAAATAGTTTTCTATTTTACTTTTTGGTGGTAACTATTGAGATAAATATTTTAATTAGATAACTTATAAGAAAGGAATTACATTGTGTATCAATAAAAGCCAAACACTGGAATTTGTCTCAGGTTTTTCTTTTTTTTTTTTATCCTCTCTGGAACTGTACCCTCTGACACCCCCTCCCCCAATGTAACAATCCCTAGACTGTCTCCCAGGCTGTACTTCCATGCCAAGAAAATGAGGAATGGAGTAATTGGGAGTTTTAGCTGGAAACAGGTTTGTGAGAACTTAATGGGGGTTCCATGAGAGATCTAGAGCAGTGGTTCTCAACCTGTGGGTCGGGACCCCATTTGGGGTCGAACGACCATTTCACGGGGGTCGCCAAACAAGGCTGTCCGCCATTTTTTTCCCCTTTTCTTTGGCCATGCCCTTGGCACCCGGTGATGTATAAGTGGTTGGGGGTCACCACAACATGGGGAACTGTATTATGGGGTCACGGCATTAGAAAGGTTGAGAACCACTGATCTAGAGCAACAAGGACAAAATTTCACTTGGACCCTGGCCAGAAACTTTTGTGGGCATTTTTGGAAAGGCCAGCCATGCAATATAGATGCAATTATGCAGCATAGAATTGGGGAGGCAAAAGGGAAATGTATTACTTTGGTTATGAAGTACTGTATGTGCTATACTGTAGGCATCTCTTTAGATAGCCAACTACATATAGTACTTTATAACCAGAGTTACTTCTGGATCTTTTGGCTGAAGAATTGGGGTGGCCAAAACTTTTAATGGAGAACACAATTAGATAGCTTTATTGTTCTGGATACTGTTCTAGATTTAAGATTTGGTATTTGTTCAAAGAACAAATTCTCCCTTACAGGAATTTATTTGTAGGTGTTTTTTGTTCATCATGTATTAATGTGCATTGTACAAAAGATCGGTCTGGAGAGAGTTATTTATCTTGAGACAATCTTTCAGTCATGGCAAACAGCAACACATATGTGGAAAAGTCCAGCCTTCTCTGCCTGATTCTACCAATCAGTGGTTGAAAATGTTGAGCTTTATAATCATAATATATCTGGAAGGGACCATGGTAGAATCCAACATTTTTAGAGAGTTCATTTTAGATTTAACATTTTGGGATGGCTAGGACTAATATTAATATTTATTTCCTTTAAAGGTAAATTAATTGTATTTCAAACCTGTAACTCCAATATAGTTAAATAAATGTGGGATAATAAAATTCTTTGCAATGAATACTCCGGGTTTTGAGGGACTACAAGTCTTGTATCTCTGCCATCTGGGGATTATTTTTTTTTTAAAGATAATTGAGGACCAACAATTAAACTCCAAAACCTGTGAAAGAAGACATGCCTTCAGTAAACTCAGTTTACAGTGGAAATAATAGTAGCAATGCACTGGATTAAAAAATGAAGGCTCTTAAGACTTAATTTCATGTATTCAATTGTTATTGACTGGGTTGACCCAATCTGCTGAACGGGTGGTTGCAAATCTATGGGCTGCATTGGCACATGTTCAACTTGGTTGTTTTCTTTTCTTTGGTTCAACACACCGTGGAAATCCTGGTGTGATGTTAATTTGTAGGTCAGTGAACTGTGGAAGCCCATGATTCATTCAGGTGCCTGAATATGTGCTGTGCATTTTCCTGTAGTTTGGTCTCTGTGCACTGTGTGAAATCGTCTTTTGAGGATACAAACCAGAAATCATGGCTTAGCTATTGGGCAAACCAAGTCATTGCAGTTTGCAGCTTAATGTGGTGTTCCTCAAACTTTTTTTCCTTCAGGACCCCTTCCATACGGAGGACCCCCAAAGAACTTGTTTGCATGGATTATATTGATCAACATTTACCATATTAAAAATTAAAATTGACCGGCGGACTGCCGTTACTTCTCACGCGGGTCTGATTGGATTTTAATGCTGAATTATTTTTCAACGTAGGCTGGCAAATTTTGGTTTTGAGGACCCTTGAGAAGGTCTTGGGGGACCCCCAGGGATCCGAGGACCACGCTTTAAGAAACACTGGCTTAGCGCGCTGTAGGTGCCCAACCCCGGAGGTCCATAAACCATCATCTGGGGCTACGTTCCCCATTGCAACTGAGCTTCGTTGAGCACAGCGCCATTTGGGAAGGAAGACGTTTTATTCGTCGATTCTTGACGAGTTCGGCAAACGAAGGCAAAACAGCCGTCCGGTTGCCTGGGCAACGACAAGGCCCGGCCCCCTCACCACGTGACGGGGATGGTCCGGAAGGACGGCACTGCGCCTGCGCTCCCTCACTTTTGTTGACGTGCGCGCGTGCTGCCGCTGGCGACTCCGGGTTGCTGAGGGGGCGGTCGGGTGTCCCCTCGCGCTCGGCCATGTCTCACGGGCACAGCCACGGCGGGGGCAGCTGTTGCCATGGCAACGACCACGAGGAGCCTCCTGAGCGGCGAGGCCAGGCCTGGGGCCTTTACCTGCGCATCGACCGCGACCGCCTGGAGTGCCTCAACGAGCGGAGGGAAGGCAGCGGCGCGCTCGTCTTCCGCGCCTGGGAAGACCGTGGGGATAGGCAGAAGGTCGGTCTCTTCCCCGGCAGCGGGCAGGGCAGGCGGGCCGTGGCTGTTGACGGGTCAGGGGTTCCTTTCACACAGCGCCCGTAACCCTGGCGGGAGTCGCATAATAGCAATTCCTGACAGCTGAGGGCGAACGCAGCCACAGAACGAATATTAGGCAAGATGAGGGTTTTCTCAACCTTGGCCGCTTTAAGAGGGGTGGACTTCAACTCCCAGAATTCCTCAGCCAGTAGTTGAAGCCCACCGAGTTTGAACCAGATTGGCTAGGGAATTCTGGGAGTTGAAGTTCACCCGTGTGAAGTGGCCAAGGTTGGGAATACTCCGTGTGTACACATTAATTGTGTTAATTAAGACTAACTTCAAATCCGGAGTACAAGGAAACTGCAGCTCTGGAGAATCAAGAAATCAAAGATCTGAATGTGCCAGTGAGCTGTGAAGCCAGCCATTAGAGCAGTGTTTCTCAACCTTGACAATTTTAAGGCATGTGGACTTCAACTCCCAGAATTCCACAGCCAGTGCTGGCTGTGGAATTCTGGGAGTTGAAGTCCACATGCCTTAAAATTGTCAAGGTTGAGAAACACTGCATTAGAGTTTAATTGGGAAGCTATGGTTAAATCAAACCATGGCTGAGCATGACATTTGATCTACCCTATTACCCAGGAGAGGTGCATGTTGTGCTGCTCAGGTCACTAAGGAGAATTAAGCTTTTTAGAAGATTTTCTCCCATCCCTGAAAATCTTCCGAAATATGGATAATAGTGCAAAAGGACAGGGAAGAGGAGTATAGAAATTCAGAATATAGTTAGCTTGGTGCACATCCTGAAACACAAATGACATGGTTTTGATAAGCATGCTTGAATATTGGCACCTGTCATTGTGCTGGTGGTGGTGTCATTTGCCAAGGATTATTGATGCTTTTAACGACAGGATTCATAAATGGAATGAAGCATTAGGGTACGTTAGAATGTGAATGCCACTATTGTGGTTTGTAGTATAATGCTTGCATTTGAAAAGCATGAGAACACGTTATCTAGATACATGTAGCATATTCAACAAACCATGTCTAAAGAAAGCAGTGCTGAATATTGCCTGTTCAAGCTAATATTACAGTTTTTTGATTATACAAAAAAAAAAGTGTCTCCGGACTTTTGTGCACCTTCTGATTGGAATATATATTCTATTTTGATACTATTTTGCATAGCTCCAATTTTCTGTGTGTATTATTGGTGTTTAAACACTTGTTCTAAAAACGTAAATTGAAAGTCTCCTGTGAGATCCTCAAGCAATCATTTTGAACGCACTGGTTTTGGGGGAACAATTGTCCTTTGCAATATATATTTCAGATTGAATGTCAAATTCATACATTAAATCCTATTCATTTTTTCCTAGTTTGTAGAAAGTGATGATGACGAAGAGCTCCTATTTAATATTCCGTAAGTACCCCCCCCTTTTTTTAAAAAAATACATATTGCTGTCTTTTGATTTCCTTTTGGAGATTTTATAACATGGTTTTGGAAGTGGGCTGATAACAACCGAATATAGAGAGAGCCAGTTTGTTGTAGTGGTTAAGGTGCTGTTCTAGAAGCCAGGAGACTGTTCTAGGTCTTCCTTAGGCATGAAAGCCAGCTGGGTGACTATGGGCCAGTTCCTATGTCTCAGCCCAATCTACCTCACACAGTTGTGGGGAAAAGAATGTTGGGTATGTTTGCTAATTTGAGCTATATATTGTAAAAAAGGTATGCTAAAAATCTAATAATGATAGACTATTTTTAAAATAATGGTGTAGTCTTGTTATAACTAGATTCAGCTGAGATTGGTTACTAAGACAATTTATGGCAAAAAACTCAATGTTAGGGTTGTGTTAAGGATATGTAGTTATTTTATTTAAGTCTTAACTGATGATTTTGTGGTTTAATTCCAGAACTGATGTTAAGTTAAAGGGATTTCAGTGGCAGGTGTGGGTAGTGAAAACAATAAGATTCCTTTCAAGCTGAAATCCCTAAGTGCAGTAACTGAACAAAAATAAATGAAGGACCAATGGCATTTTTTTTCTTTTTGCAGATTTACAGGCAATGTGAAATTAAAAGGAGTAATTGTGATGGGAGAGGATGATAATACGCACCCCTCAGAAATGAGACTGTAAGTTGAAGCAGTGGACAGATCGTTCATGTTGCAGAAGTCCCTAATTAAGATTAGGCTGGCTTAATGAAATAGAGGATCCAACATGCACAAATATATGTGATACTTTCTGGCTTCTTTGAAGCTTTCAGATCTTCTGCCTATATTAACACAGAACATGTTTATTCAGGATTTAGTTTCTCCACATCCTTTCAGTCACTTACAAATTTTCTTCTCTTTAGCAGAATTTACTGAATTCGTACTTTTCTTTAGCTGTTTTTGTAGTAGTTGTCTTTTCCTGAACTTGCTATTTTTTTTCATGCCATGAATAAATAAAAGACTGGGAAAAATTATTTCTGGAATTATAATAATGATTTTTTCTTGATCTCAAGGAATTCTTATAAATCTGTTTGCCAGCCTTTGCTTGGAAGTGAAATGTGTTTAAATGGCTACAATTTTAAAGCCTTGAGAGCCAAACAGCTACTAAAAAAATCTGTTTGGAGTGTGCTTGTGTTATCACTGCTTTTTAAAGTTATAATTTCTTTCCACATTGTAAATTTTAATACATGAGCTGAAACAACTTCAGTTTTAGAACTGCAGTATGATATTGTTGATGGCTTTGCTTGACAACCAAATTTCCACTTGTCATTTGCTATTCTTAGTGGCTGCTTTATTTAAACATTTATTATGAAACTTTATATGCCTCACTACCTCCAAGGACTCAGAATGATTTACAATAATAGTACAAGGAGAGCCAGTTTGATCTAGTTAATCGCCAGGCTAGAAACCAAGAAATCAAGAGTTTAGGCATGAAAGCCAGCCAGGTGATTTTTGGCTGGCCACTCTCTCTTGGCCCATCCCACCTCAGAAGGTTGTTGTTATGGGGAAAATAGGATGAGGAAGTACAGTGTGTATTTGCCACCTTGAGTTATCTATAAAAACAATAAAGACAGCATTAAAAAAATTCTTAAATAAAAGAAAATCCAAAAGCAAAGAGTTACAGTTGCATTCCAGATCCACTTTCTATGCCAAAGAATTTTTGGAAAAATCTTTTGTACTTGCCTTACCAAAAGTAAGTAAAATGGTGGGGTTTCCCTGTGGCTCAAGAAACATTGGAGTTGCTGATGGAAGGTATTCCTCTGGCGCCCTGTTCCTTGTTCCCCGTTGAGTGCACAAGATAGACTAAATCTGTCAGGAGAAATGGTCCTATAAGTTCATCTGTGCTGACCCATATAGGATTTCATAGATTAAAAACAGTATCTGCAACTGAACCTGGAAGCTTAATGGCAACCGTGCAGCCCCTTGCTCTTAGTTATTCATTTCAGGTGCTGTTCTTGTATTTCTGGATGATGGAAGATGCAGAAGTTTAAAAAAAGGGAAATTTGTTGGTGTATGACTGAAGTCCTCAATTACAGTATAAAATTAATAATTTAATATATCATTGTTGACTTATGAACTTAGTTACCTATAGGCCCGTTTTGGGGAGCAGTCTTTTTTATGCAGTGTTGTAAACAACTGAAACTGAAAGAACTGAAGAAGCTTCTTGGATGAGAAGCCAAAGGCCTTCAAAGAAAAACAAAGAAAGTCTAGTTGCCTCTTGAAAAAGCACCTTTGGGGCAACCATGACTTGGATCAGGGGTTCTCAACCTTGGCAACTTTAAGACTTGTGGACTTTAACTCCCAGCAAAGCTGGCTGAGGAATTCTGGGAGTTGAAGTCCACAAGTCTTAAAGTTGCCAAGGTTGAGAACCCCTGACCTGGATGATGGAGAATCTCCACAGACAACTGAAACTGAACTTTTTCCTTATTGTTTTTTTGATCTTCACTTTTGTGTAGTCCTAAGAACCAGTTTGAATATTCCTCCATTTTCTGATCCACATGACTACAGTGACTAGCTGTTGAAAACATCATGTGACATTTATACGAACTGACCCTTGCCTTTTTCTAGGTTTAAGAATATTCCTCATATGTCCTTTGATGATACTGCCCGAGAACCGGATCAGATCTTCAGCCTGAATCGTGATGTTTTAGGAGAACTAGAATATCCCACAAAGTATGTCATGGCTTATTCAGTCTTTTTTTCAAGGGGCCCAGTATTTGAGCCCCAAGTTCAAGAACATGCGCCTTGGGCTCTAATAATTGGGGGTACCAAGTTGGAGAAGTTTTTCTCTCCCAGTGCTTTTTTGTGGAGGATGTAACAGACTGTAAAGGAAACCATAGCAGTAAAAACTGTAGCTCTGTTTCAGGTGTAGGAGGAACTCCAAAGAGAAGAACAAGTGTTGCTAATCTGTGTATTTTAAAATGTTAACTTCTTTCTAAAATTAGTTAGCTGCCATATGACAGCCTTTCTGCAATCTCTCTCCCTCCAGTAGTATTGGAACTGAAATTCTAATCCCAGCATGTTTGCCTTCAGCAACTGGCTGCCCTCTAGCCACAGCTCTCAGGGATAATAAACCGGAATGGCACAGCTAAAAATAAAAACGACTTTGTTACTGGGTGAATGAATTATATGGTGAAACCGTTGCCATTACATCTGGGGGGGAAAGAGGTAGTGAGGCCCTCATGGAATGAAAGATTGAGGAACTGTGTGCAGTTAGGATTTAAAGCCTCGGCCTTTGGGGGAGATCTGCACTGGAGTAAGCTAATTTCTCATGTGTCCTCCCCTGCTCTCAAGATTTTCTTCCTAGAACAGTGATGGCGAACCTTTTAGAGGCCGAGTGCCCAAACTGCAACCCAAAACCCACTTATGCATCGTTGGGTGCCGGGTGGGTGTGGCCCATTGGCTGGATGGGGCCCATTGGGTGGGCGTGGTAACAGCAGACTGGGTGGGACTAAAAAGTTCAATCAATCAATTCCAACTTTGCAAGATCTTTTTTTTTCCCTGTGAGAAGTTGAAATTGACTAATTGAACCTTTTTTTTTTTTTTGTACACGGCGGTGGAGGCCTAAAGCGAAAAGGTTTTATAATACCCAGCTGAAGGCCTAGGACTGGGGCGACGGCACGCGTGCCCACAGAGAGGGCTCCGAGTGCTGCCTCTGGCACCCGTGCCATAGGTTCGCCACCACTGGCCTAGAAGATGGAGAAAATACAGAATGTATTACATCGATTTTCATACGTTCAGGTGCCATATAGCCTTTCTGATTTGGGGCAGGTTATCAGAACGAGATTGATAGTTGTCCAATCAGGATTTCAGAAAGGGCTATCAGAAATCAATAAAGTGAAAGTTGCCATAAGAAGGTCTAAAAAATATTAGGGTAATAGTTCATATCACTAAAACTGGTTAGTGCTGCAGGAACTGCAAAGTGAGAGGGCTCCTGGTGTGAATCGCTCCTAAAGGGGAACATCTGAGAGAAGAACCCTTAGAAACGCATACTTAGATTGGTTTATCACGGGACTTTATCAGCATTGGGAACAAGGACTCATGCGCCCAAAGACAGCCCAAAGTCTTCCAACAGTTATTGCAATGTAGAGAGCGGAGGTTGCTTTTCCTGTCAGCCTTTCTTAGCTTCTGAGAATGTTTTTTTGGTTTTCAGCAAGTAGAAATTCTGGTCTCGCTGAGCTATAATGAAAAGTTTTACCAATATTGCTTACCCTGAAAGGGAACAGTGTGATTGGGTAAAAGGTGTGTGTGTGTGTGTGTGTGAGAGAGAGAGAGAGAGAGAGGGAGGGAGGAGGGGGGGAAGGTGTATGTGTATATAAATGTATGTCCTGGCACAAAGTGCCCGTGCTTGGCTCCTTTTGTTATTGGGAAGCTACCCAACCAACCTGTTCTATGTTATACAGGTTGGTCAGCCTTCTTGGCTTGTCCTTTACATGCCAAAACTGTTGGCCAGGAGTTTTTAATGTTTTTTAAAGAGTGAAGCAACCTAGGAATCTTGGTTTAGACGTGAAATTGAACAAAGATACAGACAGAGGCTTTATGCTTTTTTGAGTTGATGTGGCTGGCAGGAAGTTCCAAAAAGAGCAATCTAGGAAGACCCATCAATGTGCACACTTGCTCAAACTGAATGCTACAGTATTTTTATTGCAGAGTTATAATTTACTTGGGAAAAAACTTGGCTTTGATATAGTTTAGTCTTAGAGGTCAAAGCTTATAAGTGTCCTATATGTTACAATTGCAAATGCAGAATTTTTCCCCTCTTTTTCCAGAATTGCTCGCTTCTCAAATGTTTATCATCTCTCCATCCACTTCTCCAAGAACTTTGGTGCCGAGGCAACAAAAATCTTTTACATCGGCCTAAGGGGAGAATGGACAGAAGTAAGTGTGAGGACGGAGATGACCGATAAAAACACTAAACATATAGATGCAGGGTTGGGATTTTGGGATTGAAGGTGCACCTCAAACTATGTGCTTATTAACAGATTCTCAAACAGGAGTCTGTGAGACTCTGGCATAATGTTCATACTTAAGAGGGTGTTAACTGTTGTTTTATTATGTCTTCCCAGGCTAGCCTTGTTCATCATGGCATCCTTCAGTTACCTTGGACTGGATGCCTTTAAAATCAGTGTTGGTTGGGAATTCTGGGACAGGTTGTCTTAACAAATTTGGGCCATGTCAGCTAACCCTGTATTCCACCCTTAAACTTCCTGTTTCTATTTGGGGTGGATGGTGAGGAGTCTAAAGGAAACATCTTTGAAAGTTACTAGTGTCCCCCCTCCCAGGTTTTTGCCTGCCTGAATCACTATTAGTCAAATATAGCACACTATAAAAGACCTGTTTTGTTCATTAAATAAACTTTCCTGCCATCTCACTGGTTGGCTATTACTATGCCTCAAGAGGTAACTGAATGAGCGTTATTTTAAGCCAAAATATGTCCATCCAACTGCCACTTTCAGGCACTTACAAATGGATTGGCATGAAGGTGCCCCAAGGTTTCCTGTTTTTACATAAATCAGGATTTATTTTTCTATGTTGAGCTGTTGAGCCAGGAGCTAAAGCGAAGCGTTTGAAGTAATTGTCCGAGTCTTGTCTTTTTTTCCTGCCTTGTCCCTTTTGCTGTTTTCTAGCCCAGTGCCTCTCAAGCTAAGCAACCATTGGCAGGTATTGACTCGAATTCTGCCACCTTGAGTAAATGTGTGAAAACATTTCAGTCAAAACATCCTTACCAAGGAAGGTCCCATTCTGTCCTTGGAACGGCTGTTCTGATTTCACTGGAAATGTTCCAAGGTCAGAATGATTTGTTCTGACTCATCAGAAGTGTTCTGTTCTTGAGAGGGATTTTCTTCCTGGGAAGACCAAGGTCACTACCTCATTTAGGCCCAGAAGATTTTCAGCATATTCAAGATGTGATCTTTGGGGATTGAGATAGATCTTTTGCACATCCCCTGACTTTAAACCTGTGCAGGCAGTGCAGTGTGAAGGAATGACGTGTTATGAATTTAGGTGGGAAGGTTACAAAGAGACAAGTTGCAAATCCTTTAAAAGAAGCACAAGTTATTTAGAATGAACGACATGTAGAAGTAGTCCTCGACTTAACAACCGTTCATTTAGTGACTGTTCAAAGTTACAACCACACTGAAAAATGTGACTTATGGCCATTTTTCACAGGGATGACCTTTGCAGCATCCCCATAATCACGTGATCAAAACTCAGATGCTTGGCAACTGATTCATATTTACGACCGTTGCTGGGTCTCAAGGTCGTGGGATCCCCTTTTGCAACACAAGCAAAGTCAGTGGGGAAGCCAGATTCACTTACCAACTGCAGTGATTCACTTAACAACTGTGGCAAGAAAATGGGGCAAAACTCATTTAACAAATATCTCACTTAACAACAGAAATTTAGGGCTGAATTGTGGTCATAAGTCAAGGACTACCTATAGTTTTTAAGAGTAGATGTAATGATGGCTCTTCTAAACGGAGAGGGGAAATCAAGTGATTGCTCTAGCTGTCCGAGATACACAAAGAGATCTCTGAAGACATGTTCAAATTGTCTCTCTGCAGCCTCATCAACACGAAGTGACCATCTGTAACTATGAAGCAGCAGCAAACCCGGCCGATCACAAACTTGATCAGATCACGCCACAGACACACTTCATTTCCTAACTGGGAAGGCTTGTGCATCAACAGAACGCTTGGGTAGACTTGGGAAGATGTTGAACAGTTGAAGCTAAAAAGGATGGTGTGGCTATTACTGTTTTTGGGTGAGATGTACGCCTGTGGTTTTGGAAGGATAAGAGTATCAAACGCTTGACAAGATATATACAAAATTACACTATTGCTAAGATCAATTGTAAAAGTTGATCTTAAAATCATTAACTCTTCCTGGCCTTTACCATGATTGTCTTGGCAATATCTTTCTAAAATAAGTGATTTTTTTGTTTAGTTGCTGCTACTTTTCTTGCTGGCATATGTAAGGGATGAGGCTATTGGGTGGTGGCACAATAATCTCTAGGACTTTTTTCTGGTTTTTGACTATAGTTTTGGTATATGAATATGAAATGTTTCTGGTGGGCTCTTGGCTAATTTTCAGTGTATATTTCTCCAGCATAATACTGACTGGGCTGTGCACCAAAGTGCTTCAGGGATTGCCATAAGCATAATTCAATAGCTGTCTTGCTGATGCATAACAATGCCAGTTGTGAGTTTAAAACCTAGAAAATATAAAGATTTATGAATTTATCTTGTCTAAAATGCAACTTTTTGTAAATAAATATGGCAAAGTATCTATCCCTTGACTACAACTTTTTTTTTTTTTTTTAAAAAATCTGAACTGAAATCTGTCTTAATAAGATACATCATTGGTACAAAATAAGTGCAATAAAGTAAAAATGGTATAAAAATAAAATTACTGTGGAATGCTCTCAAGATTAGGAACATTTTGATCTGGTCTGTAATTTTGTTCATTAAAAAAAAATCAGATTTGTAGCCTATCAGGAGCTGACCTTTTAAGACCAACCCCTAAACTATTAAGTAAACCTGTTCAAATGGGTTGGCCTGCATATTGCTTAACCATAATGTGATTTGTTTGGCTTCTGCCTGTCATGTTGTATGGATCTAGTACAGTGTTTCTCAACCTTGACAATTTTAAGGCATGTGGACTTCAACTCCCAGAATTCCACAGCCAGCATTGCTGGCTGTGGAATTCTGGGAGTTGAAGTCCACATGCCTTAAAATTGTCAAGGTTGAGAAACACTGATCTAGTAGTTCAAAGTTTCTCAAAAAAACTAGTTGACAATTGTGCCCATTCAGTTATTACTATTTCCATCTGTTCTTGCCTTATCTCTTATGTTAGTGGTAACACTTTATGATATCCTACAGGTGATTTCCAAAGTTTCCCAAATATTAGCTATCTCACTTTGTATTTTTAAAATAAATACTTGCTGCAACCTTCTTAGATTACTGTAGGAAGTGGTTTCTACATATATACTTGTTTTTATTTTGAACAAAGATGAAAAGGCTCCCATGAAATTTAGCCAAGAGAGGTGAGGGCTTCCTGGTATCTTTTCCTTTGCATCGTGCATATAGAGCAGGGCTTTTTCAACCTTGGCAACTTTTAAGGCTTTGAAGTCCACCCATCTTAAAGTTGCCAAAGTTGAAGGAAAAAAAAAACACCGACAGTGGAGTAGAGCTTCAGAACCAAAGGCTGAATCTTACCTGCCAGCTCCATCGGTTATTAAATGCCACCAGGGATTACAAAACAGGACATCCTGTTCTCCCCGCAGCGCATCAGTCATATGTGGATGTTGTGATTAAGTGACAAACACAGCCGCCGGCGTTTCCAGTTGGGTCTCAAAAATAACAATCGGCCACGCCAAGCTTGCTGTTTACCACCCAGTGATGAATGCTCATTTGAAACCAGCGATTACCTCCACGATCCATTACCAACCCGGGGTGGGGTGGGAACCCCAAAGATCATCTTTCGCGATGGCAGTGGGTCACTCTCTGTGTGTGTGTGGGGGGGGAAGCACGGCAGTTTGCTGCGCGTGCCTTTTCCCCCAGGACACAATTCTGAAGAAAGGATAAAAGCAGCCCAAGACGGAAGAAATCCCGGGGCAGGTGCACGGGGGAGGGGGGACGAGTCCGTCCGCGGAAAGCCGCCGCAAGATGGCCGCGCCCGTAGCGGCGGCTCCCTTCCCCCTTGTTCCGCTTTCCGTACAAGCCGAGGCCGAACGTCACAATCGCTTTCCTGCCGGGCCGAAGCTTAGCGCGGCCCCGCCCACTCGTCTAGCGCGCGGGCTGGTGGTGGCGGAAGTTCCGGAGGGAGGGGGGGGAGGGAGGAGAGAAAGAGGGAGCGCGCGAGAGCTCCAGCCTGACTGAGTCCTCCTCAGTCAGAAGCCGGGTCGGAAGAGTCGGAGTCGAGAAGAAAGAGGCGAGGGCGGCGGGAAGGTCAGTAACGGGAGGCGGAGGGGACGGACGGACGGACGGAGGGAGGGAGGTTCGGGGTGGCGCCGCGCCTCTTTTTCTGTCAGAAGCTGAGGAGGGAAGGCGGCGTTGGGAAGGGGGCGGGGCAGGCTGCCCTCCAGGGCCGCGTGTGGCGGGCAGGCGGGTGGGGGGGAGGGGCGGAGTGGGGTGGGGGGAGGGGCGGAGTGGCCTGAGGCGTCCCTGGATCCGGCGAAGGGCCCCGAGGAGGCCTGGCGCGGAAACGGAGAGCAGCCCCGGGGGTGGGAGGGGATGATGGGGGTGGGGATGGGCTGGGTGATGCCTTTATTAGGACCAACCGAACCTGGATAGGTAAAAGGTGTGCAAGCTTTCGAGCTCCCCGGTTCTCTGTAGGCAGGTGAGACGCGGGGGAAGCCGAGGGAGGGGAAGAAGAGTGGCTGGAGGTTGGGGAAACTGAGGAAGAGGTGGGAGGAGGAGGAGGAGGGCGGGCGGGGGGGCGGGCGAACCCTTTTCTTCTCTGGGATAACCCGAGTAGGGACCAGGTTGCGTTCACACGACAGCCCGGCCGGCTCGCCTATAAACCAACGGCGACTGTCCTGGCGCCGCGTGCTCCTTCGGGTCGGCTTGAAGGGGGGTGGTGGTGGTGGTCGTCGGCGCCTGGGACAAGCCGAGAAGGGGGGCTTGTTCCGCAACGAGGAGAAAGCCCGTGGAGGAGAGAGGGCAAAAGGCGGATATTGGAGAGAGGCAGACGGTCCACATCAAGTCGGGCTCTTACACCACTGAGCGTTGGGTAGGTAGGAGAGGATCCCTGGAATTTGCAAAAGGCTTTTTTCTCCAAACTTTCCCTTGCCCCGTTAAACTTCGTTTCCGAAATGGAACAAAAGCCGGCAGGCGAGGCAGCTGGCTTCCTTCTTGCCTCTGCTCATTCTAAGAGGGTGGGGAGGTGAAAAGAGTTGGGGGGCTGGCAAGGAACGAGACACTTTCCGTTGAAAGTCATTGGCTTTCTGAGTTCGCAACTGAGCATAATTGGCACCCACGGCACTGAGTGGTTAGTGTATGTCTTGTCTTTGGATAAAAGCGATTGTGATGCCTAATGGGCAGTGCAGGGTGTTATATCTGACACTATAGAAGAGAAGACAGATTTCATCCTAGAAGCATTTTTCAAAGTATGGGCTTGTAGGAAGGGCTTTTAAGAAAACCACAGAGCAGGCTTTCAGAAGATACATGTATGTCTCATATAAGATGTTGTGACTTTGTAAACAAACAGAAATCAGGTTTACAGTGTACCTTTACCATCACAAAAAGTAGGCAAATATTTGACGTCTCCAGATCTCATGAGATATAAAAATAAAAGTTAATCATAGATTTTGGGTAAACATGCAACTAGTCGATGTAATGAGATGAATAAAATTATGTTTACCTTTTTCTTAAGAAAATCAGCTTATATTTAACAAACACATAGAACCTTGTATGCCCAACCATCCTTACAGCTAACATAATAAAGGAATATGTGTGTTTGTGTGTATGGGTAGAGTAAGCATTTGAACGCTTATTTAAATAATCCAGCTGATGTTCTTATAATCAAGATAGTAGTAGTTTTGGTTGCAAGTTATTTATAAATATAGATATTTAAATCATTAAATGTGTGTCAATTTAAAACTTACTGAATTTCCTGTTTTGTTGCTTTTGTCATGATTATATGTGAGACCAATATTTTTTAGTTGTAATATAGCCTTTAATGAAAATCGTGTTGTTTATAATAGAACTAATGATTTTGCCATAGATAAATGACACCATGTTTTTTTCATAAAGGTTGTATGGAAATATCCTTGCGATGTTGGGACCAAGATTTCTTTAGATTGGCACTATATCTTTCATAGTAGTCAAATGCCCTAAAGCATATATACAGGATGTGTACACTTTTGTCTGTTGCTATCATCTGATATTTGATTACAGATGTTCCCCATCTTCTATAACACAATCTAATTTAAACTCAATTTTACAAAATGTTTCAATAAACCAAAAAAAGAAAAATAATGAAAATAATATGCACATGTGTTTACACATGTAAACTTTTGTTTTAGGGGCAGTTGACTGAATTTCAACTTTTGCTTCAGCAAAAATTCAGTTACATAAAGCTTTCTGGATTATATAAATTCATAAATACCTAATCCTGCATCTAAACATGGGACTCTCTCCCACTGAGTTTCTGTGGCTGATAATGGTTTTTGGTTTTGTCTTCCATGATTTTTGAGTAGTTCTCTTTCAAAAAATATCTAATTTGGACATTAGCCATTCTTGAAGTATTTATTCCCATGAGGATAATATCACTTTATTAAGAAATATTTTATATATATTTTTATGTTGAACAGGCAAAAAATTGGAGCTATATGGTAACGTGTGGGGAAAGTTTAAGAGAGGAAGAATTTGTTCCTCTTTCCATTTCCCAAATAACAAGATTGATGAACCAAGCCATTTATGGTATCAGTTGATTTGTGGTATCAGTTTATTGTATATGAAACAACTTAAAATTTGTTGATTTCTATATTATGATTTTTTATTTATTAAAAGGACCAGAGGAAGAGAAGTCCATTTTAAAATTATTTATCTTTGCTTATAGTTAAAAAATCAGCATCAGCTTATTTTCAAAAGGGATTTTATCTCACCATAATTTCAAGGAAATCTTCTCTGATGTCACCTTTGGATGAATAAAAATGATTATATATTTGCAGCCTAAAAATTAAAATAGCTTGTTAGGGAGTAAATATCAGTAATATAGTACCTCTATTAGGGCCACGAAAAATATCATAAACTAATGAGCTGGCTTTCAGTTTCTTTGGAAGCTTGCTCACTCGTTGCTTTATAATAGCTAGATCTAAGATCTAATGAAGAAGCTAATTGTTGTTTTAGAATTCCATGGATTAAGTGTTCATTGCGGCCTTGTAGCAAACTCATCTCTGAAAACTGTCATTTCTATTATTAATATTGCATAGCTTCCTTTTGTGTTAACAGGCCATGCAACTGAAATTCTGTTCACAATTTTGAACTGCTTCACTCTTGCAAAGTTGTGTAGAGAACTATATTTCTTTTTTAGCTCATTTAATTCTCATTCTAATAAAGGAAGGTAGTATTTAAGAACCGTGCAGTGTTCATGCCAGGTTCCTTTTCGAAGTTTTTTTGGGGTTTTTAATTACTGTATGACTTACTAAATTGCCCCAGCATCTCACAATCTGATTGTGAGGGATTTCCTTTACTGCCTTTGAACATGAATTTATCTGATCTCTTTAAAAAGCCAAGCCAATTAGTGACTGATGCTCAATCTGTGGTAACAAATTTCAGAAGCTTAATTAAAAATGTTTTGTCAAGTTCTCTTTCTACTATGTGCTGAACTTACTGCCGATAAACTTTCTTGAGTTCCCAAAGAGATGTCTACATTCCCCACTCTGTTCAATATTTTGTAAGCATTTCTCACATCTTTTCCTGTTCTTTTAGCAAATGGACTTAACCTTTTTTTGGCTTATCTTTTTTATTGACTTAAATATAAGTCTGTATCCAACCTTTCCACCAATGATTTGGATCAGGAATTAATTGATTTGAATTTACAGTCAAGGACTAGAAAGAAAAGAGAGGGATAGTAATTCAATCTGGTGCCTAGAACTTGCAGCAAAGTTCTTATAACTTTGATTCTTGATATATAGGTGTCCTGGAACCTGGAGTTTTTTTTTTTGACTTGTCAAAAGGATAATTATTAAACTTGTTGCCTCCTGGATTTTATTTATTTATTTATTTTGTTAAACAATGGCATGAAATAGAAGTGAGAAAAACATGGTTCCTTCTCTATGAGATTGTGGACATACCTGCAATTTTGTACCCCAGTTTTCTCAGCACCTTGTCATCTACTATTTGACATTCTAGGATAGTTACCCAGCATAAAATCAGGCACAATTAAATTCATTGTTTCGCAGCAGAATTAAGTGCACTTAACACGTAAGGTTTTTTCCTTGATTGAGTTCATCATAACTTTTTTAATTTGCAAATAGGCTTCAGAATACTATGGTTGGTCACACAGTGAGATGTTTAGACTGGATTAAGCATTTTTAGCTACCTATCAAATCCTTCCCAAGGACCTGGGATAGGCAGATATTACTGTTCAATAATATTAAAGGTATCTTTGCAGGGTGTAAGCTATTCTAAATAAAGTTGCCCTTTTCAATTGCTTGATGGTGGTTTGGTCAATACTGATGGTGTTCTAGTGGTGCTCCAGATGTTTTGGAATTGTACCCAAGAGGTGTATTATTATTGGTATTACCTTTGCTTTCTTTTGCCACAGATAGTTTTGCTTCTATTTGCAGGTCTTTATATTTTATGATTTTCTCCAGTTCTTTCTCTTCTCTTCTGCTATCTCCAGATATAATGTTTACTATCCCAACTTTTTTGTCTTGATCTCAACAGTTCTTGCTTGGGGGCAAGAAGTATTTCCTGCAGATAATCCAATGCATCATTATTGCTATATTGTCATTCTGTTGTTTGTAATTGGTGTGTTGGCTCTTCTTGCATCAGCTGACTGAGTGGTCTACTGTTTCTTCAGTTTCTTTGCAGACATGACATTTGCTGGCTATCTTCTCAATTCTGGCTTTATGCATTTGCTTTTAAGCTTGGTCTTGTGCAGCCAGAATTAGTCTCTCTCGTCTCTTTCTTCAACTTTCCTGCTTTCAGCCATCGCCAGCTCTTGCTGTTATCTGGTTTGCCTGCTCTTTTTAATGTACTGGTCATATAATACTTTGTCTTGCCGTGTCTCTTTTCTGTTCTTTGTCTGGTGTTGCTTATGGGCCAGTTTTGTCTCTTTGTATTCATTAAAGCCTTGTACTAGATCCACTGTCCTTCAGCTATTCCAGTGCCCTTTTTTATTCAACTGTCTGGTGTACTTGCAACATTACACGCCTACCTGTGCTCCTTGGAAAGTACAGTCAGTGTTGCTGCACAGATGAAGGGCATAATTCATTGTCATTATTGTTCTGGTCCTTCTATCCAGTGCTTCTGGTTCAGCTTGAAGCAGTCCACTATTCCAGTTGTGTATCTAACGAGTAAAGTTGCCCAGGTGTTAATTGTGATGATGGTATTTCCTCCGCTGAGACTGGGGTTTAAAATCTAAAGATTCTCCATCATTTCTGCCATTATTACAAGTTGCTTATGAAATCTCACCTTCTTCCAAAGGATGTTCAACAATATGTGAATTGCTTGGCATGCAAATTTTTGATACCCACTTTGAGATTGGTAATTAGCACTTCAAATCAGAGTTGTTATTTTTGTTGTTGTTAGTTGTGAAGTTGTGTCCGACCCATCGCGACACCATGGACTTCCTGTCCTCTACCATCTTCTGGAGTCCATTTAAGTTCACACCTCCTGCTTCAGTGACTCCATCCAGCCATCTCATCCTCTGTCGTCCCATTCTTCTATTGCCCTCCATCTTTCCCAGCATTAGGCTCTTCTCCAGTGAGTCCTTCCTTCTCATTAGGTGGCCAAAGGACTTGAGTTTCAACTTCAGGATCTGGCCTTCTAAAGAGCAGTCGGGGTTGATCTCCTCTAGGACTGACCAGTTTGATCACCTTGCAGACCAGGGGACTCGTAGAGTAGACCTAGCCCAGGTCTGGTCCACACTGTAATAGAGAAGTTTTGGGGCTCATAATAAAGGTAAGGAACACTGGAAGGGGAAACTGAATGGTGGATGATCCCAGTGAAGAATGTCACCAGTGCTTTGCATTGCAGAGAAAACCGAAACTGGGATTCTTTCTGCAAACCTAGAAGATTAGGACTTTTATTTTTATTTAGCCTGGAAAAAGTGATTTTTAGATAGATTGCCCAGTTTCTAAGTTTTGTGATCCAGTGTTGTTTTCCTGGCTGTGATATTTTTTCTCTTTTTCTGACTGTGCCAGCAGCAACAGAACCAGAATGTAATATGACTGCGCTGCAAGAGACGAGTCACAGCAGACTTTCCGATGGCAGGATGAAAATGGCCTTTCTGATCAAGTGCTGTAGATAATATCTGTTGTAGTTACTATTTTTTCCTTATTATCAGCTATATCAGTAGTAGTGCTGTGGTGATAAGGAAGATACATTGAGTTCTTCATGTGCCTGGATTGTTATTGGCACTTATATAAACAGCTCTGCCCTATACTTGGTGGACATGAGAGAAAAGTTTGATTTAATCTTTCAATTGTAGGGGTGTGTATAACCTTGTTTAAATGAACAGTCCATAAGCTGTCCTAAGTAAATGACTTCCTCTTGTGATGTTTCTCAAGGTTGTGTGTGGGACGTTGATAAGAGCCTCTCTTCAAAGTGGGTAAAACCCAAGCTTGGAAGCGACACATGGTTTCAGAGTGAGAAAAGCTTTTCACAATGATGGCAGTCATTGAAATGCAAACTCCCAAAATGAAAGCATTATAGAGAATTGTACATTCATATTTTGCAAATAGAAGCTTCTTACCAATATCCTATTGATCTGAGAGAAGCTGAGGCTGTTGAGGAAGGTGCTAATTTAGTTTCTTTTATACTCTATGTATAAAATTTCTTCTCAATCCAGTTGATTAATAATCATTTATCACTTCCTTAAGTATTATGTGAGGAAGAAAGTTCATATCAGAGACAAAATGCTGCTAGAACTCAAGTCTTTATCCTCTGAAGAGGCCAATACTGTAGATTGAGAGAATTTTATATTTTCTACTAGTTTGCCTTTTTAAAATTATTATTTTAGCTATGGACAAATGTGATATTCTTCAGCTCCATTCAAAGTTTACTGTTGAGTCTACTCACTGGGCCAATAGCTGTAATACTCCAAAATGTATTGAAGGCATTAGATTGTCTATTCCTGCCAATTTCATGGACTTTACCCCATTTCTTCCTAAGACCATTGAAATGCTAAGGTAGCATTCTTGAATGTGGCACTATGCAGGCTTATCAGTCTATCTATTTGTCTATCTATCCTATCAACCCCTATCTATCCCTCCTGAGTTTGTCTGTTTATCTATCCCATCTATCTTACATGCTGAAATATTGAGATTACAGCTTCCCAAATTCCTAGCTAGTATGTTATTCTCTGGGAGCGTCAATCCCAATGCAACTGAAGTGTGCCAAATTGGGGAAGGCTTTATTAAAACATATGGGCAAAATCTCTCAGCAAAAGAAACCTAAACATATGTAAATGGGATTACTAAACAGAACTTAATTATGTCTCACAGTAAGAATCAGGGAGGAAAATATTTCCAACTGGAGAAAATGTAGTGTTTTAGGCTTGCTGTGCCATAGATGTCTCTCTGTGTGGATGGAAGGACATATGCTAAAACAGTGGTTCTCAACCTTTCTAATGCCGCGACCCCATAATACAGTTCCCCATGTTGTGGTGACCCCCAACCACTTATACATCACTGGGTGCCAGGGGTGTGGCCAAAGAAAAGGGGAAAAAAATGGCGGACAGCCTTGTTTGGCGACCCCTGTGAAATGGTCGTTCGACCCCAAATGGGGTCCCAACCCACAGGTTGAGAACCACTGTGCTAAAAACTTATAAAATGCTTTTCTTTTTTCCATTGGCTGCCTTAGCTTGTTCATCAACTGGAATTTAATCTGATTATCATTGCTAGCTAAAGACTTGTTCATAAAATTGGTGCAAGATAAATTACTGTATGCAGGCTTTCTTTCTTTAAAAGGTAGTCAGTGCTTAGTTTAGGGGTAGAATGTTTAGGCTTTGGAATATGGCCCACTTGGATTGCTGTTTTTTTGTCAGGAAGTCACACTACATTGGTTAGACTTTCACAAGCCAACGTTTCTGGTAATGGGTAACTTAGGTAAAATTCTGGAAATGGCACTTATGGTGATTATTGCATTGTAATTCCTGATACTTTGGGGAGCATTAGAGGTAAATGCTGCCAGCAGACTGGCTCTTTGCAGATTATATTTTACATAAGGAATGAAATGTGTGTTTTAGTCCTGCCTTAGGCATGAAAGCTGGCTGGGTGATTTTGGATCAGTCCCTCTTCTTTCAGCCCAACCCATCTCACAGGGGGTTATTATAGGGAAAACAGAAGGGAGAAGTAATGGGTACGTTTGCTGCTTATTCAAGCAAAAGCCGTGGCTGGCAGAACTTGGGCGATATCTTCTTGTTGTTATTGACTCAGGGTTTCCCCACCCCTGTATTTTGTGGTGTGTTTTATTGGTCTGAGATATTGAATAAAATGAAATGAAATTAGCCAGCTTTGACTTCAGTGGGTTTTTTTTTTACTGCCTAGCATACTGTTCTCTTTTTCCTGATTATCTCCCATTAAAATAAAAGACTGTCCTTCCTGTTTCTAATACTCTAGAGTCTATGAGATTTTTTTTTATAGCCACAACTGAAATAAGTTAAAGAATGGTTGAAAACATTTGGAAGTAGTTTGGATTCCTAAGATAAATCTGGAAAAAAGGAGAGCAATAGCTAATACTTGGCAACCAATTCTTAGTACATTCTCATGTATCTACACACGCATACACACAAACATATATACAAACACATGCAGACTGTGTGTGTATACTAAACATATATTTCTTAGTGTAGCTATGTTTTGAGTTTATCTTTTGCAACAGTATTATCATTCACTGTTCTTTCTATGCATATGTAATTTACAGTGTATGGATATATACAAAAAGTGGGAAAATAGCTTTTAATAAAATACTTAAAAAGTCTTGGGAGCAATTCAGCAAATTAATTACTTGTCTAGAAAAATGTTTCTCAATCTGAAGCTGCCAGTTGGCCTTCAACATATAATTCTCAACCAGCATGCTGGCAAGTGTACTGATATGGGAAGGCTAATCTAAATATGCAGAACATGTAATGTTTAATACCCATGACTTATCTTAAGCCCAGCATGTAGGTCATTGTCCAGTTGCAGAGAAAACTAAGACACCTTGGAGTGCTTTTCATATTATTTTTAACACTCCTGTACAAAGGAAACACACTTATTGCCCCAGCTGAATGGGGCTTTAAAACATTTACTGCTTCAGAGGATCAGCTGCAAATTTTGCTTCTAGTCTAGGTAGCATAATTCTGTTTTAGCATTTGAAACACCTTTAACCTTTATTTAGCAGCATCCTTCTGAAATTTCAAAAACATGCCGTTATGAGATATAAAATATTTTCAAAACTGAGTTGGATTTTGATTTGAACTAGGCTTTGGGAAACACATTTTTTAGACAAGCACTGTCTTCAGAATAGTTGACCGCAGCTTATATTTTTCTGGTCTAATTGTCAAAGACAATTTTTACTCAGAAAATGCTGGATTTCATTAAAAATGAAAAAAATAAAAACTTTTTTTTTTAAAAAAGCAAACTTCTATCTCTCATTGTTTATGGACCAAGAGAAAACTGAAAAAGTTTGAGAGTGAACTTGTAAGGATTTGATGGGAAGCTATGAATCTTCTGGATCCTAAAGTGTTTTATTTACAGCTCTGCTATCAGTTCCTAAAAGGTAAATGCGGTGGAGTATTTCTTATATTAAAACTTACAGGGGTAAATTAAGTCTTTGGCACAGGCATTTCACCCTGAAAATTCCCAGCCAGCCTCTGAAAGCACCCAACTATAGGTGGCTGATTTAAACAAATTAATTGGTTGTGTGTTTCTCATCCTCTGCAGGTGTGAATTGTATAGTTGTATGTGCGGTAACAACATGTCTGTCCCCCTCCTTGCTGATGCTGTGACCGTTTCAGGGACAGAGCGGGAGACTGCAGCGGTAAGGGCATGCTGTTTTGGGCCTACCATCTGTTGGCATCCAGAAAGATTAGGGAATTAATGGGTTTTTCTCCTCTAGCCCATCCTCTCTGCTGACAGGCAAAGAGATGGTTCTCCCCATAACGGGGAGGCTATTTCCGAGAAAGGAATGCTACCTGTGGTAAGAATTTGGTATCAGTTTTTCTGGAGGCTGGGGAACTACAGAAGGAGATCAGATCAGTTTCCTTCCTTTTCAATAAACTGTAAAATGTTGTTTGTAGGACCTGGGCAAAATCCACCCTGTTGCCTCTGGCAGGTAATTAGTCCAACCGTATCCTGCTGTGTTGCCCTCAGTGCTATTCTCTTGCATTAATTAGGTAATAATTGACTAAAACCTGCTTCCTCCCCTCCCCCCCTCCAGTTATGGGGCTGGCATGGTGAATTATTGTAGTAGGTAATACTGTGCTGTGGCACTGAACCAAAACTACTTTAATTTTCAGTCTCATTGCTGGCCTGGCCTGCACTCGTGCCATCCAAACTCACAGAAAAAATGTATTGCTTGCGGTGTGGAAGAGAGAATTTGGCTTTCCCCTTCCCCAGGATCTAAAGCAGGGGTAGTCAACCTTGGCTCTTTTATGACTCGTGGACTTCAATTCCCAGAATTCCTGAGCCAGCTAAGCTGGCTCAGGAATTCTGGGAATTGAAGTCCACGAGTCATAAAAGAGCCAAGGTTGACTACCCCTGATCTAAAGTCTAAAAGTCAGCTAGAACAATAGTGAAGACCCAATATGTTTGCCAAGATTGGCTTATTTTATATAATTCTGCTTCTACAATATAACCTGAGGAGTGTGCGGATAGGAACATAGCCACTCTTGGCGCTGAAATTGCATCTTCGTGACTATGGTTAGCACTATCCAGTCTGCAGATTCCTCCTTTTCATCTTAAAAACTGGCCTCTCCAAAACAGTCCACGATGCACATATAGTATAATAAACCATGTACATTATACCACATTCTGCACTTGCATGGCTATTAAGCAGATATCACAAATTTGTGAGTTCTGATTTTGATCAAATTCAGCAGTACAGTTCCAGCACTGGGACCATATTTTTTTCTAGAATATTATTTAAATCTACATAACATACTTAAAACGGAATAATAATTTTAATATATGGAGGGAATGGGTATGAATTTTTAGAATGTTTTGGGGCTATTGGAACTCATGGGATTTTGAAAGATCAAAGTGCCAATTTCCATCATTCCACTGAGAAATGTTGTAATGTTGAAATACCATTCAAATATGTATTGATTGATAAGATATGTTGATCAAAGATGGGTGGGAGGTGATTATAGAATTTGAAATATCTTTGGAAAGAACAGTGATAAGAGCCGAGGTGGTGCAGCAGTTAGGGTGCAGTACTGCAGGCCACTTTAGCTGGCTGTGTTCAGCAGGTCAGTGGTTCAAATCTCACCGGCTCAAGGTTGACTCAGCCTTCCATCCTTCCGGGGTAGGTAAAATGAGGACCCAGATTGTTGGGGGCAATGTAAATATATATATACATTGCTTACTGGTGTACACCGCTTAGAGAGTGTTCGCACTTAAAGCGGTATATAAGTCTCACAAATAAATAAATAAATAAAAAAGAGAAGGAGTGGATTATGTGAAGAATGAAACTCAGGCAGTAGATGATTTTTTTAACCCAGGGATTTGTGATCAGGGACAGGAAGTGGGACCTGTTCTTCTGCCACAATCATAGAGTGTACAAAATTAGTTTTCTGTTAAAAAAATTGAAGATCACACTCGAGAATGACTTGAACCAAACCAGTTCCAACAAGTAAAGCTTGATAAGTCTCTGGTGGCTCCTTTGCCTTCTGGGATTTCACCAGGCACTGCTTACTGCTTCTACCTCCACTTCCACAGTCTTTAGGGAACTTGCTCTCTATAGCAATAGAACCATTTATCAGGAAGCTGAATTCTGTGCTCCTGCTGTACTAGAATCATTTTATATCTTGGTTTGGTGAGATGAGTGGAAAATCAGAAATGAACTAGGAAGGAATCAGGAAGAAGCGGGTGATGGCAACCTGTCAGATTAATTCAAAGATGGCAATAGCTTTGGCCCAGTGGTGCCAGGTAAAAAGAAAGCTTTCTTACCTAGGCGTGAACATTCCAGAACTTTGCTCATTTAGCGAAATGTAATAAATATTGACAAGATATATTTGCATATTTTTCTAGTGACTCATCATCTCGTTAGGGGGAAGGCGTCATGATAGGATGGTAACTTGGTCACAAATGTATTCAGTCGCACGCATCTTCATTTTCATCTTCTGCTAACTATCTTAGGTTGAGTGACTCCGGTTTCTTCCCTCCTGCGTAATCTGTTTTTGTTTTGCAACTAATTGACCTCACAGAACGCTTCCTAATTATAGTAGCTTTGCTAGCACTTTCTCACTTGCTGAGCTGGCTAATGTGCTTATTTTCTACTTCACTTGGCAGGTCATTTTTTTGCACGGGCTCGGTGACACAGGGTGAGTATTGAGAAAATCTGGGATGTTTAGCGATGCTGGTAATGGCAGTTGGGCAATGGTAATGGCAGTTGGGGAGGCAAAAACCTCCCTACATTTCACAAGCCTGGATTGGGAATATCAACAGCTGGAGGTAAATGTGAAATGTTGGTATTATTAGCCACCATAGAGAGCAGAATATTAAAGGATTGGAATGAGAAGATACTGAGATGAAGTTGATGACTTTAGAGTTTAGAACCTAGTTTTTGTATCGAAAAGAACCTAGGAAGCTGTTGGTCCTTCTAGTGCAGTGGTTCTCAACCTTTTTAATGCCGCGACCCCCAACCGGTCGTAAGTCAAGGACTACTCAACCGGTTGTAAGTCGAGGACTACTCAACTGGTGCAGCACCGTTTGCAGAATGGGACTTTTGGCGGGCTCAGCAGGGCAGCCTGGACAATTCCTATTGGCTTTTGAAAGCCAATAGAATTAGACTCTATTCAAGAGAGTCTATTCTATTGGCTTTCAAAAGCCAATAGAATAAAAGGGAGTAGCACAGCTAAGGAAAAGGGGGAAAAAATGGCAGACTGCGTTGTTTGGCGACCCCCGTGAAATGGTCATTCGACCCCAAATGGGGTCCCGACCCACAGGTTGAGAACCACTGATCTAGTGCAGGAGTTAGCATCTGTGGGCCAGTGCAGCTCCGCAACAACGCAATTTGATTTAAAAAATGGACAAATTTGGTGGCATTTTTGTTTGTTGGCTTGTTTAAAAATTACGGGTGAAGAGCAGGAGTCTTACGGGAGACAGACTAATTCCATCTCCTCCTTTACATCAGTCTTAACTTACAAAAACTCCTGCCCACCTAGCAGTCTCCGCTTTGCCTAGCAGTTTGAAAGCATGCAAATGCAAGCAGATAAATAGGTGCCACTTTGGTGGGAAGGTAGCTGCTTTCCGTGCACCTTGGCATATAGCCATGCTGGCCCCATGACCACGGAAAGGGGCTTCAGACAATCCTGGCTCCCTTGGCTAAGAAACGGAGGTGAGCACCGCTCCCTAAAGTCGGATATAAGTGGAAAGGAGAAACCGTTAGCTTTAACTGCAAAAAATTGGTGAGAAGAACTGCACAGATTGGGAGGGTATGTGGGGAGTGTGAGAGGTGTGGGTTGGTGAGGGTGCGCAAGAGCTGTTGCACGGGTCAAGGAGGGTTGAGACTATGCAGAGGTAAAAGAGGGTGCACAAGACGGGCCATGTGGTTCTGGAAGGGTACGCAGGGGTGCATGAGAGACCCTGAGTTGGTGAGGGTGTATGACAGAACGTGTGGAGATGGACAGACTTACTTTGAGGTTGAAAGAAAAAGAAGAAACAGAATACTATCAAACTTGGGACTTATTTTATCAATGGCTAGAGCAGTGTTTCTCAACCTTGACAATTTTAAGGCGTGTGGACTTCAACTCCCAGAATTCCACAGCCAGCCATTCCAAAAGAATAAAGGATTAGGAATTAAATTTGTATTAGTGAACGTAAAACTCAGACAACACGTTTGTTGAACAAGTACTATTGAACGTATGAAAAAAAATCAAAAATTTTATGTATAGAAAAAAGAGACTAGGGCAAGCACACAAGGGCTGCGGGAGTGTGCCCTGGTGGTGGAGACTTTCCCCATCCCAGTGACTTGTAATATTCCCTGCCAGCTTCCCCTTTGACTTTCTGGGGAAGCTGGCATAGAAGGTTGCTAAGGCGGTCATCTGATTGCAGGGCTCTTGGCAAGCAGCTGGAAGTGCCAATGGCTTCCAAGCACCCGTATCGCAGTCATGTGACTGGGGCGGTGCTGGGATGACCGGAACTCTGAGTACCAGTAGTAGCCACCATTTATCCAGTGCCAATGTAACTTCAAAGAGTCTGAACAAATGGTCATGAGTTCAAGGACTACTTGTATATCTGAATGTTGCACTGATATGAGGATATGATCTCCCCTAGCAAGCTATTCTCACTGATGCAGTGTGTGGGGTGAGTTTTTGGGAAAACCAGGCACAGATCCTTATTGCAGCTGGCAGATATGGGCCAGCCCATACCTGCCAGCTACAATAAGGATCTGTGCCTGGTTTTCCCAACTGCCTTTTTAGCAGAATGAGCCTCTGGGATGGGGCAGTCGTGAAAAATGTTGCCTTTTCATTTTTATGTTGGATGGTGACCTGACCTGCTTTCTTTTGCCCTTCTCCCTTCAGGCACAGCTGGGCTGATGCTCTGTCTTCCATCCGGCTCCCTTATGTGAAATACATCTGCCCTCATGCGTAAGTGTCACCGTTATTCTGTCTTTAAAATGCAGGTTTAAAAGCACGGAACTTCACCCCCAATTCTCTCTGAGCGATGGAAACACGAAAGCACCTGTTTTACGATGTTATTGTATCACTGGCCACGCCACACCTCTTGCATCTCTTGGGCATGGCAGAGAGATGAAATGTGGCTACTGGACTGAAAAGAGTTTCCTACTGCTTGCTTTTCAGTGAAATATTTCTGCCTGTCATTCCATGGCTTCCAGGGCAGTGTACAATCGACATAACCATCATGCCCAAAATGGATGACCATATAACAACAACATGCATCGATTCTCAAATACAGGATTCTGATATATTCTCCTTAATATGTTAGGGCAGTGGTGGCGAACCTATAGCACGCGTGCCAGAGGTGGCACTCAGAGCCCTCTCTGTGGACATGCCTGCCGTCCCCCCAGCCCCGCCTCCACCCGTGGCCCCTTGCTCACCAGCAGCCCCCGGAGGAGAGTCGCCCCTGGGCGCAGTCCACGTGGAGCAGCGCAGCCAAGGACATGGCAGCCAGGCAGCGGGGACAAGACTCCGCCCTTGTTCCCCATCGCATGTAGATGATGTGGGCCATGGGCGAGGGCATGGCTGCCATGGCTCTGCAGCAGGGCGTGGAGGCAGTGGGTGGCCCTGTGGGCAGGCAGGACCAGGGACAGGGTGGCAGGGCAGGGCAGGCAGAGAAGGGGGGGTGGGAGCAGTTTTTGGGCACTCAGTTTCTAAAAGGTTCGCCATTGCTGTGTTAGGGCATCCTAATTAGGAGCCTTGGCCCAGTGGCTAGAATGCAGTATTGCAGACTAATTCTGCTGACTGCCAGCAGTTCGGCAGTTCGATCCTGACCGCTCAAGGTTGACTCAGCCTTCCATCCTTCCGAGATCAGTAAAATGAGGACCTAGATAGTTAGGGGCAATATGCTGACTCTGTAGAGAGGGCTGTAAAGCACTGTGAAGTGATATATAAGTTTAAGTGCTATTGCTAGTGCTGTCCTGGGTTTCTGGGAAGAACTTGACGCAGCTGTCACTTCACATTGTTGTGTATATAGTGATAACAATATCTTCAAACCACAACATCTGTCTATCCCAGGTCCTTGGGAAGGACTCAATAGGTGGATAAAAATGCCAGATCCAGTCTAAACATCTGGCTGACTGACTAACCAGAACAGTAGTAATAATAATAACAGTAGTGACAGTAGTAATCTTTGTAGCCACCACTACCTAAAAACCAGTAAAGGACCACCTGAAGACACATTCACCATAACCCTCCAATATTCCAGGACTTTATCTTAATTCAAAGGTAGAAGCTTTGATAGTGGGCAGGGCTAGATGTTGCTATTTGAAAAGGGAGTTGCAAAATCAGCAGAGAATAGTATCAGCAAGTGAAAGAACTGCAGATTGCAAGCAGAGTGTAACAGGCAGAGGCATTACATCACTCAGAAAATGGCATATATTTTTAATATCTGCTTTATCCACGTCACTGTTCTATCAGGCTTCCCCATGCTTCCCTACTGGTCAAAATGTCTAGTTCTTAGAAGCCTGCAAACTAATGATTAAATTACTGAGCGATAGCTATTTCCCCTTCGACCCTATTGCCTTTTTCTGGAGCTTCCATTTTTTTCTCTCCTGCTTCCTTAATAGACTGAGGGGGAAAAAAAAATGACCTACTCTGACTTCTTTTAGGCTTGAGTTCACTGGCTGGAAGTATGTGCAAGGGGTGACTTAATCTGTGCCAAGAAGTTCCATTAATAATTTATTCTGATTATGTACGCTTAGACATTGTATTCTCCTCTCTGTTAACCACTTCTAGGGATCTGGAATTCAAACTCTCACAAAGCCCCAGCCGAGTGTCAGCTCCCTGTTTGGCCACGTACAGAAATACCAGATGTGAAACTTTGTTAGCAACAGAGATTGAGGTCCATCCGCTGAAATGGACAGGAAGTTGATGTCCCAAATAATGAGCAGGAATATCTCCAGATCCTGAACAAACAGCAAGGCTAGAATGAGTTGGACCCCCCCAAAGGGACTGCATAGCGCTGCTTCATCCTCACATACACATAGTAAATATGAGAGATGCTAAAGGAAAGCATCCAGAATTGTGTCTGAACCTACCACCAGCCCTCTTGCCTTTCTCGACGTTCATCTCTTACCTTAGGATATTGTCCCAGTGGTTCTTGCAGCACATTCTACGGCTGATTCTGTGCTGTCTTGCTATCAGTCCTGTTGCTTGAGTTTCAACGATGGGCAGTAGGCAGATACTTCCCAGTCCCAAAACCAGCGTTGCTGAGGGTAGAATCAATAGAAAGAAATGGCGGTTTGTTTCTCAGCCGCTTCCTAGCAAAAGCACCAAGCCCAGGATCAAGTCAGTCCCCTAATGGTCAGATCCCAGGGTAGTTTACTAGGCAACCACACCAAACACTGCTTGATTGAGCAGGGACTGTAAATGAAATAGAGAGGGGAGAAGGAGAGAGCTTTGCTTTCTCTTGCTTTACTAACCTGATCTGCCTGCAAAATATTTTTCCTACTGCCAGTTTTATGGAGAAGGTCTAGACCAGTGATGGCGAACCTTTTAGAGACTGAGTGCCCAAAAACCGCCTCGCCCCTGCCCCGTCCCCACATCTCCTGCCCACAGGGCCACCCACCATCTCCACGGCCCGCCACAGCAGATCGCCAGGTGGCCCAGCAGCATCATAGTGGCCACGCCCTCTTTCTGTGCCCCACACCATCATCTGAATGCGATGGGATGCGAGGGTGGAGTCTTGTCCCCGCTGCCCGGCTGCCATGTCCTTGGCTGTGTTGCTCCGCCCGGGGCAACTCTCCTCCGGGGGGGGCGAGTGCCGCTTCTGGCACCCGTGCCATAGGTTCGCCACCAATGATCTAGACAATGTGGCCTGATGCTAAACTATTCTTGTTGACTTAGTGCACAGCTTTGAAGAATTCCAAGAATGTTGGTGATACTTTTTTAAAAATATGATTTTTGATATTTCTTTATCATTTTTGTTTCCTTACCCTTCTGACCTGTGGTCCTGCTAGAATTATACCCCATCTTCCGTCTCTCTTTGCAGACCCAGAATCCCTGTCACTCTCAACATGAAGATGGTTATGCCCTCCTGGTTAGTATTGAACAATATTTCTTGGATTATTAGCAGCCAAACTCTTCTGCCTTATCTTCAGTTCCATGTGCAGCTGTAATTGCCCTAGGAGCAATGGGAAAAGATCTTGGTGAAGTGGTGAAGGAAAAGGTGAAGGCAGCAGACTAATGGGTTGGTGCAAATTTGGAGAGAATACCTGGACCTTACTCATGGAAGTATTCACTTAGCAACATTAAGTGTGTGGTGGAAATACACCCTTCTTACACTTGTCTTATAATAATCTTAGCAGAGTTATATGTACTTTCACTGGTTGTTTTGGCCTTTTTTCAAATTGCTACCTGCCACAAAACTTCCAATTAAGCTTTCTCCAAACTGCTACCCTTCAAATATGACATAAATATATCACGACATAGCCAGGTGGGGGGGAGCTGCAATCTTAATATTTTGGGTTAAAAGTTATTGAAGCTGTTAGCTTCCATTCTGGGCAGTGACATGGATACAATTCTCACACACCATATCAGATCAATCTTGATTACAGTCCTGTAATCTGGCATGCGTTCAACCCAAAGGAGAATAGATTTTGGCCGTTTTTTGCCTCATTTTAAGGTCTGGTGGAATGGAAATCAGAGGGAAGATGCTGAGGGGTAGACAGAATTTTGCTCCTATTTCCAAATGCTGCTGCTGGCGTTCCACATAGCCCGGTTACCACTGCACCATAATACTATGCCCCTGGGCCCTTAATTGGCCCTAGGAGAATGTCTTAGGACGGGTAGGCAACCAAGCTGGCTCAGAAATTCTGGGAGTTGAAGTCCACGAGTCATATAAGAGCCAAGGTTGCCTACCCCTGTCTTAGAAGATCATGACTGTGATGGTCTTTCCCCCTTTTTTCCCCCATTTCAGGTTTGATTTAATGGGGCTAAGTCCGGATGCGCCAGAAGATGAAAATGGAATTAAAAAAGCTGCTGAGAACAGTAAGAAAGGCGTTTCCTTGGGCATCTTCTGAGTCGGCCCACTTTTCTCTCAATCATAATTTCCAGTGGTTGGAAACCAAGAAAGGCAGTTGAGGTCCTTTCCTAAGGCTAAAAAAAAGAACTCTTGAACCCTTTCTGCTTTTTTTCAGTTACTGCCTAATTCACACACAAAGTAAAGCCAGCAAAATGGCCTGGAACCTTTAATTTCTTGTATATGGCAGAAGCCAGATGTCGAGATTCTCCAGCTGGGCGAACACTGGGCCTCTGCAGGCTACTTTTTGAAGAACCTAAGCTGTCCTTGGGAATGTGCAGACATGCAGGTCATAAATCTGAATAGAAAAAAAAAAAACCCAAAATAAATCTTTGGGCTTGAGGAAATCCAATTTGCCTTGGTGCATATATAACCTTGCTTTTACAGGAAGAAAAATGCCTTTATTATGTCAGGCCCATTTTACAAATAATTCACACCCAGGTTGGGCAATTCAGATGATCCCTAGTGAATACTCAAGTCTCCTTTTCGTGGCCCTTACATCGCCTGTTGATTATTCTGCCTAAATTTAATGTTGCAGTTTTTTTTCCCTTTGGAGGTATGCCTACGGAATTATGCAAAATAAGTGCATTAGTTTTTTAATGCACTTAATGAGCTGCCTTCGCTTTTTTTTTTAAAAGATGAATTCCACTAGACCCCCCCCCTCCTTCCTAAAGAAGGAACCAATGCTATGGCAATAATATTCAGAGTGATATCATGGTATCTTCCATGGTTCTTGGAGCCCAGAAAAAAACTAAATAAATTGTAAAAAGTGCACTCCTTGACTGCCACAAACATTGCCTGCCGCATGGTATCTGTGGCTCTTTAAAGCCGTCTGCCTCTACCCTGCCTCTTGTCCGTGGGCCGCACTTTCTGGGAATTGCACACACCTGGCGGGCCCCCGGTTGGAGAAAGGCTTCTCCTAGCTGGAAACCTTCCCAGATCTAAGGCGGAGATGAGAAGATAGAATCTGGGCGATTCTCCAAGAGACCCATGTCATTCCCCCCTCAGCTACAGCCCTTCTTTGATAAATGTAAAGGTTCATGGTGGCAGGAAAGGGAGGATCAAGGAAGTCTGGATTGGCACACCTGGCACTCTCCCAATCTCTGCTTATTTCATGTGTTCGTATAAAACAGAGCCCCCTCCCCCTGCCCATCCCCTCTACCATTTATGTTGCTCGCTGCAACAAACCAGAATTAATACGCTGCACAGTAACAACTAAGGAAAAGAAGAGCTGTCCAATAGGCAGGTCAGAGGAGCTAAAGCAGTGGTTCTCAACCTTTTTAATGCCGCGACCCCCAACCGGTCGTAAGTCGAGGACTACTCAACCGGTCGTAAGTCGAGGACTACTCAACTGGTGCAGCACCGTTTGCAGAATGGGACTTTTGGCGGGCTCAGCAGGGCAGAGACAGCCTGGACAATTCCTATTGGCTTTTGAAAGCCAATAGAATTAGACTCTATTCAAGAGAGTCTATTCTGTTGGCTTTCAAAAGCCAATAGAATAAAAGGGAGTAGCACAGCTAAGGAAAAGGGGGGAAAAAATGGCGGACTGCATTATTTGGCGACCCCTGTGAAATGGTCATTCGACCCCAAATGGGGTCCCGACCCACAGGTTGAGAACCACTGAGCTAAAGTAAAAGCGTCAAATAAAATATATGCCTTCTATGAAAGAAATGCCCTTCTAAATAAGGGCTTCACCAGCTGGCAAATTGCTGTCTGAGGAGATAGTCCAGCCTCCCAGAGAGTTCTCAAATTCAGTGTGGCCAGAGAGAAGTTCCTGTCTTCAAGGCTGGCTGAAGAAGAGAGTCACAGTTCTGCCCTGTGTGCTCATACGAAACCGCTTCCTTCCTAAGGCAAATTCCAGAGCTGTTTTGCAAAACCAAAGCGGTTGTCATGCCGTGGTGGACTTTTGCACCCACTCCAACCATCTCCCATGGTTTCTCACGGCATACTCCCCGTTTACGTGCACCTCTGCTCTTTCCTTTGAGCGCTGATCCGGTAGCTCTTTCGGCTTGAGTTTTTTTAAAAAAGGGGCATTTCTAACCGAGCGAACCCACGCCATGGATCCATACTAGCAGACCTGTTTGCTTCGTGACTGCTTCCAACTCCGCGTTAACTTGCTGCCAGACTGAATATCTCTTTTCTCTTTCTGCTTTCCAGTTAAAGCTGTAATTGACCATGAAATTAAAAACGGGATCCCAGCCAATCGGATCATCTTGGGAGGCTTTTCACAGGTGGGAACCAATGGGGCATGGAGGAGGCAGGTCTCTATGCTGACTAAGAAGAGAGACCTCAGATCTGCTTTCTGGGGCACCTGGGAAACCCCCTTCACAGGGAATGAAGATGATCAGTATTTCTCAGGCTGGCTGGGGAATTCTGGGAGTTGAAGTCCACTTATCTTAAAGTTGCCATGGTTAAGAAACACTGCCTTAGGATATCCCTCTTGACCACATGTTGTTACTTGTGAAGTCGTGTCCGACCCATCGCGACCCCATGGACAACATTCCTCCAGGCTTTCCTGTCCTCTTCCATCTTCTGGAATCCATTTAAGTTCACACCTCCTGCTTCAGTGACTCCATCCAGCCACCTCCTTCTCTGTCGTCCCCTTCTTCTCTTGCCCTCCATCTTTCCCAGCATTAGGCTCTTCTCCAGTGAGAGGACCATAAAGCTGCACCAAAAATGGAAGAAAGCGGGATTTTTTTTTTTTTTGAGAGCCCAAAATTGCTCCAGAAGGCCTTACAGTGAGTCCTCCTGGTTTATTGGAAAAAAAGAGACGTGCAGCTTTGTTAGGCCAAGAGTCACACCATGCTGCAAAAAGAGGCAGAGTCACACGAAAAAGAAGAAAAGAGAACAGCTCAAAAATTAAATTACAGTAATGTAATTGTCATCTTATGTTAATTAAAGAATTGGAGTGGTGCAGTGGCTTGGCAGTTAAGACACTGGGCTTGTCGTCTGGAAAGCCGGCAGTCCAGTTTCTAAACCTGAGCTCCACTCTGAGGGGTGAGCTACCGTCCTCGCCCCGCTCCTGCTAACCGAGCAGTGTGAAAGCATACAAATGCAAGCAGATAAACAGATACCGCTTTGGTGGGAAGGTAACAGTGCGCCGTGATGTCATACCGGTCACACGACTGCAGAAATGTCTTCGGACAGCGCAGGCTTAATGGCCTTGAAACAGAGATGAGCACCCTATAGCCGGCAGTGACTAGCAGAACTACCTTCCTCTAGCTTAATTAAAGAATTGAGTGGTACAGATTACAGGGTCGTAAAAAGGGAGTCCTAACACACGCATAGCACTTCACAGTTCGTGCTTCAGTTCAAAATTTGAAAACCTCCTCCTCTTCCACAAATCCTTTCTCGTATACCCACTATCCCTCTCCTTGCATTTCTTTTTGTTCCCAGATAGAGGCAAAACAGTAATAATGGATGCAATATGGAAATAATGAAAAATCTGGCAGCAGAATCAAAGAGGTTGGGAGGAAATCTGAAGCTGCATTTAAATCTCTTGATTAATCCATGGATCTCAGAAAAAAGATATAAGCTTCTGATTCTTAAGATCCTGGGGAAGCGTGCATTTGCATTTTGCAATAACGTCTGCCGAGCTCCTCTAAGCTAAGGATAGAGTTGGACATTTAGAATGGATTTTCAACACTCTTATTTATTTGTTTTCCGTTTCCTTTTCGGGCAAACAGTCTTGTGTCAAATACTCATTCAACTTTTCCTATAACAGTGGTGGCGAACCTAAGGCACGGGTGCCAGAGGCGGCACTCAGAGCCCTCTCTGTGGGCACACGCACTGTCGCCCCAGTCCTAGGCCTTCAGCTGGGTTTTATAAAACCTTTTCGCTTTAGGCCTCTGCCGCCGTGTGCAAAAAAAAAAAAGAGGTTCAATCAATCAGTCAATTTCAACTTCTCGCAGGAAAAAAAAAGATCTTGCAAAGTTGGAATTGATTGATTGAACTTTTTAGTCCCACCCAGTCTGCCGTTACCACTGCAGCCACGCCCACCCAATTGGCCACACCCAGCCAATGGGCCACACCCACCCAACACTCAACGATGCATAAGTGGGTATGGGGTTGCAGTTTGGGCACTCGGTCTCTAAAAGGTTCGCCATCACTGTCCTATAAATAGGTTCAACTTGCGGATAGCTAATGATTTTTTTTTTCATTTATGAGATTCTGAGAAGCAATTAATTGGAAGGGAAGGGTTTCTTGAGGCCTGCATATGGGGACAGCATTCTTTGCAGTGAAATGGTGGGGGGGGGGGCACTAGAGGAGAAGATTGGTTTGGGGAGGGACGTTTTGGCAGAAAATCTTTACAGGAATAAGCTCTGACCAGTTTTCTGATGTGGCTGTCCTTCAGGGTGGCGCCCTCTCCCTCTACACGGCGCTCACTTGCTCTCACCAGTTGGCTGGCATTGTGGCCCTCAGCTGTTGGCTCCCCCTGCACAGGACCTTCCCTCAGGTATGTGGCCTAACCTCTCTTTTGGAACTGGGGGGGAAGGGGGGAGAAATGCACGCTGGGCCAAGCTCTGTTGGATAAAATCAATTATTTCTTTACTCTTGCTCTTTTTTCCTTTTCTTTACCGCTTTTACCTATTCTTTAAGTAATGTAAAAGTGTCGGGGTGGTTTATATGGAAAAAATGGATTTAAATCTTTAAATGTAATTATCTGTTGAGAAAAATCTTAACCAGCAAGAATACTTTAAACTTCATGGGAGAAACAAATTTAAATAAGGACTGTAACAAGGTATAAGATGAGGCAACCAGAATGATTAGATTGTTGTTGTTAGTTGCAAAGTTGTGTCCGAGCCACCGCAACCCCATGGACAACGTTCCTCCAGGCCTTCCTGTCTTCTACAATCTTATGGAGTCCCTTTAAGCCAGTGGTTCTCAACCTGTGGGTTGGGACCCCATTTGGGGTCGAACGACCATTTCACGGGGGTCGCCAAACAACGCAGTCTGCCATTTTTTTCCCCCTTTTCCTTAGCTGTGCTACTCCCTTTTATTCTATTGGCTTTTGAAAGCCAATAGAATAGACTCTCTTGAATAAAGTCTAATTCCATTGGCTTTCAAAAGCCAATAGGAATTGTCCAGGCTGTCCGGTTGGGTAGTCCTCGACTTACGACCGGTTGGGGGTCGCGGCATTAAAAAGGTTGAGAACCACTGCTTTAAGCTCACACCTCCTGCTTCAGCGACTCCATCCAGCCACCTCATTCTCTGTCGTCCCCTTCTTCTATTGCCCTCCATCTTTCCCAGCATCAGGCTCTTCTCCAGTGAGTCCTTCTTTCTCATTAGGTAGCCAAAGTACTTGAGTTTCAACTTCAGGATCTGGCCTTCTAAAGAGCAGTCGGGGTTGATCTCCTCAATGATTAGATAGAAAAGAAATATTATATTGATGTGATGTATCGAAACAATAACTGTATTATTTCAAGGTTTGCAAAGGAGACATTTTGGGGAAAGGGGGAAATCAACTAAATGCACCGTGTGGATTATGGATTATAGAAAACAATTGTTAACGATTTTTCTTTACAAAATGTAAACCCAGCAAACATACTGTTTACCAAACTATTAAGTGATTTATGTTTTTAAAAAATCAATAAAATATATGGGAAAAAATACAAAAAAATAAAATAAAATTGCTCCTTTGCAATGACCATCCAAGATATCAGTATTTGTTCATGGATGATTCACAAGCTAACCATGTTGCTGTTGTTGATTGTAGGCAGCAAGTAATGGTGTGAACAAAGACATCGCCATCCTGCAGTGCCACGGTGAGATGGACCCAATGATACCGGTGCGCTTTGGAGCTCTCACTGCAGAGAAGCTGAAGGGGTTTGTGAATCCTAGTAGAATCCAGTTTAGAACCTACCCAAGAATGATGCACAATTCTTGCCCTCAGGTTGGTTGGTAGCCACTCCGCTTCTCACAGCTGGGGTCTGATTGCAAAACGGTTCACGCTGAGATAATGGGGTTAAGGTACTTTATGGTGCCTGGCAAGCTCTGTCCCTCGATCTTGGATCCTCTGAGTTTCAGCTGGCAGCAGCTGGAAATGGATTCTTGTTTGTGGAGGTCTCTCTTGTACAGAATTCTTTCTTATGTAACATACTTAGATACAGCTTTCTGAGAAAGACACGTCTCTAGTAGTCTGTAGGCTGAACTTAAACTCTGGTTGTGCCGCTGCACACGTCTGCAGAAATTTATGATCATGGGTATGTGTGCACTTAAAACACTAATTCGGGAGGTGCGGTGGTGCAGTGGTTAAAATGCAGTATTGCAGGCTAATTCTGCTGATCGCCAGCAGTTCGATTCTGAGCAGCTCAAGGTTGACTCAGCCTTTTATCCTTTCAAGATTGGTAAAACGAGGACCCAGATTGTTGGAGGCAATATGCTGACTCTATAAACTGCTTAGAGAAGGCGGTAAAGCATTATGAAGCAGTGTATGTCTTAAGTGCTATTGCTAATTCTGCAAGGCAAGCATTCTTAATCTGTAGTAGTAAAACCCTTCGTATATTGCTATGAGTTTCTTTGAATCACCAAAGATTTGCTTAACATTTCTGTGCAGCAACTGACGGGGGAGGGAATTTTCTAAAATACCTGCTTTTATTTCTGAGGTGGTTTCATAGAGTTTGTGGGCACCTCCAACTCCCAACCCAGCTGCAAAAATCTCAGTTTCTGCACTTTAGTTGCGAGGAACTACCATCCAGAATGCAGACAGGTTATCTCATGAGCTCCCTTTGATTCAGGGAGATTACACTGGTCGGAATCCACCTTCCAGTCAGTGTTCTCCACTGCAGTATCTCTCTGCTCCTTCGGAGATAGCAGCCCATCATACCTCCCGGCGGGAAGTTTCTGAATTGATCATATTTGGGGTATGCTAAGACTTGGGGGCCAGGAAGAGAGGCCTCGGTGCTGGTTGGGTGGGTCCCTCTCTCTAGTGTGGCCTCAAGAAGTAAAACAGTATTTTCCCCTCCTCTTTGATGTGTGCAGGAGATGATGGCCGTGAAAGACTTCGTGGAGAAGCTGTTGCCCAGGATTTAAGCCGAGCTAGTCAAGACTGTTGCAGGGAGAGGAGACAGAAGTCACCAGCTTTGATCTTGAACCCTTGACCTGTTGGCTGCAATTGGAAGCCATGGCAATCCACCTCCTCACCAGTCACTCGTCTCCTTTCTCGAGCCTTCCCCTCCTGCCTGCGCTGTCCCCCCCCTCCTGTGCAAAGGGGGGAGGAGAGTGTCCTTCTCTCCCACATGGCGGGTGAAGGTACCAAGTGGTTTTAAGGTACAGCTGAGATCCTAATCTTGCAGATTATTATTTCAGTCACCTTTCAGTATTTCCCTGTTCTCTCTCCTCTTTCCTGTTTTGTCTCAGCACCCTCCCAATCCAACCCCCCCCCCCCAAATCTAAATGTAAACTGCCTGTGGCTGTGGCAGAGAACTGCGTGGTAGCCAGAGGCTTAAAGCAAAAGGTATTAAGAGACGGTGTTCTGGCTATTACCATACTTTCAAAGGAGTTTTACAGTTCAGTCTTCTGAACTGTCCACCAGGCATCCTTCCCCCTTCATGATGCTCAGCCCGTCCCACTCCATATTTCACTGGGACCATTTCAACTATGCAGGCGGGCTCAGCTTTCTCCGGCGTGGCAAGGCCTGTTTCTGCCCTGCGCAAGCCGTCAGCCCTGCCATGCTCTCTGTACTATAAGCTCTCCTCCAAGAGTCCGTCAGCAAAAAAGAGGAAGAGTTGCTTTGTGTTGAAGGGCCACGGCCGGTTGGTTCCCCTTGTGACAGTGGCAGCTGCTCCACCAGTCCCTGCCCTGAACGGAGTGATAAAGTGGTGGAGAGGACCCACTGTGCCGGGAGTCACTTCATGTTGTGTGCTGTGGACTGTGTTGTTGTGTTCTGTCCTCTCCTCCGTGCTGCCTTTATCCTGACCCACGGGACCCTTTTTGTTTTGTTGTGAGCAGGAGAAAATGGCTATCCAGGGGAGTGGACTCAAGATGGGTCTGGCCAGTAGGCCTCCCTAGACTACGGTCTCTGACAGTTCCACATACTAGTCTGGGCAGTGCTCAGACAATGGCTGTTCTAGCCTGCTATGCCAACTTGTGTTCCTGCCCAGTCACACCAAGCAAGTGCAAGCTGGGTTTTGGTGTGTGCCATGTTGCCAGAATTGTGCTCCTGCTGCGCCCTCCCCCCCACTTCCTGTGTGGTTCCCTGAGTCCACTGTCTCTTGTTTTCTCCTTGAGATCAGGCTTGTGCTGTTGAACAGCAGCAATGTTTCTTTTCCTTCTCTCCCTTGTGAGTCACTGCTATGGGCTTATCATAAGACTGGCAGCCAGGGACAAGATGCAACTTCAAAAGCAACTTCCCCCCCCCCTCTTCCTTTTGTTTTGGCGAAGGGCTAGTCTTGTTTTGTGTGTCACCCTGCCACCTGTTGTGTGTGTGTGGAATTCGCACCCTTCCTTCTCCCTCTCCTATGCAGTCCTTTACACTGGGCAACAGCAATAAGAAGGCCCAGGACTAGGACAAACCTCTCCTTTCCTCTCCTGGCTTTTGTGATGGGATAGAGACAGGCTTACCCAACATGCCGTTTGGGGCATCTAAATTGAGATCCTTGTGAACTGCAGCTCCCTCCCGTGCCCCGTGCTTGGTAATCCAGCCAGCATCGCCAAGGCCTTTTGCAAAATTGGCTCCTCTTCTGAGAAGCTGAACCCGTGGGGATGACGTGTGCGTGGCCGTTGTGTGGCAAAGTAGGATCATCCGGTGAAAGGGAGACCCGGTTTGGGGAGAGGAAGAGGCCTGGCCTCTTTGTGCAGCCCCCACCTCCCCCTACCTTCATCTCTAGATTGCAGGGGCATCTCCATCTGAACCTTTATTTTTGAGCGGAGTGCCGCTCCTGTCCACACAGGTAATAAGTGATGGTGGAAAAGCAGAATGTCTTCAGCCTCCTATCCTTGCCAAGAAAACACAATATTCCTCTTCAGCCCGTTTGTGTTTCCCCTGTTTCAAAGGAACGGCTTCTGCAGCTGTCTTGACCTGCACTTGGAAGTGCTAATAGATAGGAAAAAAAACACGCCTGCTCAGTCTCGCTACTATCGCCAGAAAGCAATGGTAAAATTCTGAGAGGGTAAAATGAGTTGTGCAACCGAATGGACCACAAGTGTGAGCAGATATCATTCCCGATGTTTCCGTTTAAAACAAAACAAACAAAAATCTTTGCAAGTAAAACAGAACACATAAAGGGAATCCTGGCTCACCTTCCCCCCCCCCCCTTCCCTTTCTGCTTATTTTTTTTAAGAGTGGAGCTTGTTTGGCTAAATTAGGTTCTGCACGCATTTGCAGCAAGACATAGCGCAGCCTACTTCACCATTCTCGCGTCCTCCATGTTCTACTGCATTTCAGCTTCCTTCTGCACCAAGTAACCCGCAAGGGGCCATGTGTGGACAGGTTGGTTGCCTGTTTCCACCACTCCGCTCCTCTCAGGCCACTGAGCTGTAATGTCCCGCAGAGCAAGTGGAGCGATCCCGGCTCTGGTTTCGGCTAGCCCAGCTTCCTCATTGGGCCTTCCCAAAGCTGTTGTCAACGTGGCCTGGATGGTATAGAAGGGACGGGAATGAACACAGAAGCCCCCAAGGAAGAAGATGCTTCTCTCTCTGTTCCTGCAAGGGGATCTCAGCAACCTCTTCTCCCTTTCCCTCTGTCTCCCTCGTATGTTGTTTTAATTTTTGTGTTCCTTCCTTCAAGATTAAACAGAAACCGACATCGGTGCCTCATCTTTTGCTTTGTTAAAACCTCCTCGCGGGGGGGGTCCCTTTCTCCTGCAGGGAGGGTTTTCAGTGTTGGACAGCTCTTGCGAACATCTGAAACCTGGGATGGTCTGTCCTTGGCTGCTGTGAGGGGCTGGATAACCAGAGGAAGAGCTACCCCAAAGGTGCTTTTTCCAAAAGGCAACTGGACTTTCTTGGTTTTTTGTTTTTTTTTTCTCTTGAAAACATTTTGCTTCTCACCCAAGGAACTTTTTCAGAAGCTTCTTAGATGAGAAACAAAATGTTTTCCAGAAAAAAAGAACCATGACCTGAATGATTGAGAATTTCCATAGGCAGAGAAAGGGCTGTTTACTTCCTCTATATCAGTGGTTCTCAACCTGTGGGTCGGGACCCCATTTGGGGTCGAACGACCATTTCACGGGGGTCGCCAAACAACGCAGTCTGCCATTTTTTCCCCTCTTTTCCTTAGCTGTGCTCCTCCCTTTTATTCTATTGGCTTTTGAAAGCCAATAGAATAGACTCTCTTCAATAGAGTCTAATTCTATTGGCTTTCAAAAGCCAATAGGAATTGTCCAGGTTGTCTCTGCCCTGCTGAGCCCGCCAAAAGTCCCATTCTGCAAACGGTGCTGCACCAGTTGAGTAGTCCTCGACTTACAACCGGTTGAGTAGTCCTCGACTTACGACCGGTTGGGGGTCGTGACATTAAAAAGGTTGAGAACCACTGGTCTATATGTTTATAACAGCTTTTGCCATGCTGGCCTGGTATGTTGAGTGAAGTCAACTCTGGGCGAGGCGATCCTCCTTTGTGCTTTGTGTGCACCCAAGGTTTGGTCTAGAATTCTATACAAAGGGTACGAATAATCTGCATATGAGAGAGCACTGTTGGTGACTGGAAGGGAGCAGCAGTTCCAGGAAGGGCTGATCTTATTTTTCTTGCTTGCTCTGTTTGCCATTGTGCTTCACAGGGGTTTCTTTGATCGTGATTTCAGATTTGGGGCATTCTGAAAACGAGCATACGCTTTCCCTCTGAGCAACTAGCCCAGTGGTTCTCAACCTTTCTAATGCCGCGACCCCATAATACAGTTCCCCCTGTTGTGGTGACCCCCAACCACTTATACATCACCGGGTGCCAGGGACATGGCCAAAGAAAAGGGGGAAAAATGGCGGACAGCCTTGTTTGGCGACCCCCGTGAAATGGTCGTTCGACCCCAAATGGGTCCCGACCCACAGGTTGAGAACCACTGAACTAGCCTCTCTTCCCTCCTGTAATTCCAAGCGAAAATCAGAAATTTCACTGTGGTTACATTTTATCTGAAGCATTCTTCCCCTGGGGGGAAAATGATCTTCTAGTCCTCTGAGAGCATCTCTTCAGGTTCTGCAAATCCTGCCAGGCAGACTCCTGGCATCCCACCCACCAGTCAGCAGAGTTGTTTCACCACGTGAATGTGTCTGTTTGCATAGCAACTAAGCCAGGCCTTCCATCAGAACAAGAGCTTGAAGCTTGTCACTGACAAAGACAGCTCCAAAGTACTTTTGAACAGGCTTTGATTTCTTCTTCCCCTCCCATTTATTGTTTAAGAGAGCTATAGATTGCTTAATAGTGATTTTGATGGATTACATGCCGTCCAGTTGCTATCATCTCTTAGCAACCACATAGATAGGTGTTCTTCATAATGATCTGTCCTTAATGTAGTCCTTCAGGACTTTAAAGCCTAAAGGTTGACCAGAAAGACTAATCTAGTTGCTGCTTGTCCCCCTTCTACTCTTCTACTCTTTCCCAATATCAGAGCTTTCTCCAGAGAGATGGGCCTTCAAATCATGTGTCCAAAGAAGCATAATTTGAGCCTGATCACCTAACACAGTGGTTCTTAAACTTTTTGAACGAATCGCCCCCTTGAGCCAATGAGGAAGTTGTCATCGCCCCCCTCCCCCAACATAACCTCTCAATCACAACATAGGAAATAATTCTTCAATTTATGCAAACACTTTTTTTGTTTTCTTTAAAATTGTCATCATATCAATGCAAATAATTTATTTCCAGTCTTTTTCCCATATCTTCCATATTCTGGCCAATGGCGTGCCACTGTATGGGTAGAGGCTGCTGCGCAACGCGCATGAAGATAAGCGATGCGTATTCACATATGTACGGCGTTCTGTACTGAAGCTAGCTGGAGGAACATTTGAAAACACAATTCAATCTACTAAGAGCGAGCAATCTGATGTTTTTGTACGACAGATATACAGCGATTCACTGTACGAAAAAGTCTCAAAAGTGTCCCCAAAACATCTCGCTCCATCGCCCCCATATCACCCCCTTTTCATTCCTTCGCCCCCGCATCACTCCTTTTCGTTACATTGCCCCTCTGAAAAATGAAATCACCCCCTGGGGGGCAATATCGCCCAGGTTAAGAACCACTGACCTAACACACTAATTTTAAATGTGTACAGTAAAAGACATTGTGGGAATCCAGCCAGACCCCCTTTATAAACCAATTTCAACAGTTATATTTATTAAACCCATAATCAAACATCTTGCATGAGTGCAGCCAATGAATACTGCAAATTCGTTACTTATCTATGTGCCACTGCAATCAACAGCCAATTCATATTCCCACCTCAAAAGTAAGTAATTTATTAGAGCAATAATATAATTTACTCAAGACATTTATTCTTGATGTCACTTTCCCCCCCTAGGTATTCCTGGGGTGTTGTTATCCAATTGCCTGCTAGCTTTTCCCCTGTGTTTCTTATATCTGGTTCAGGTTTTCATGAAGCTTCGTTTGGGGAGGAACAGGCAACCTTAGTGCAGCTTTGGCTTCCTTTAAAGAGGGCTAATGAGTAACTTATAGCAAATGAACCTGTTACTACCTTTTTTGTTACAAGACTTTTCACAGCCTATTGACTGTAGGATCGCTTAAAATCTCTACCGAAATGCTTCTTTTACCACTATCTGAAAAGTCTTAATACAGGGGTTCCCAACCAGGGGTGCTCACACCCCCTGGGGGTGCGAGGCTGATATTCCAAGGGCTGCGAAAACTTGGGTTTTCAAAATTGTAGTATATACACATAATTCGTTGTCGTTATTTTGAACTTTGGTAAGGGGCGCGAGAATATATCAGAAGCATTCTAGGGGTGTGGAACCGCTGTCTTGATAGAATAGCTCAGGGTTGAACTGTAGAGTTCTTGCTGCTCTCCGAGCTTGGTTGTTTGCAGATGTTTAATTACCTGACTAAATAACTCCATCAGTTCTAGTGAGTGTGAGGTGGGCTCCCTCTTTATATACAATAGCTTGCCCTGCCACAGTTGGTGGACGTCTGGTTTTTCTACTTGGCTGTTCCTTGATTAATGTATAGTTTTCTGCTTGATTGTTTGCCTGGTGTTGATCCCTGTTTATCTGGGCATAGGCTGCTGGAGAGGATGTGTTCTGATCTTTTTGTTTCCTTAGCTTTTTATTGTTTCTTTTGAATGGTGTGTAAATGTGGTTTATCTCTACGTGTCTATTGATGGCCGATTTATCTGAATGCTAAGCTTCTAGGAATTCTCTAGCATTTTTAGATTTGGCTTGATCTAGAATGCTTGTTTCCTAGTTGAAACTATGATTGATCTATCCATGTGTTATGAGATTAAGATTTCACTGTGTCCTCTGATTACTAGTCGGCGTTCATGAACGTGCTCTGCTAATCTTATACTTCTTTGTCTCAGACACGTTGCTGATGGATCTTTTGATTTACTTAAGAGGTTTTGGAGAGCTTTTGGTTGATTTGTGTGTGTTATGATTGTAATAGTCTGTTGGTTGTTTCTGAAATGTCTTTTGATATTTGGCAACGTTATTCTTTTCATAACTTGTGTCGGTTGTAGTGTAATGGGTTGAGTGGCTAGGCATTTCTTTTTGACAAAGATTCCCTTAAAAGCATTTTAATGCAAATCTGTAAGTCTGCCTTTGGGGTGGGGAGTTGTTCATGGGATTTTGGATTTTTGCTGTTGTGCTTCCTAACAGAGACAGAACATAGCATGGTGCACAATTCACCAAAATTCATCCTCTCTGACCTGAGATAGAGCAATTCTAAGAGCTGTTCCAGCAAAACAGATGTGAGGATGGGGAGGCTGTTGAATAAATAATGTGCTTGCTTTAGTAAAACACTAGTTTTTTTTTTAAATAGAACCTTCCCTTTTCCAGGAATATCACCATAACACCATTTTAAAGCCCTTGAAACCGTTATTTTATTTTTAAGTGAAACTCTCATGGCTCCAAAAAGATTGTCCATTCCTACTCTTGAAGCATCCAGAAAGGTTTTTTTTTAATTTATGTGCACATTAATATTAATCATATAACGTTGATGTCCTGAGTCTTGAAAGTTATTTAAATTTCTTTCGAGAAGTGTTCTTGAAAGTTGTTCTTATTCTCACAAGGCTAACATTAGGGGAAAAACAGTGAGATTTCAAAAATCACTCGTGAATTACTGACCAGAAGTCCTAGATTGTGCATAATAATCTGAAAGGCAGAAGAAATAACCATAAAGGTTAAAAAGAAGAAAGAACAGGTCCATACTTGCTAATAATAAAAAAATCATTGTAGCTTTTAATGGAGGAATGGAGCAGGAATGCAAAAAAAAAAAAAGATAATTTATGGCCAAGCAGATAGAGTTGTTCCATCTTGCCCCTTGCAAATTCCACAAATGTTTGTCATTTGTTCTTTTGGGTTAACACAAAGACTGGAATTTCATTGGATATGCAAGAATGGGTTGGAAAGAACCGTGAAGGAAATCTAGACATTTCCTTAGTGGATAATCATGATTATCACAACATGATTTTGACCAAGTTGTTTGCAGTATGAAAATTAAAATTTGTTCTTACACTGTAAACTTGAATTGGCATAAGAAGCTAAACAAAAATGCTCACCAGACAGAGCAAGATTCCTTAGGCTGCACTAAATGCTGTTTGTAAAGAGATGGGCATTGATCCAGAGCCTAAAATAGTGGCTTCCATTGGAAACAAGATGGGAGACTGATTTAGATTATTTTCAGTGTATCAAAACAAACCTGTAAGTAACTTCAACCTGCATAATGAAGTCATTTATACAGCCAAAGAAAGAGGTAGTGATTTGCAGTAGAAGCACATTGTCCCTATGTCATAAAATGGAAGTGGGCAAAAGCAATTCTACTCCAGTTGTTTTAAAGCAGTAGTTCTCAACCTGTGGGTCGGGACCCCATTTGGGGTCGAATGACCATTTCACGGGGGTCGCCGAACAACGCAGTCTGCCATTTTTTCCCCCTTTTCCTTAGCTGTGCTACTCCCTTTTATTCTATTGGCTTTTGAAAGCCAATAGAATAGACTCTCTTGAATAGAGTCTAATTCTATTGGCTTTCAAAAGCCAATAGGAATTGTCCAGGCTGTCTCTGCCCTGCTGAGCCCGCCAAAAGTCCCATTCTGCAAACGGTGCTGCACCAGTTGAGTAGTCCTCGACTTACGACCGGTTGAGTAGTCCTCGACTTACGACCGGTTGGGGGGGGGGTCGCGGCATTAAAAAGGTTGAGAACCACTGTTTTAAAGAGCACACGCATCTGAAGTCTTATATTTGCAACATGAGCAGATACTTTCACAGCAATGAGTACTGGAATTGTCTTGTAGCCCACCACTCTCCACCTCTTAACAAGCAGTCTCTCCCTCTCTGCTCTCTGATAAAAGTTGTTTTGGAGATGCTGGGTCAGACTTTCATAGCTGCCACTGCCCTGTCTAGTTTGATAGGCTTTTGAATCCTAACTGAAATGCTAAACTCAAGATATATTGTATTTCAAGAGCTTTGTTTTCCCACCAGCTTTGTTATAAGTACCTGGCTGATGCTGTTGGCAGAAGAATCTGAGTTCAGCTTAAATTCTGCACCGACAGTCACAGTATCTAATCATTTGAGTCCCTTGATCACGCAGAGCATCTTCTTTTATAAGTAGTCCTCCGCTCACGATTGGTCACTTAGTGACAGTTTGAAGTTATGACGGACCTACTGCGGGGAAGGTACTTCCAATCTGGATTTGAAGCTATGATGGTCAGGCCTATTCCCTCCCCCCAATTTCTAATCATGTGGCTATTCTTCAGATGCTTGGCAACCGGGCCACATTTATGGCCACCTGCAACATCCGTAGGTCACATGACCCGATGGCTTTCAGCAAAACTGTGCCCCTAGTGAACCATTGGTGAACCACAAAAAAGTAGTAAAATAGATGCTTTATGACTGTCACGAATTATGACTACGATAAGAGGCTCCAGGACTATACTGTTTAGCTACCTTGCTGGCAGACTATTATGCGCTTCTGTTTTTTTTTTCCAATGTACTATCAATGTACTATCTTAAAGCATCTCTTTTCAAGATATTAGAAATATCACCGCATGTAGTGCCTTTAGCTGTATCACTATCCAGAAGAACTTAAAAGGTTCACTAAGGATTTGTGATGTCTGTTTTAAAGACCAACCAGCCCAACAGCTTTTGGACTGTCATCTGAGCAATGTTAAAATTTACAGCTTAAAGAGATACTTCCATTACTATTATTTTGCTCAAAATAATGAGTTGTACGGTTTATACTTTAGAAAAAGAAGTGGAGATAATGACAAAACCCACTTCACCACCGTCAGGCTTAGTTTTGTTTAACCTTTTCTGTATCTTGGCTCTTCCACTCAAATGAAAGAATCGGGTCTCTGAAATCTTGCTCTCTTAACCCTAGACAGCTCTCGTCTCTTGAAACCAAAGAGTTGTGGATTAAATCCCCCCAAAGCCAACCAAGCTATAGAGAAACATTTGGATTTTGTCCTCCTGTGACATGCAGCTAGGTGTCCCGCTGCTCCTAATTCAGTAAAAAACAGGTCCCCTCCGTCAGTAAAAAGACTCTTGAGTTTCTTTCTGGCAGAGAGATAGGATGAGGAGAAGAGAACGGGCAACTTAAAGAGGGCAATGGCATCCTCTGGTGTGATGAGTTGGTTCCAAAAAGGAAAGAAGAAACAAGCATGGACCAGCTTCCTTTTTCAAAACTAGTCAGCCCTGGACCAGTGTGCCAGTGGTTGTACGTGGGTAGGACAAGCAGCATCTTCCACCTCCTAGTAGTTCTTGCTGAAACCGATGGGATTCTGTGACTGCCACCGCCATAAGTCCTCACCTGAAAACAAGAGGGAGAGGAAGGAGAGTAGAGAGAGGAATAATAAGGGTCCGGCAAGATCAGAAATGAGGTGATCAGCCGCCTGGGAAAGCCAAGGGAAATCATCAGAACAATTACAAAACGGAAATTAGAATATTTCAGACATGTGATGCGACACCCAGAAAAATACGGCATACTCCATTTAACCCTCCAAGGAAAGATGGAAGGCAAACGAGGTCCAGGCAGAAGACGAAGATTGTGGCTTCAAAATCTAAGGGACTGGTTTGGACAAAACTCAGCAGCACTTTTTCGTGTGGCTGCTGATAAAAACAGGATCGCCAACAGGATCACCAACATCCGATAACGGATATGGCACAAGAAGAAGAAGAAGCTTGCCTTTAGATAGGTATCAAAAGATACTGGGAAGGATAGATGTTGACTTGGTTCTCCGGTAGGAGGGGGAAGCAAAATGTTCCTTGAAAGATGAGCAGCAAGCAGAAAGTTTCGACTTACACATTTTGTCCAGGCCAAAGATAGCTTTCCAACCCAGCTCTCGCTCAGCTAAACCAGGGTTTGCATAACAAGAGGCTACGTCCCCTTCTCGGCGTTCAACAATCTTGTAGTTTATCTAAAATAAACAAACAGCCTGCCTTTATATTTCTGGGGAATGAGTTGGATACCGTTGCTAAGATGCCAAGTAAGGGAATGGTTAGGTCCCAGGCTGATCATAAAACTAGCAGAGTCTGAGAAAGTGGACAGCTTCACAATAAGATCTCACGGTGTAGGTCCCAGGCACTTTTAAGTCTTGGTGTAGGAGACCCGCATATTGGCTGTCAGCCCCTGCATCTCATCTTCAGCCTACCTGTCTCCCAGATGCCTTCTCCATGGCTTTGACCATCTGCAAGACCGAGTAGCCAACACCAGTCCCAAGGTTGTAAATCTGTAAAAATGCATATATATATATATATATATATATATATATATATATATATATATATATATCTATATATATATATATATATATATATATATATATATATATATATGTATATATTGCTCATCATTATATTCATCTATGCTCCTCCTTTGCTGGGGGAAGCAAAGGAGAGCTTAAATATGAGAAGGTTGGAGGGGATGGTTACCCCAACTTGTTTTCAGTATGAGTCTAGCGCAGTGTTTCTCAACCTTGACCATTTTAAGGCATGTGGACTTCCACTCCCAGAATTCCACAGCCAGCAATGCTGGCTGTGGAATTCTGGGAGTTGAAGTCCACATGCCTTAAAATGGTCAAGGTTGAGAAACACTGGTCTAGCGGGTGGATGCATCTGATTTAAAGCTATTAAGTTTAGTCTCCTGCACTGTAAGACCATTCAGAAATGAAATAAGAAAAAATAAGGATTATGAAGACACCCTTTGACCTTAGCAGGGCATTTTCCTTCTCAGAGGGTGGAGACTTGTATAATGAACATCCTTACCTTGCATCCACAGTTCTCCTTGAGCTTCTGCAAGGCTGCAATATGGCCCTTTGCCAGATCAGTTACATGGATATAATCCCGAATGCCTATCAGAGAACAATCGGTCAATGTTCTGCTCACTCAGCTGATGCGCGTGTATTTCCACATTTTTAGATGTGCATTCTCTTGGGTAAATACGTTCACAATACATATAATAGAGAACAAATTTTGCACATTAGGCCAGGGATGGTGTTAATAGTCTTTCTTTCCCAAGCCATTTAGGAAACCTGCTCAACCAGAACTGCCTATTTCTTGAGGCCAGGAGGAGCTCTCTAATAAATCTCAGCTCCCAGCAAAGAAAATTAGTATTTGAGACCCAGGAGGTGATCATATATAGTTCCATTTTAATTTAGCCCATGTACACCTTCATTGCCCCTTTAACCAGTAGTTTAGCAGTCAAGTAATTCTACCAGGAAAGAGTTTTAGGACTTAAGTTAGTAAAACGATACTCACAACCTCCCACTTCCAAATACATTTATAAAGCGCTTGGAATTTTATGAGGCTGTCAACTCTGAAAGAGACTTCTGGCATGAAATCCTGGAATGTCTCAGAAGGTGATAACGGAATATTGAGCTTTGGGCTATTATGATAATGTCTTCTTAAAGGTGCTTAGCCCTGGTTTAAGATAGCAAGAAAGTAAGTCCTGCTTTGGGAAGAATTGTGGACAATATATTCGCATCTTTCCTTGAGGGAAAGCTCCGAATTGTGACTCTTGCCTTTTTCACTGAGCTTCTCCACTCGGCCTTTTTTTTTTTTTTTTTGAAAGGGGAGGTCTTTATTTTAAAGTTTGGATGATTCTGAGCCCCACACACCTGTCCCATCCACTGTGTCATAATCATTCCCAAAGACATTCAGATGCTCTCTGCGCCCCACAGCCACCTGGAACAGGCAGAAGATGGGAAAAAATTAAAATGAAATGAAAAAAATCAACTGATCGAGTAGCACAAACTCTATTTAAGATCTGTGTACCTGGGCAACATAAGGCATCAGATTGTTTGGGATGCCCTGGGGGTCTTCTCCAATTTTTCCGGACTTGTGAGCTCCAATAGGGTTAAAATACCGCAAGAGAACAGCGTTCCACTCCTAGGACAAAAAAAGAACACACCAAGTAAATCCGGTGGGACATAGCAGCCTACATGGGACTCAAAGTGAAGTGTTGCTCTCTTACTGGTTCCGCCTTGCACAAATCCTGGATCATCTCCTCAATGAAATACTTGGATTTGCCGTAGGGATTGGTGCAGCTGCCGACCGGGTGCTTCTCGTCAAGAGGGAGGTAAACAGGATCTCCATAGACTGTGGCTGAACTGCTGAAGACTATGTTCCTGACTCCATGGGCTTTCATGGTCTGAGAGGCAAAAAAGAAAGATAAGCTAGATTCCGAATCAGGTCAGAGGGAGCAGATAAATCTTGACAACGGGGATAATATTCCTTGCCCTTGTTTTAATCCAAGCCAGCATGGCTCTGGATGAAGACTGGTGCAACTGACTAGTGGCCATCCCAGTGCTTAATGAGAGGATACTCTATGCTGTGGGTTTTTGTATGGGGTCTCGTGTTAGCATCCAAGATGGCCTTAAAAGGTCATAACCAACTGACCCCAACTGGACAGCTTCTAAATCTCTTGGAACCAATCTCCCACATTCTTCAGCCATATACTAGTTGGAGGCTATAGAAGCTGAAGTCCAATGAATTCGGAGAATTTGGGAGGGCTGTGCTAAATCTTTGCAGGCCTCTGCTTTTTAACACATTAACAGTTGCAGAGTTTCAACTTCTGGCCAAGTGACTCAACATTTGAGCCCTTGAAGTTCTGATCTGCACATCAGTGCAAATGACCAATCTAGTATAAATTCTTCTGATTTTTGCTCTTAGAGCCATTTGCTGGTGATTGGACAAGAGCTTGTACCCCAGAACCATCTTCTATTGACTCTCTCTAGTTAAAACTTTCATTATAACCTTGCACAATGGAAGCTCACCTCCAGCAACCGGATGCTCCCTGTCAGATTCACTTTGTAATATTCCAGTGGCATCTGAACAGACTCCCCAACGGCTTTAAGACCCGCAAAATGTATCACTGCAGAAAAGTGATGCTGGAAATGGAAGAATGACCACAATAATGTCGCTGTTGTTTACTGAGAACAAAATTAACGGTCATTGTGTTTTTTTTTTCATCAAGTCAAGGATATTTAACTTCTAAATCAAAGAAGCCTATTTTTCAGTTGAATTATTTTAAAGTATTCTAAACCGGGAAGGCAAAAATATGAAGCCTGGATCAGAATGACTATTCAATACATGGCCTACGTGGTGACTACATTCCATCTCTAAAGGCTCACCAAAATAACCACATAATATTCTCTGAGGCTATTGTTTTTCCAGGAGTTTGGAGGTATTTGTGTCTCATTGGTTTTTCTGCTCCTATTCCCATCTTTAAAAGCCCCCCCCCCAAAAAAAAGGAATTCTGAAGAAGGAAGAAAACATTCGACAAATTAAGGTGTTCATTTTCCTGCTGAATTACAGAAATACAATTCTGGACTCCAGGGCCACCAACATTAGGCAAGACTGCCCATTCCACTCTGACAACTATCCACAGAGCACAAAAACACTGAGATCTTTGCCCATGTTTTTGGAAAAAGGTCGATTCAGATGCCTTTCAACTGAGCTGACAATGCAAAAATCACTTACAGAGTCTTTTATAGGCTGGCTACTTGCCAATGCTTTAACATCCACGGCCTGAGAGCAGAGATTTTTTTTCCCCAACAAATATGGACTGAGTCACTTATAGTTTTTCCTTGCAGTTTTTCAGCACAACCAGCCACACTGGAAGTCAATGCAGCCACAAGAACATTGATGCACCATCAAACTATGGAAACTTTGAAGAATGGGCAGTACAAAAATCTCTCCCAAGATTGATGGGGTGAAGAACCAAAATGGATGACCATATAGGAAAAAGTAGGCACAAATCGTGGTGCTGCTCAGCAGGCAAAAACTATTTGCAGAGCAGAAGCTGAGTCAGTTTTCATAATTGGTACAATGACAAAGGAAAGTTAAACCCTCAGTGATGTCATCACACCTTTTTGAAGAGCTCCTGAAGGCCCCTCTCGTCAAGAACATCCAGCTCCTGGAATGGGATCTCCTTTCCCACAATCTCCATCACCCGCTGAATACTCTCCGGAACCATATTTTCTCCTGTAGAGAGAATTAGTGTTTTGATGCAATGCTGGGTGGACTAGACCTCATGCCAGTCAGAATGCCTACCCTCCCATGCCCTTAGTCTGGATGCTCCTTTGGACCTTATGGATGGCCTAGCTTTTGACTGAAAACATTCTAATCTCCACCATTCCTGCTCCATAAGCCAAGCATCTCCCTCTCTTGTAAACAAACAGGGATGATCTCTCTCTCTCTCTGCCATTTGCTCAGAAATGCTCTGGTACTGTCAAGGCCTTTGAGGAAAGCAAACTCAAGAAGCAGTCCTCTGTATTTCTGAAGGATCTTTAGTGCTCACAGGTCATTGGAAGAGAAACTTGAAAGCCTCCAGAGCAGCGGTTCTCAACCTGTGGGTCGCGACCCCCTTGGGGGTCGAACGACCCTTTCACAGGGGTCGCCTAAGACCATCGGAAAACACATAATTACATATAATGCTTTAATTATGTTCAATTTGTTACAATAAAAATACATCCTGCATATCAGATATTTACATTACCATTCATAACCGTAGCAAAATTACAGTTATGACGTAGCAACGAAAATAATTTTATGGTTGGGGGGTCACCGCAACATGAGGGACTGTATTAAAGGGTCGCGGCATTAGGAAGGTTGAGAACCACTGCTCCAAAGCAATTATCCAGCTCAACTTATAGCTAGCATAATTAAGGGGGAGTCTCCTCTTTGCATTCACTTTCCTCCCCTGAACTCAACTTTTCTGTAATGGCCCTCTATCTTCCGGTAATATCTTTCACTATTCTCCCTGTTCCCATGCCTGTTAGTCATTCCATCATACATACTCCCTCTACCTCCATCCCAATAGCTATCCAAGTAGGAAATGAGAGCATGACTAGGATCTGGTCTTTCTGTCAGTATTTTAAGGGATCAATAAAGGACACTGAGGGTTTAGCCCAGGGATAAGCAACCTTGGCTCTTTTATGATTCGTGGACTTCAACTCCCGGAATTCCTGAGCCAGCATGGCTCGGCATGGAAACCTCTCCCTTTCCCCTCAGCATGGCTGGCTCAGGAATTCTGGGAGTTGAAGTCCACGAGTCATCAAAGAGCCAAGGTTGCCTACCCCTGGTTTAGCCAATGTTTCAGTGCCACCCTGAGGTGAAAGTGAAATAATCCTTGCCTATGGGAGTCAGTGGTGAAGGCAACACTGTTGGCTCCCCACTCCAGCTAAGTCACAGTTAGCTTCGTTGATAGACCCAGCCATAATTTGCAAGGCTGATGCAACTTACACACTGGGGCTTATTTGACTCTGGTTTAGTACGTTCTACAAAATTACTCATTGCGATTTGTAAACCACGGATTATGACTAACATATTACCTATAAAGTAAATCATGATGATAAACATGGCTCAGAGCAAGGCCTGAATTCAGCTACTAGTCCAGGCAAACAATTGTTTGAACAGTCTGCCTATAAACCAGGTACTTCACTGTCAGTTTAAGGCGTCTTGCTAAATGGAAACCTTGCTGTCAACCAGCTCCTGGATACTGCCCTTACCTCGGATGGCATTGTGGAAATTATCGATAACTACCGGGGTATAGCCAGCCTCAACCAGCTCCAGAACGCAGTGGCTCCCTATATAGCCAGCTCCACCTGTCACGAGGATCTTTTCCGACATGGTCTTCTGAAAAGAAACAGAAAAATCCTTGGAGGAAGAGAAAAACTGGTCTCTTTCTGGGAGTAATGTATATTATGGAAATCAGGGTGTGCAATTAATTTTCCCAAGAGACCACGTGAGAAACTAGGACTGTTATGGAGGGCCAAACCAATAGGGCTATGAAAGTATATAGGCAAACATGCATGCACATATATAAACTGGGAGGGGAGGGAAACAGTCGCCCTCAAAATAAAAGCAATCCATACAGGCTGAATAGGGACAGCCAAAGGGCTGGATGTGGCCCATGGCCCATAAAATGCCCAGGTCTGATTTAGGCCAATCTGGAACACTCCAGATGTTTTGGGATTGCCGACTGAACATTCCAGATCTCTAGATTGGAATTCTGGGGATTGCGGCTTCAAGAAGCCCAGAGGGCACCAAAATGAGTAGAAGCAGCAATGCCTCGTTTCCAGCCTAGATTTTCTTGGCCAGATTCAGTGCCAAATTCAGTCCTGAGGGAAGTCACTCAAAACTAAAAGGTGTGAAGCATTCTGTCAGAATTCACAAATGTTGGTCCTAGGCTAGAATTCATCCTTGCTTATGCCGGAGGAAAAAAGGGACAGGTAAAAATCTGGACTAAGGCAGTCTGGAAAATGGAACCTGGAGACAGTTCAGAAGCTGAGTGGTGAGCAAGGAGTATTTACATGGAAGTAAAAGGATGGGGCAGCCTGAGTAGCAGGATTACCAAAGGCCATTGCTCTGCGGAAGTGAGAATTACATGTGTACTAAGCTCTGAATGGCCTCTGTCAAATATATATTCCAGTGATGGCAAACCTTTTAGAGATTGAGTGCCCAAACTGCAACCCAAAACCCACTTATGTATCGCCGGATGCCGGTGGCTGTGGTCCACTCGGCGGGCACAGCTACAGTGGGCTTAGCAGACTGGGTGGGCGTGGCCACTGGATGGGTGTGGCTGATTGGGCGGGCATGATTGGGTGGGCATGGCCGGGATGGGCGTGGCCACCTTGATGTTGCTTATGAGTAGGGACACCTGTGGGAGCTGGGCAGGGTTGGGGGAGATCCAGGGGGTCTCTGGCGGGTGGGATGGTGGGCTCCCCAATGGCGGCTCCAGGCTGGCTGGCCTTAGGCCAGTGATGGCGAACTTTTAGAGACCACGTATGCTGGGACGATGGTGTGTGGCCTCCACGTGCCGCCTCTGGCACACGTGCTATAGGTTCGCCACCAATGATACATTCTTTCACCTTGCAAAAATCATATTTGAAGCATTTTGCATCAGTCTGATGAATTGATATTCCTGAAAGCTTTTAACAGCCTAAGGAACCCCCTTTATATACCCTCCTTTTCCATGCCTCTCTATCTTATAGTCATTTTTACCCTCAATTTGCAGAATCAATATTGACCTTGACTGGAAAAGAAAAATGTGGTTTACGCAAGTAAATATAACCTGTCCAAAAATAAGCTTTCTATAATAGAATCCTTCCCTCTTTGTCATCTATCTGACATTAATGGGTATTTCCTTTCCCCAGATGTGCCATGTTTCATGCAAAAAGTAAGCAAACCCCGTGAGCATAAATGCAATTCCCCATCCTTGTTTAATTAACGTTAGTTTCCACAAAAGTCCTGCTTGTCAGATGTTAACCAGCTTTTATAGACCTCATCTATAACAAACTGGTAGTGTTTGCATTTGCACAATCCCACGCAACCAGTTACAGCCCTATTGCCTACATTTGTACAACATGCTTATTAATCTTGCCAAGTCTTTTTTGAATTTAGTACCCTCTGTGGACCTAACCCATTTGATTACAAACCCAGGAAATGGGTTCAGTAACCAAGTTACGTTTTGTTATGAGATTGTGATAAATAAGAAAAAAGGAGACGGAACTGAAATATTTAGACAACTTTTCCTCCCACCTATCTCTGGCCCATTTTTTTTTTCTCTTGGTGTCCTTATTGCCAGGGAAGGAAATTGCCACCACCCGTGGGTCAGACACCAGATTATTTAAATCAGTGGTTCTCAACCTTTTTAATGCCGCGACCCCCAACCGGTCGTAAGTCGAGGACTACTCAACTGGTGCAGCACCGTTTGCAGAATGGGACTTTTGGCGGGCTCAGCAGGGCAGAGACAGCCTGGACAATTCCTATGGGCTTTTGAATAGGCTCTTTTGAATAGACTCTATTCAAGAGAGTCTATTCTATTGGCTTTCAAAAGCCAATGGAATAAAAGGGAGTAGCACAGCTAAGGAAAAGGGGGAAAAAAATGGCGGACTGCGTTGTTTGGCGACCCCCGTGAAATGGTCGTTCGACCCCAAATGGGGTCCCGACCCACAGGTTGAGAACCACTGATTTAAATGCTATGGGATAGAAAAATAATATTTTCCAGAATTTAGATTGAGAACTCCCAAGTCCAACTTAGCAAAGTATCACAGGGGGAGCAGGAGAAAGACGAAGCTTCTTAAACCCCTTTGTCAAAATAACATTTAACCCAGGACTGTTGTAGTTCTTTCCCCTAAAACCATGTCTTTGCCTGTTTCTCCTCCCTTCCGTGCGCGGTCATGGACAGAGCCACTCTCTTTGCACAGAAAAGCTTCTGTCTTTCTGTTCCAGAAGTCTATTACTATTTATTTTCCAATCCCGCAAAATAATATTTTTTTAGAACAGATGCACTTCAGTCTGAAAAATCACAAGGTTGAGGCTTTGCCGGGAAGAGGAGGACTGAAGTCAGAAGAGCTGTTGAGGGAGGGGGCCACCTGGACAGAATTGCCCCCCCCCCCAAAGGCCCATGAAAAGAGAGTCTGTGTGCACACAGCCACAAGGAAAAGCATTCATCCCTGAAATACACCACCCAGAGGATATCTGAGCATCCAGATGTGGCTGGTTCACTTTTCCAAGCACCTTAGTTTGCCTGTCTGTAAAATATATGGGTTTCTGGGGTCCAGCCTCAATTCCTCATTCTTGCTTTCAGGATCTTCCTTAGCTTTCCCACTCCTCCTCTCTTAACTCCTGATTTCTCGTTAATTTCTCGCCCTGTAACCTTTGCTCCTTCAGCTCCAAAAGCCGTTGTCCAGGATTCAACTTTTTCCTCTTGCAAGGAAAAGGAATGATCTTCATCCAATGCTGTGTCATAGCTCTTCTCTTCCTCCAGCACAAGCCAATCCTTTCTCGGAAAGGTTGGCACAACTTCCAGTACAAAAAATGGTACCAAGAACAACTGTCTCTCTGTGTGTACAACCAGATTGAGGCCTCATCCCTCCAGTGCCCGTGTTGCTGACTTTTAATTGCTCAATCAGGTAAACTGCAGGACAGTGGTGGGATTCAGACGGTTCGGCAGAACCAGTAGCTAAATTTTGCTCAGCTCGGAGAACCTGCTGAATGCACAATGCTTCTAGAAGCCCCGTCTAGGCCTCGGAGCCCTGCACGAGGCCTCCCACGCCTAGAATGGCCCATTGAAAGTTCATGGATGCCACTTCCAGAAGTCCATTCTAGGCCTCAGAGGCCTGGAGGAAGCCTTCCAGGCCTAGACCGGCTCACCGGAAGTTCATGGATACCACTTCCGGAAGTCCGTTCTAGGCCTCGGAGGCCCAGGCCTGCATCCACTAAGAGAACTGGTTGTTCAGGTATTTCAGTCCCACCACTGCTGCAGGATGAAAGAGGTGGAGGGCGGGATACCATTCCCTTCCTGTGGTACAGCATTTCTCAACTTTGGTTACTTTAAGACATGTGGACTTCAACTCCCAGAATTCCCCAGCTAGCATGCAGCACTTGAAGTCCAGGCATTTTAGAATGGCCAAGGTTGAGAACTGCCACCTTGGCCAAAACAGAAGCTCAGAGCACTATGAGCAGTTGCAATGCTTTCCTTCTTTTTTATTCTCCTGAGGAACAAACCATCCGTCTGGCTCTTGCTTGCTCCTCCACCCATCAACACTCAGGCTGGGCCAAAATCATGCTGTCACTCAAATTTTACTTGCTTTAGATCTGCTGCCTCTGCTGAAGGGCAATTAAATCTTGTCTTCCAGGAGAAACTGGAGAGAGATCTAATCCTTCTGCAAACAGCTCTGTCCTTTTTGTCATTTTTAAAATATTTTAATTCCCTGGTTTGGTTTCTGCATCCTTCCACATTGGTCTCCCTAGAAGATATTTAGCAAGTGGAGCCTTGCCTGTACTCCAAACCTCCTTTTGCTAGCGGGGGGGGGAGGGGAGTCTAATGTTCAGTGTTTAGTGATGCTTATCAGATATTTATTTATGACATGTATTAGATTAGAACAATATAAAATCCTGGCTATTTGGTTCCCATACTGCCAGCAAGGTATAGAAGAGGTTAAAAAAAAGGATCTGCAGCAGTTCAGTTCACTTTCTTCCTCCCTCTAGCCAACCTTTTACTTGGCTAAAAGCCAACCTGGTTCAGGATGTAGTGATTACTCACTATTTACTTAGAGGTATTGAAAACCAGGAAACGGAACACTTGGTAGGACTGGTGCAGTGGGATGACAAAATATCCACCACTGGGAGAAGAGATCTGAGCTGGGTTGTGCTTTCCATAGCCGGATCCACGTGGGCAGAACAACTCACAATCGGGCATGCAATTGCACTGCCAAGTTGGCAACACCTTGTTCACACCTGGGCCGTTTGCTGGAATCAGAACACAGGGTAATCTTAGCCAAGGGGCAGAATGACGTTGCTTCTTTGTTTTATCCATCAAAGCTGAGACCTGCCCAACCGGAGCCTGGCGCAAAAAAACCCTCATTCACACACAAGGACATTTGCTCGCCTGCAGTCCAACGTATGGGGTAATAATAATAGTAGTAAAGTTGGAAGGGACCTTGGAGGTCATCTAGTCCAACCCCCTGCTCAGGCAGGAAACCCTACACCATTTCGGACAAATGGCTGTCCAGTCTCTTCTTAAAAACTTCCAGTGTTGGAGCATTTAATGCTTCTGGAGGCAGGTTGTTCCACTGGTTAATTGTTCTCACTGTCAGGAAGTTTCTCCTTAGTTCTAGGTTGCTTCTCTCCTTGATGTGTTTCCACCCGTTGCTTCTTGTCCTGCCTTCAGGTGCTTTGGAAAATAGCTTGATTCCCTCTTCTTTATGGCAGCCCCTGAGATATTGGAATACTGCTATCATATCCCCCCTTGTCCTTCTCTTCGTTAAACTAGTTATACCCAATTCTAGCAACCGTTCCTTATATGTCCCCTAATCATCTTTGTTGCTCTTCTCTGTACTCTTTTTAGAGTCTCAACATCTTTTTTACATCGTGGTGACCAAAACTAGACGCAGTATTCCAAGTGTGGCCTTACCAAGGCATTGTAGAGTGGTATTAATACTTCACGTGAACCAAGTTAAGGTCTATTTTGAAAGCAAGATTTAAAGCAAGCATGATATTGAATCTAGCTGACAGTGCTTGTTCACAAACCATAGTTAAAACAACTATCATCCAGCACAGGGATGCAGGTTTTTTTGAGAGAACAAATTTATAGCATCCGTTTGAACACTGCTGAGGACTGTTCTTCAAAACGTAGTAAGATGGGTCCAGAATGAAATTTGATTGCACTTCATTGATAGTAAAGTTAAATTAGAGGGCATATTACTTATTCCATCAGTTTAAAAACGTTTCTCCAGTTTGCCACACTATAATGTAACAATCCTGGGGAACCCATAAGGGATTTTGGAGCCAAAGCCATCCTGGCACTTCTGCTTAGGAAGATGCATGAACTCAACTGCAAGGGATTTGCAACCAGGAATTGGTCTGGAGGATCAAGAATTCTTCTCCCACTTGCCAAGCCCTCTTTCCTTACAATTTTTAGTTTTATGCACATCAAGTATGATTGTCATTTTGCTGTGGCTCTTTTTAAACAATTGTATGCACAAAATGTTCCCCTCTTTATCCCGGAATCAATCAGCCAATCCACATGAAGAAGCAGACCATTTCATAGCTGAAATAGTTTCACGCGTAAAAAAACAGTTTCTTGTTGAAAACAGGACTTTCCACATTTCACATGCAAGAGTTTGAGACGGGATGTTTTGCACACTCTTACAAGTTGGTAGTATAGCTATTGGACCTACAGGGGTGCAAACCGTGGCTCAGCCCATCATGGGATTCACTTGGTTTTCACTTAACACAAAATTGGGCAACTTCCCCACAACTAAGCTATAACTTTCTCCCACAAGTGGCTGGAGATTTGTAGGTGAAATTACTAACCAGGAAGGGCTGTTCCCCCCCCCCGCATCTTTCAGGTTTTTAAGGGTGGGAAGAACAGCTTCTTCACACCCTCAAATGTGTTGAGAAACTAGTTGGTTTCTGGCTGCATCGTTGGGGGGGGAGAAGTTTAGGGAGAAGATTAATAGTGGAACTGGAGCGATTTTCCTCCAGAGCAGTGGTTCTCAACCTTTTTAATGCCGCGACCCCCAACCGGTTGTAAGTCGAGGACTATTCAACCAGTCGTAAGTCAAGGACTACTCAACTGGTGCAGCACCGTTTGCAGAATGGGACTTTTGGCGGGCTCAGCAGGGCAGAGACAGCCTGGACAATTCCTATTGGCTTTTGAAAGCCAATAGAATTAGACTCTATTCAAGAGAGTCTATTCTATTGGCTTTCAAAAGCCAATAGAATAAAAGGGAGTAGCACAGCTAAGGAAAAGGGGAAAAAAATGGCGGACTGCGTTGTTTGGCGACCCCTGTGAAATGGTTGTTCGACCCCAAATGGGGTCCTGACCCACAGGTTGAGAACCACTGCTCCAGAGCCTCCCACTCTGATATTTAAAATATCATTAGACATTAGTCTTTCACTTTAGTAAGGGGATGATGGAATGATGTGATCTCCCTGTGTGCTGCAGACTTCCCATTCCTGATTTAACACATTGGTGAGCCTTACAAATTTTGGTCTATTTAGATAGTAGCCACAATCACATCAGCCAAAAGCAATGTACAATATGTGAAGTTTTTTGGGAATACAATATTTACTGGGGGGGAAAAGATATACTTATCTGCAACTGAAATTTGGGCAGCTGGATATGGAACTTTCTGCCAACTGCGTACAGCTGTGTTATCCCCTCTACTTTTAAATGACAAGCAATGAAAAGCTGATTTCACTCAAAACAATTGGCAGGGCCACACTGCTTTTCAAATTAATTGCACACAGTTAAATATTGCTCTTTCCGTTGTTTTCTTTTTATGGTTTATAGCAAGTTGTTTCAGTAGATTGCTTTTATTGCAGAGTTATACAACTGCATTTTTATGACAGCCTTCTGCCAATCAAAAGATTGCTGTATTGTTCTTTTTGCTGTTCCGTGCCCTTCAGGAATGTAAGAGCTCTATTAAGAAAATAAATCATAATGGATCCTCTCCTATTACATCCCTTCAAACAGAGCAGAGTGCCACAATATGCAAACTAATGGTGCTACTCTGCTAATTCAACCTGCTCGGCTCTCCCCATACTGAAATTGTCAAGTGGTCAGTGGGGGCTATACGAGGCATCTCTCAAAATACAATCAGCTTTTTAACATTTTCTCTATGTAAAAGAACAGCTTCCATTCAGTCCAAGAGAAAAACTGATCGCTGTTGGGATCATTATCTGTCCTCTTCCTCCAATACTGGATACCGTGTCTATGGAGATAGATTCTCAATCATCCAAGTCATAGTTGTCCCAAAGTGCTTCCCCCCCCAAAAAAAGCTTCATTAGTTCTCATCCAAGAAACGTCTTCAGTTCAGAACTAAAGAAGCTTTTTGGATGAGAAGCAAAACATCTTCAAGGAAAAGCGAAGTCCAGTTGCCTTTTGGGGAAAAAAAAAAACAAAACTTTGGGACACTGCATAGTCTGATTGCTCAAACTACTATCTCAGGCAGATAGTATACATGTACTAGCTTGAATCCATAGAACTGCCACGATGTCCTTTGGAGGGCTAAAATGACGGAAGCAGCTTTGCACCCTAAGCGCTGCTCTCTCTGGGTGTCTGCTTGGACACTCCCAAGTTGTATGAAAGGAGTGGAACTGTTGTTGTAATCCATATTTTTGCAGCAATAAACTCAGCTCAAATTTCCCCCCAGAATAAAGCAGGAAAGGATTGCCCTCTTTCAACTGGGAAAAAACCTTCCCTAAAAATAAAAAATAGGGAAGTGTGACCTTCACACTTAGCTGATCTTGGCTTCTCTCAGAAAATCTAACCAGGATTAGTACTTGAGGGAGGACTGGGACTGACTGGACTGGGATTTTAGAAACAAACTCTGCTTTTTACGAGTTTGAATAGGCACATTGCACATCCTCAAACTTCACCTAGCTGCAGTGTTTTCTGCCTGCCTGCCTGCCTGCCTGCAAGAGATGCTGCATGGGCTGGCTCAGGAATTCTGGGAGTTGAAGTCCACGAAGTCATAAAAGAGCCAAGGTTGCCCACCCCTGGTCTAGGGCAACGTTTCTCCACCTTGGCAGCTTGAACATGAGTGAACTTCAACTCCCAGAATTCCCTAGCATAAGCATGCTATGCTAAGGTACGCTGGGGAATTCTGGGAGTTGAAGTCCACCCCTGTTCAAGCCGCCAAGGTGGAGAAACACTGTTCTCGGGATACAGGATGCAGAAAGTTTTCCAAAAGCCAAAGAAACCAGGCTCCATCGTCAGCCCTTCCCTTCCGGCTGAAACACCTGCCTCCTGGCCAAGGCAGGGCAGTGAGAGGGGAGCTCCTGGCTTCCCTGAAAAGAGCCAGGCAGGTCTTCCCAGGGGCTGAAGAGCCGTCTAGAAGGACAGCTGGGCAACCTCCTGACCCGTTTTCCGACCTACCTTTGCCAGCCAAGGCGGAGACCAGCATCGCCTCCCCGCCACGGTCTCCCTTCTTAGCCGGGCGGCAGGATTCCTGCCGAAACCTCACTGTCCCCGCCCATCGCAGTCCGTTTCTCCCGGGGGCGCCATTCATTCAGTCATTCACACGTGCAGCCCGCCCGCCTGCCCGCAGCCTCACCTTGCAGCTCCGCAGACTCCTCCGAGGTAGCGAGGTCGCCGCCCCTTTAAGGGCTTCTCCCGGACCCGCTCCCTTCTCCCCTTTAGGCCACGCCTCCGCGGCTCGCGCGGCCACACGCCGCCGCTTCCCCATGGAAACGTGTCACTTTTTGTCCCGCCCTCTTCGTACGGAAAGGGGCGAGGATCAAAAAGGTGTCTCCAAAGGGGCCACGCATCCTTTGGATGGAGCTGGTGGGGGTCTTTCCCGCCGGAGGAGGCTGCAAATGGGGGTTTCTCAAGCTAGAAGAAAACGACAAAGTTCTGAGCTGCTTGTATGTGGTTTTATATTTCAAGGCGTTCAGTTTCTCATCACCCAGCTTGGGATAACCCTGCATGAATGGGAAAGAGGCAAGTTATCTTTTGCACTCTTCACAAGAGAGGCTAATATCTGAACTGCAATAGAATATTCGGTATTCGCCAAGTGTGATTGGACACACAAGGAATTTGTCTCTGGGGCTCTCGGCGTACGTACAAATAATACACCAATAGGGGTAGAAGGTAATAGGAAAGATGAGAAGGATAGCAGTAGTGCAGCCCTGCTACATGGGTAAATATCCTTAGCCATAAGTCAGTGCTGTGGGAAATAGGTGTTCAGCAGTGTGATGGCATGGGGGGGGGGTGCCTTTGTGTCCAGTTGTTTTGGCAATGCAATTTGTTGTTGTTGTTGTTAGTTGCGAAGTCATGTCTGACCCATCGCGACCTCATGGACCACGTTCCTCCAGGCCTTTCTGTCCTCAACCATCTTCTGGAGTCCATTTAAGCTCACGCCTCCTGCTTCAGTGACTCCATCCAGCCACC